TTCACGTTCGAGGGGTAGGGGGGAAGGGGGGTATAACCGCGATACCTGAACGTTCCTGAACCGCTGTCGCGGTTATCTATAACGCGGTTAGCGGCGAAATCGGTTAATGTCGTTGCGACACGCACACCGCACCCCGCAACCGGTTCCGCGCCGTCCGTTCTAACGTTGTAGCGCGTACCGGCCCGTTATCAAAAACGCGAAGGCGCGAGCGTCGTTGGCGTTTGGGCGTTAGGTTTTTTCTTACGGTATTTCGGTTTCCCCGCGAGACCGGACGGTTTTGAAATCGTAATTATTTTACGCCGCCGTGACAGAGCGTGAAAACCGAAATACCGGGGGAAAAGACGAAAAAAGGTAGCGAAAAATATAGACGATAACGTTCTCGTCTTCGGCCGGTCCGACAATGGTTGACGAACACGCTCTAATGTCGCGACTGACCGCGCGCAATCGGTTTGCGCGCGTACGGACGGACGCGAACGCGAACGGATAAACGGACCGAGTGTTCGTAAAAAGAACACGCTCGTGACACGCCCGTCGATTTGTCTGGCGCGTCCGTTTTCAAGCGATCGTATCGCATTGTTAAAACTATTATTACCGTCGTCGTCGGGGGTTTTTTTTCGTTTTGGATTTTTTAAACGTTTGCGATGCGCCCGGTCTAATAACGGCGCGACGACGTTACACACCGCTCGACCCTGTCCAATATCCGGAAATTGTTCGAAATTTCGTTTTCGTTCGATTCGACAAAAATCGTTTTCGGATTCGGGGCGCAGAGAGGCGTTGATTTCTTCTTTATTTTTTTTTTTTTTCATCTACCTATCCGCGAGCGAATCGTTAACCGGTAATTTTGATCCAAGCCTATAGCGGTTTTCCCGAAAGAAAATTTCGTTTGGTCGGCACGTCGGAGAGAGGCGTTTTCTTATATTTTTTTTTTTCGAGCGGTTTTCATATTGATGGCGATGAACCCGGGAAAACGTACACCTGTAGAAGAAACTCCGAAACCCGTATCGCGGAATCTTCGATATAATATTGTGATACGGCAGTTTATCAAACCGGTATACGTTATTTTAAATTCTGAGTGTAGCGCGTATTGTTTTTACATACATGTTTTTAATTTTTTTTTTTTTTTTTCTGTTATATGAACACTTTTTCTACCGGTGAACTTACTCCGGTGTACACGATGTAGATCGTTTACCGAAAGGAAATTTTCTCAGGGTGATACTTTAAGGGGGTCGTCATTCTTCGATTTTCTCAAAAGTTTTCTCGTCAAATGTAAAAAATCGAAAAAAAAAAAAAACCGGGAAAACGTACGAAATATATTAGTAAAATATTACGGTTCTTTAAAACTACAATATTAATATTATTGTATTAAAATACGCGTTCCGAGTTCCCGTTCAAAGTTTCGCGTTAACGAGAAACGTTGAAAATTGAAGAGAATTCGTATACAAATACATTGTCCGGCAAAATTTGCGAAACACTCGTATACATACGAGGTGCGACAATAAAACCGAGCAATATTTTGACGTTTGTAAGCGGACGCGCGGAAATATTCGATACTCGTAAAAATCAATGGAGACTTAAAAGAAGAAAATCGAACTCACGTCGATTTTCAAGCGTGTAGCGTTTTTTGCGATTTGGAAAACTCGTTTGGTCGCGGCGGGGTATTATTACAAAATAACTCACGGGTTCCTCGGTGGTCGGGCTAAACCGGAGAGAAAACCGGGAGGCGTTTCTCCCGAATCAGAGATTTTGAACGCGAACCGCGAAAATCGCGGCGTACCAAAGTGAACGCGTTCGCCGGTTTTTTTTTTTTTTTGTTATTTTCGGGCCTAACTTAACATTGTGCAACGGTTTTATCGGCACGCGCAACACGATATTATAACGCACGGGGCACTGATAAAATTTGATAAAAACGCGATTTGCGCGTGCAGTTTCGTTTCGAGTAAAACGTTCGCCGCGCACAGAATAAACCGTCTCGCGTTATTATTTATCGCGTCGAATGAAAAAATTCGAAAAATTTGATTGCTAGTACAATGCACGGAGATTAAAAAAAAATATATATACATATATATAAAAAAAACCACTCGTACAAAAAACTTTATCTATACATATAATAGATAATGTTATTTAGTCCGCGATGCGCGCACACGGTTTTTAATACGATTACACGGCGCGCTTTGCATGGGCACGCCGCCGCGATGTCGGAAAATTTGATTTCCGTTTGTTTTTGTTTTCTACGTTGTCGAGGACGACTCACATTATTCGTTTCAATTCCGATCTCGACGTTATTTCCGCGGTTTTTTTTTTTTTTTTACCCCTGTTCGTCTAGCCCGTATACACGCTGCATTTTCGGCAGAGATCCAGCGAAAATTAAAAAAAATAATAATAATTTTTATCGAAAACCGGCCGCGAAAACTGTTCGGCATTTAGACGGGAACATGGGAGATTTCGAACGCGCGCTACGATTTAAGCCCGTCGCGAGATGTTTTCCGCCCCCGAAGCGGACGCGTTTCGTTGCCGTCTTTTGACGATTTTTCCGACCGATTTCGCCGTTTCGATTACTCGAACATCTTACGCCCGTCCTGTCTCCTCCTCCTCATCCCCATCCCCCGCCGCTAAAGCAACGCGTAAAACCGGACTCTCTTGTACCGCAACTACTGTGTCGGCGCACCTGCTCGCTCGCATAGAACGCGGACAGAGGAAAAAAAAAAAAAAAACGCGCGTCCTTTCGGAATATCGTCGCGAAACCGTGTACCTACCGAACGTTACCGAGTGTTATAACAAAACCACAATACAACGGACACGAGATCTCCGCGTCTCGAGGACGGTCGGACCTCGCGCGGCGGGCGACCGGTTTTTCGCGTCGGCGAATAATCGAACGAGAGGCGGTCACCCGGTATGACGGGGCCGCGGGTTTGCACCGGGGCGACGAAACGGCCACGGGCTCCGGACAATAAGGAACGGCGACAAAACAGCAATTGTATTTCGGTTTACTAAGGAAAACGTTTACGTTTTGCGAAAATCGCGATTTTACCGGTCGTACATTTCCCCCCCCCCCCCGTCCGTACAGTGACTCGTGTGACTCATTACACGTGCGTGCCGGATCACCGCGATTTATTCGGTTTGTACCGCGACACCGTCGGAAATTCGAATTAAAATATTGACAACAACTGTTAACCGTAATTATTTCATTACATGCTCGCGAATTATCGTGATAATAATATTGTGCGCGACAATGCAACCGATTGTTCGCCGATAACGACGATTTTCAACGATACGGTGAATTCGTATAATTGATTGTGTACAACGATTACGATTTGTCGGGTGTCGCGCGACACCGACGTTTACGAACGGGAACAAAACCTTTGAAACCCTCTGATGTTTTCCCCTTTTCAACCGTCGCGAAAACGTCTCTAGGTACACACGAACGTTATCGCGGCGTCTAGCCCGGCGCGGATTTTGTCGCGAAAACGTTTCTCCGTTTTAGTCGCGGGTTCGCGGCGAGACAAAAAGCGCCCGTACGTCCGTTTTGTCCGTAAACCCCGGCCATCAGACGTAACCCGCAACAAGACCGGCGCGCGGACCGTTTGTAAATTTATTGTAAATTCCTTGTACAATTTTTTTCGTACCGCGCCCGAACGCGTTACGCCCCCTACGGCCGCGGAGGAAACGTTTGCCGTCTTGAAATGTCGTGGCACACGGGTTCCCGCGATACAACGCGTAACGCGACGACCACAAAACAACTTTTATTCTGAAATAAACTCGTGCGACCCCGCACGCAAAATTTTTGTGAAACGTCGCGTCGCGATCGGCGAAAATCCGCGCTGAAAGTACAAAATCGGATTGGCTCTGCGCGGCGTTTTAAACCCCGGTCGAAACGCGTTTTTCCACCACTTGCGGCGTATTGATATTTTTTTTTTTTGCTTCTAAACGTATTTAACGTGTTTTATGTTTTTTTTTTTCCTATTTACGGGCGTTTACGTTTACGTGTCCAGGTACGTCCTGCACGGCGATTAACGTTACACGGATAACCAGCTATTAATTATGGCGCGGGTATTATGATTGTTTTTAATTTGTCGGTGATATTTTTTCGAACACTTACTTTTGTGGTGCCTGATGGTCCGGGGAAAGACGCAACACTGCTGTTCGGAATACGCGAAGAAGAAATTGTCGACCTTGGACATGTATTTGGCCGTCAACGGTGACGAGCCGCCGACGGCGGAGGCCGAGCCTCCCGCGTCGTTCACGGCCCACGAGGACGCCGGCCGGCCGTGCCGGGCGAGCAAACCGGCGAACAGCAACAGCCGGACCGTCGCTACGGCGGACGTCCGTTTCTCGCGCATTTTCGTTGTTACCACGCGAACACGAAAACCTGCACGAAACAAAAGAACGGTCGCGGTTCGCGCGCGACGATCGTCGAGATTATCGCGCGTACACAAACAACAGGATCGTACGGTATTGTTAACAAGCAACAATTATTATCGTCTCGGCTACATCGGCGGTTATTGCCGGCGTAATTTTTTTATTTTTTTTTTTTTTTACGTAACTATTGTTTCGAACACTGAACACGCACCCGTCGAACAAACGAAACAACACGCGCGCACGGAGATACGAACGGGACGACGATAGCGCGGCGAAGACACGCGAAAGACTGGAGACGACAGCGCAACCGGACGCCGAATGGTCGAGGGTCGGTCACGGTCTCCGGGCCCGTGTAGCGCCGGCACGAGGAGCGGTCGGCCGCGCTCGTCCGCCGTCGGAACCGCTCGGCAACGCCGCGCCGCCGATCCGTTGCCGCGCCGCTCGGCCGAGGGCGCGCTACGACGACAACACTACTGCGGTGTACCGCCGCGGCGGCCGTTCGCGCGTCCGAATGTTATTTTCGGTTTCTTACGCGGGCGCCCGTTTTCCCGTCGGCGACGCGCGTTTCCTGAGCCGACTCCGCGCCGCGCAATAATACGTTCCGCGTTCTCGGTCGTCGCGACTACGATAATATCGCGTACACGGGCCGCGGGAACGTTCCCGTAAAGCTTAACGATACTTAGGGATTTTTCGGTGGTGGTGGGGGGGAAAATTACGTCCGACGCAATTTATTCGTGCGCGCGGCGGCATCGCGGCCTCATCATTAGCACTCGATTTTGCAATGCCCAATAACCTACGCGGACACTCGAACGAAACGGATTCGTCAATCACTCGATCGGTGATCACAGCAATTGCAGCGTAGTGTACAAGTTTCAATTCGTTTTCCGCGGGTGGTATTTATTAATGTATTTATAACCGCCGGGATTATTCGCCCATCATTAACAATTCCCGCATTCGCCTTTGAAATCCGGTGACCACTCAAAGCTGTTCGCGAGGCCGTGATCGGAAAATAAATTCCGACGGGACGGCGCGCGTTTTTTTTTTTTTGTCAAACGTTTCAACGGCCTTTCCCCCCCCCCCCGTCCCCCGGTTTACTCCGGTCGCAGAAAAAGGGCGAAGTGAATGCCATCCGGTCCGGACCGAAATTCACACCTGTACACTAGGGCGACCATACGTCCCGTTTAAAACGGGACTGTCCCTTTTTTGATCATCATGTCCCGTTGTCCCGAAAAACTTCGAACGCTTTTTATTCCGTTTTTAGAAGATTGTCCCGTTGTTTCCATATAATAAAATTATAATTTATGAGTTTTTGTAAAAGAATAAAATAAATTTACACGAACCAAATATAAAACAGATTATATTTAAAACTCGAAACCAAAGTTATAAATAACAGACTGAAATTTCCGTGGAACGAACGTCGAGTGCCGATGCCGACGAGCAATACAAATGGTAATTATAAAATAAGATAAACATGATTCGCGTCGTACAGCATATGCATTACGAACTAAAATATATAATACTATTTATAATCGATGATATATTTAGATATTATTATATCGATTTGATTTGTAAACAATTTATAGAGCAAACTAACCAGTTTTATTGTATATTGAAAAGTGGGGAAATTCATTTGAAGAACTAAACATATTTCGTTGGACACAATTGATACAATTGGTCCAACATGGAACGATATTCAAAAAAGTTTAACATTTATTTTGCAAAATAATTTAACAAACCGGTTGGAATGTGGATGAAGATATTATTTTTGATGAATATAATCATGTAGTCAATGTTATAAATGAAAATTTAAAATAACGGCAGAATAAATATGTTTGTGTTGAAGAAAGATGGTGCGCTATCTATACAATTTTAAATAGTAAACGTATATTGATAAATAATTTTTGAAATATTGTAGAATATTCTGTAGCAATGCCTGGAACAAATGTCGCAATTGAAAGAGTATTTTCTATCACTAATGTGTTATGGACGGACGAAAAAAATCGCTTTCTTGTTCCTACCATCGAATCAATTATAATTTTGAAAAATCATTTCAAAAAATATTCGTGTAATGATTTTTATGATTTTTTGCTAACACAACCAAAGCTGTTAAACGCAATCAGTTCATCGCACAAGTCCAGTAACGACACATTTGATAATAAAGGACATGATGAACAATCGACATCGACCCAATAAAAGTAATCAAGTTTTGTATTAAAATATTAAGAAAGGTAGTTAAAAAACATTTTAATTGTAAATGTAACTATAAAATATAAAAAATATAAAAAAAAAAATGTGTACGTTTTTTTAGAGTATTTAAACTAAAAATTGTTTGTCCCGTTTTTTTTTTTTTGCAAAACCTACTGGTCACCCCACTGTACACGGATGATAATACCGCCGCCGTCCGCTCACGTGGCCGCGCGCACCACGCGATATTTCTTGGATAGTCGTAATTTTATTTTGATACGTTCATCGAAAAGTTTTCTAGGTTTTCGTCTTGCACATAATACCGAATTCGTAGAATATTTAACCCGGTTAAAGCTTTCCAGCTGACACGCGTTTTTTTTTTCCGTGCGCACCTACAAAATTCGGTTGATTGCGTAAAAAAAAGTTTCTTAAATCCAAAGTTTTGTTATCGGACACACACACGACGTGGCTGTGTGGGTACCGCCGCCAATTTAAACGACTTTATGGAACATCCCGACGTTCCACACCTATCGCCCGCGTATGAAAACGTCTAGAAATCCAATACACTCACGATGATACTTCTAACAACGTAACACTGTCGTCACTGAAGTATAACGTTAATTACATATGATATTCGAAAACGCCTCGTCCCGTGCAGGGCAGGTCACTTCTGCGGATGGGAAGTACCGGGACGTGGGGTAATTATTTAGTCAACGGGTTATGGCGTGTTACCCACGCGATACCCCCGACTATTACCGCAGTATTGTTCCTCTTTATTCCCGTATATAGGTAATCCGGTAATAAACAAAAGACGGACACGCTTCGCACGTGGGTGGGCCACTGTTGTAGGTGAGAAGTTTAGAAGGCGTTGATTGAATATCGCCAACGAAAAACGATTCCGAGCGGAGTTCGATTAACAGTGTTACTCCGTCAACAATATGTTTGTCATATTATGGTATATTGCATATTACATATTGCGCATATCTGTTTTCCCGTTCTTCTCGGTTTTTTCCCATTTGTTGGGAAAACTCCCGGGAAAATGGATTTCGTCGCGGCGGCACAGACGACTCCGTCCGCGCGATTCGCTGAATTTACGGCGGGTAGTACGGTCGTCGCGACAACAACGTCACCGTCTCGCCGCCGTTATCGCGGGGAGAAAATTGCGTATCGGAATTCGCGGAGAATGCGACGACGCTGTCGTCGCCGTTATTATTATTATTATTATTATTATTATCATCACGAACGACGAGACGTTTTCGGAAAACGGCAGCGCGTGCGGAGCCGCCGCCCGCCGGCCGAAAACGGCGCGGCTTTGATCTCGAAAATGTATTTTCAGTACGCCGTAATCGTAACCGCGATGGTACACAATTTTATTTCGCCGGATTTGACTTCGGAACCGCGCGTTTTAAAACGTAATCGTAACGCCGCGTGCCGCACGACGCGCGCCAAAACACGTTGCGGCCGCGCGCGCGTAAGTAAGGTGAGCGCGCCGGGTAAACAAGTAGCGCACTCCTTTCGAGTTCGTCGAGTACGGTCGTATGCGATGTTTCGTATTTGCTGTATTGGTGTTTGGGAAACACGGTAATGCGCGCGCAATGTCCGAACGCGCGTCGGCGGTCGCGGGTTTTTACGGCGCGCGCGCACACACACACACACACACACGTTATAACGTGATACCGCGTTATTATTGTTTGTATACAGGGCGCGCGCGTGTACGTTTATTTTTAGGTACACGCTGTACCTAGTGCGGGGGCTCAGGGAGGGTGGGGGAGACCAGAATCGGTTTATTTCGCGACCGCGTATTTCGTCCGTGCGCGGCTATAGCAATGCGGACCGTCGATTCGTATATGCGTTTTTATTATTATTATTTTTTTTTTTTTTTATTTGTTCGCGGTTCGAATTAATCGCTGAACAAACACGGCGCGTGTACGGAAATCGTCAGTCGGGAACAAATATATAACGTCCAATGTGTCCCAAATAAAGAAAACAAAAAAAATCAAAAATCAACATTGACAAAAGTGTGTTAGCCGCGAAACGGTGCAAGAATTTACATACATAGGCATAATGTTGATAAATCATCGCCGGAAACGACCTGTGGAAAAGGTGATTTTTTTTTTTTTTTTCATTTTGCGTTCGCCGCTAATAACCGCCAACGTTGTTTTTCCTTTTGACCGGTCCTTCATTTATTGTCCGGCGATAATTTCAACGGCGAAAAACAACCATAAGAACCGCGACTTTCGCCTGAAATTCGACGGAATCACGCGTGTACAACCGGGCTATAAAAATACGCGCGATATCACAATTAACCCGCATCCGACCGGTTGACGAGAACCGGTGCCGATTGAACGAACGCGTTTGCGCGCGTTGGGTTTTACTGTCCGTTTTGAAAATCGAAAAGTCCGTCGGTCGACGGCGCGCGGACAATTGACGAGCCGAGCCGTAGGTGACGACACAACGTTCGAATCAACGTAAACAACAGGCAACGCGTGGAAAACCGAGCGAACGATAAACCCGCAGAGACGTGTCCGACGTTCGAACAACTGCGCGCCGTCGCAGGACCCGGTCAACGTTGCCACGCCGCGTGCGGGTATCGGACTAGCGCGGACACGTTGGAACGTGCACGGTTAACATTGCGCGGCTTTGCCGTTTGCGTGAAGCGCGCGCGTTTTAACGCACGTCGTCGGCGGACCATTTAATAGCTACTGTACCGAGCCGTTTATGCGGTTACGTTGTAAATTTTCTCGGCACAGAGTATGTTATACCGTACAAGCTGTTACCGTGCGAAACGTGCTAAAAATTAGTTTTCGTCATTTCGCGGGCGAACGAACGGGTTATGAAAAACGAAAAACGTACAAATAACGGTTTTTTCGCGGGATAAACAATTTCAAAAATTTATATTGTTCTTACGCTTTTCCGTCCGTCTTAAAAATTTTAGACTAATATTACAAACGTCTAGAAATCACCCCTGTTTGAACGTCAACCATCTCGAGGCACGCCCTTAAGGTTTACCGGTTATTACGAAACTTTACGTAAGTACATTTTTTTTTTTTTTTGTGGGTTTGAACGAATTTCAGTGGTAGCCCAATCAAAAATCGAAAAAAAACTTTTTTTCGTCTATATTCTAAGGACCGCCCTAATACGGACACGGGAAACAATTGTCGAATCCCACGGTAACGTCATTCACTATGTATACGGGCAGTGGCGAGCAGTGATATCACTATAATACAGCGTAATCAATTTATCGGAAAACATTCGTTATCTCGGAAGGATCTATACATTTTTTTTGGAATTTTTTTTTTTCACGGAAATTTAATAAACAAACAGCTCTAAAACGATGCTACAGATTACCATTATATTTGTTATCCTATTATTTGGAAGGGGGAAACCACTATCCAATTTCGATTTTCAAATGACAACCTATATTGAAAATTCCACAAATAGATGACAGATTAAAATAAATTTCGGCGTTGAAATCTTGAATTTCCGACAGTGCGTTGACGAGATATTCCACTCTTGTTTCTCCAGGGGGTAGAGTATAGTGGAACACTACTCAAAAGCCAAATTGGGAGGCGCTTTGTAATTGTATCATTTGCACAGTATTTGCACTGTGTAGGCAATTAGTAAATATTATCTCGGGATTACTAGAAACACGAGGCCGTTTACATGTTTAGAATAGGTTCTTTAAATAATGCCATTCAATTATTTATAATAATATTAATTTTGTTATAATTATAAAATCCTCTACCGCAACACGTATCAGTTATCGCTCTTAACGCGGTCATCAGTATTATTTTATTAATCCAGGCCGCTATTATGCTAAATGTTATCGAGATACAATTTACGACGAGCTGATAAAATACATTCTAAACCAATATAAATGTTAATGTTGCATAAATTCTACTGATATTTCCAAACGTTTCATTTTATTTATTTCTCGTCTAATAATATGTAAAATTTAATCGAAATCTTGTTAAAATTAGAATATAAACTACAGGTTGGCCAAAAAATCAAAATAAATGTTGATATAAAATAGGATCTCCGTAGTGTTTAAATTTCGATTAGTTAAAAATATTGTAACAGCTCCAGCTAATAAAACTGCAGGTGATAAAATTAAATGATAAAATTAAAAGTATAGCAGTAATTAAAATTGACCGAGGCAATAATGGAATTTGATTTAATTTTAAATCATTAGGTAGGTATTATATTATTTAAAATTATGTAAATAAAATTAATCACTCCCAGAAATGATTGAAATTTCTGTTAAAGAAAAAATTGTTAAATATAGGTCACTATCTAGATAATATTTAATATAAATAATAATATTTCACTAAATATTATTTGATAATGGGTAAATTTTTCTTTCTGTTCCGTTATTGATTATGAATCTACAATTTGTTTTAATTAATGATGGATGCAATAACCAAAATCCAATATTATACAAATATGGTAAAGCTACCATATATACCTAGGGAAATCCTATTATTTATAATGGAATTAATTAGTTATGAAAACCTCAATTTACAATGTGTATTGTGACAAAAAAAAAAAACTATGATAAAGGCATGCATTGTTACAACTACTCGACCACTAGTTGACCATTGTTAAAAGTTGCATTGATTTGTTTAAACTCATGTTAAAATTCTAATTGCGCAAGTACATTTTTCCGATTTTTTTTTTTCTAAACCATATTATGTTGCCATTTGAAAATCAAAAGTATGTAGTTTTTTCACCCTCAAAAATAATAAGTTAACGTAACATTTTAGAGCCGTTTGTTTCTTAACACTTGTCAACGAAAAAAAAATACCCAAAAAAGAGGCATTGAATGTTTTACTATTGATCACTCTGTATAGATTATATAGTTTCAATCATAATATATATCGGGTCAAATATGTCTGTCGCATGATAGCAATTTCGAAAGAGAAAAATGCTTTCGGACCGTATAGTAAAATAAAATGGCCTGAAGCCTTCTGAAAAATGTATTTTACATAATATCCGGTACCTATGTATACATAATACAGGTGCACGGACGAAAAACAATTTTTGCTAACCATATGTATTCGGTATTGTGGTCCACGGGATACTTAAATTAATAAAATACCGCGACCTACACGACGGCGACGGTCGAAAATATTATGTAAATTTAATTCCGCCGTAGTTTATGCGAACAAACCAAATGTCCACTATATGGTATTTTTTATTTTTTATTATTATTTTTGATGTTTTATGGGGAAAAAAAAAAATATAAAAAAATAAATAATAATAACAATAATAATGAAAACTTTCGAGAATATTTTATATCGACGATACTTTGTCTTTAGCTCTGTGCGTACACTCTGACGATTGCCGGCGCGGTGTTTAGAACGGTTCGTAATTCCTACTCTATAGGGTACCTAACAATAAAAAAAAAAAAAAGAAGCTGATATTGAGAATGGGAGCGGCCACTGTTGTAGGCGAGAAGTCGGGGAGGTAGGATGCGTAGGGTTATTTCATATACATCTGTAAAATGAACCATAAACCATTGCTGACGAAAGAAGATTCCGAGCGCAGTTCGGTAATACATAATTTGAAGTGCCGTAATTTCTTGTTTGCTATTTTCGTTTAAATTCGATTTTAAAACGTTTATTAAAATAAATTATTGACAATTTTACCACGTCTAGGTAAGACCAATGTAAGTATTATTACCAAGTTTCAAGTCTCTATGTGTATTTATAACTGAATTACAGCAAAAAATAAACTATCAAAAATTAAAATTCTTTAAAAGCTAAAAAGTGGCTCGAAAGTTTTGGCAATGATACCGTAAGAAAGTAAATCAAGGCAACAAGAGAGGTATTGTGTGATTTTTCGATTAAATCGCTTTGTTTGGTAGAAAACGTCGTCCGTGTTTTTATAAAATAATGAAATCGCGACATTGTACGTTTTTTCCAACTTATGTGCTTATATTTAAAAAATGGCGCCAAAAATCAAAAAATGACCTCTTTAGAGTACAATCTAGACAACTTGAGCTTCTTTCGGAAAAACCGACACACGTAAAAATCGGAGGAAGTTAACTATGAAGAAACGTGTCCACAGACTAGAAGAAAGAAGAAAAAAAAAGAATGAAAGCAATAAACAGCATTGTAAAATTAATAGCTCCCTCGCTACGCTCGGAATCTAAAATACAGTTGTTATACCGAAATGATAATAATTTTTATTTTTTTCGTGATATTAAAAGTGAAATATCGTTAATCTCGAGGCGAAATCGCTTAGACGGTTTTCGTGGAAAACTTACAAAAAAAAAAAAAAAACCGCTTTATTATTATTATTATTACGATAATACCGATTATAGTAATGGTTATTTATTTATTTATTTTATTTTTTTTACACAAAATATTATTCTCTATGGAATAACGTTCGGAATTTATTAGGAATCGTTTAAAAAAAAAAAAAAAAAAAGCGTTCCGTTAACAATTAGGTAGGTACCTACTACGCGAAGTTATTTAAAAACATATTGCCCGTGATAAAAGTTTAAAAACTTTTTTCGAATAGACAACATTAACGGGATAACGAGATAAACTTCTAACCGCGGTATTATATTTTATTTCTGTACGTAATCACATTGCGCGCGTTTATGTAGCAATAATAAAAAATAATAATTTCCAGTGTATTTTTTGTTTCGATTTAAATGCTCGTATTGGACTATATTGTTATATTGTTAATATTATTATTATCTCGCGCAAACTTTTCGCCAAACCGACCGTTTGTTTAATTTAATTTTTCTTTTTTTTGTTTTTTTCTAGAACTTTTCATTCCTGGAATACTTTATCGATACTATCATGGTGTATAGACGTAGTTCCGGATGAACGTTTGAAAACCAAACGAAAACGTTACTATCCAATAGTATAAATAACACACGGCTTGAAAACTATAAACGTATTAATATATTACACGATATGCTGCGCTCTACTAGTAGACACGGAAATGTTATTTTCGTTGTACATTATGAACGTGAGTGGATCGTGAAAAAAAATCCGTCCTAGGACAATGGGGACGGGTGCAACCACTGTTATAGGCGAGATGTCGGGAAGGTAGCATAGAGGGGAAATTTAATGTACATTTTTTTGTGTATACGCAAGGTTCTTCCTTGAACGTACACAGCAGGAATCGCAAAGCGAATCCCGAAAACTCCAGTGCTTAGCTGAATGGGAATGTTACTCCTTGTGCGCCGCGGCGTTCCGACACTAAATACCAATACTCTAGAATTCGACGCCTTGGCTAAATGACGACCACAATACATACGAGTACAGGTTTAGCTAACGTGGACCGCTCCGTGTTACCAAACACGTCTTAACCAATTGACCACAATATACGAGTACAGGATTGATTAAGTGCGTATATGAACTTACAGGTGATGCACGTTAAGACAATATTACGCTATCTCTCTATTGACCACGATATGTACGAGTACAGGATCGAGAGAAGGTCCAATAATGCCATTGTTGCGTACAAAATAACCGCAAATGCCTCGGCACCTTCACCGATATACACTCCGGAATAAAAGTAAATAACGTTAAAGAAGAACACTTGCTTTTAGATCGCAATACTTGTAAATCGTGATTTTGAATAGGTAATAATTAATCATGAAATACAACAGTTACACAAGAAAGTTAAGTCAAAACGGTACGTCATTCCCGACTACCAAAAATGAAAATCCTCTTCACGAAACCAGCGGAAAAGACTTCCTTCAGAATGATAATGTGTCTTCGCTCGATAATCGAACGTTCGTTCTGTTCGTAATGTTCGTAATGTTTTATGTACAACATACATTTTGCTGAACAGGCGTACCTATAATATTATATTTTAACTGTTGCTGTTGCTGGCGACGGTGACGAACGCGTAGAACAATATCGTTGTAATGTACTAATAATACTATGATATAATATGATTTTAGGTTCGCGTGATATATTTGTGCGGGTAGGGCATGCCCATCAGTATTCCAGTTGTCGCCCGGACATACTACAATCCGTAAGCAACGATACACCATTGCCGACGATAATAAACGATTCTGAACGGAGTTCGGCTGATGGTGTTGCTTCGTCAACAATACGTATGCCATATTATGGTTGAATAATTACACATATGCATTTTATATTTTCTTTATCAATATTTGTTTGATACCGTACCTATTCTCCCGTTTTTCCTGGATTTCCCCAACTATTTGGAAAATTCCTCGGGAGAATCGAACAATGTACCTCTCAAGTCAGATTTCCTTTTAGAGAAAGCGCTATCATTGTAAATCGGAGCAAAATTCCTGGTATAAAAGTTGTCCGCAGAAAAAAAAAAAAAGAAACATCATTGTACAACCAGTACATTCCTCGCTCTACTCAGAATCTAAAAATCCGTACGCGAACAATATTATACGAAGATCGCGGAAGATTACACGTTTTTTTTATTGCTTTATTGTCGTATTGCGCAGTGATATTATAAAAGAACAAAAATATACTTAAAATCTAAATAAAAAAAGTGAACGTTTTTGAGATAAAAACGAACAAATTGAATTATATAATTAGATATCATTTTTCATTGGAGTAAAGATAAAAAAAAAAAAAACACACACACACACACAAATTTCTGCACAAGAATATTAATATTCAACGTTCAAAAGAAACGCCATCGTAATAATATTATTTTATACGAAATCCGTGTAATGAATTAATAATATTAACTCCGAGTTAATTATGATAAATTAATCTTATTTTTTTTAAAAAAAAAAGCTTATCTAAGAATTTATTCGTCACGTCAGTATATACGGAAAACATTATACATTTGTTGCATAAAAATACAATATCTCATGATAAATATGATTTACTATTTAGTAATCGTAAAAAAAAAAAAAATAGTAATAAGATAATATTATTCCATAAGTTTAATATTGTAAAAAAAAAAAAAACAAAATAGTCTGACGGTTGACAAAATCCGTATTTAGAAAACGCGGTTATTCATATTGATGTTATTTTTTTTCCCCATTATACCACACAATCGTTTTATATATAGCGCGGAAGAGAATATTATATTATATTTAGAGTAGATCATCACAACGGCATGTTAAACGATTCGCTTTGTCCGTACACATTCATTAATCATTCAGAACGTCATTTTTTGTAAAAAAAAAATACTCTTATAGTTATTGTACGAAATTGTATATTATACGGATTTGTGCAACGGTCATAATTGTCTTTATAAGGTATATATTTTATTATAATGAAATTCGAAAAAAAAAAAAAAACCGAGTAGACAATTTACGATATTATATAAATGTGCATTTCCTTTATAGAAAATTGGTCTCTGAAAAAATAATATACGTGTCTCGCATTTTTATAAATTGTGTGTGTTTTTTTTACAATTCACATTTAAACAACAGAGCTTTCTGTGTATTTTAATTTAACTCGCCTGACAGAATGGACACTACAAAATAATATGGGAAATAATCTCGGTAGACTTATCGGCACTGCAATGACCAATTATATTATAAAATTCAAATACTACTAAGATCGCCAGGCCGTATTATAATGAGGAGAAGAGAAGATTTTGTTTGAACAGCAGTAGAGCGAAAGCTTCGCGGGAGAAATCTCGGAAAAAATTTAGATGAACGTTCTCGAAAAGGATTTAAGAAATCTGGGAGTGGTAGATCGGAAATATGGGATCCGGGACACGGGTGATATATGGCACGATGTTCAGGAACGTATGCGTGGTTCGTTCAGTGGCGTCATTTGAGGGAGCAGATAAAGCATTTTTCCCATCCCCTTTGCAATCAGTGGGCTGCCATCGGGCCGCTGACTGGCCGGATATGGGCTGGAGTCGGGCTAGTTTTTGGCCATAAGCCCGCAAACATGATTCATGATGTCATTATGTTTTATACGGCCATTTTGAGCTATAGTTTTTTTTTTTTTTTGTATTTTTCTGTAAAAAAACCACTTTTTTATGGTTTGTTTGTGATAATAATTGTGATAAATTTGATAGTTGTATACGATATTTGTTTAATTGTACCTTTTGTTAACGCTGATTGTTTCAAAATACCGGGTTCCCATACGAGCCAATGTAAACATTTGGATAGTGTCCATTCCGATTTAATCTATTCTGTGATTATATTAATGTATATGGCGACATGGACACATGATTATAACTACGATTTAAGATAGCGTCTATCCGCAGCCATGACGGTTACGATATGGTTTAGCCACTGTGATTGATAATAAACGATAAAAGGTCGATTAATATAATACCACGGGAGCATAGACAATACGTTTATTTTTCAATTTTATTACGGGCCGATTAAAAAAAAAAACCGTGCGCCCTCCACCTCTCAAAAACCGAAATGACGCCACCAGGGTCGTTTGCCGCCGATGTGTACGAAGTGCGCGGTGTAAAACGTAAAACGCTCGGCTCGAAATTCCGGAACGTGTGGCGAACGAAAATCGCTCTTACGTCTCCGGGGCGCCCGAAAAATACGTAAACGTCCCCGCGTCCCCGGCGCCGTGTTGACGGCGAAAATTCTCGGACAGAGTCGGACAAAGGCCGGGGCGAGAAGAGTACCGTTCCGGGGTTCGGCGTACCAACACGTTCCCCGCGGTTGTACTATGACACATTATAACGCGTACGGCGCTATGTTCGATTCGCGTTCGTTCGCGATAAGACCGCGGCCGTTATGAATGCCGTTACGCCGCGCGCTTGTATATTGTCGCGCCGTCGGGTTGGTGAAAAAAAAAAAAAAAAAAAACAAAAATAAAAAAAATACGCGGCGTGCGAGTGGGGTTATCTCGAGGTTCGGTCGGAACAACACCGACAACAACAACAACAACAAACAACAACAACAACAACAATAATAATTTATATCGCGCGACACTGCGGTATATTATCACACGCGGTACCTGCACGTCGCGAAATAAAAATTATATCCGCCCGAGTGCGGGAGAAACACAAAATTATACTGCAGTCGGCCTATCCGCAGTGTAACGATATTTATATTATTATACGAATTATCACGTTAATATTTTGCGTTCGGTTTGACCTCGGGTACATTATTATTATTATTATCATCCGTACAGCAGTGCCGTGTAATATTTTACGCGCTTTGACCGCGGTTCGGAGGGGGGACGGGTAAAACTTTCGGTCGTCCGCGGAAATTGTGCGGGGGTGGAAGAGGAAGTGAGGCGTTTGAGCGGTCTAAGCCGGCTCGAAACGTACGAACAGAGAAATTAAAATCGTCAATCGCTCATCGCTCGTTATATCATAATTTAAGAACGGGGGGGGGGGGTAAGTTTCTTTATTTATACGTTTTTATCCCTCGAACCAATCTCCGCACCACGATTTCCAGCGTTCAAAATATATACAGTTCGGTAAATACGAACACTTTTTTTTTTTTCTTATAACTTTTTTAATAGTTCGTAAAAATTAGAAAAAAAAAACACCTACGACGTTCCCTCCGAAATGTTATCGTTCTCTATAAAATCTGATGATATAGGTACTTTTACTGTGAAATCGAAACTAAGCCAGTTTTCGCTTATTCCGCGTAAACGTTGTTTTCGCATGTTACCAACGGTAGTCGGACTGAGACATAACGTCCTCTTAACCTCGCCGGATTCTTCTCGCGCGTGGAGTTACAGTTTTTAGAAAATCGATAAGAGGCCAGTGACAACGTTTTCAATGTTGCCCATCTATACAAAACCATTTTTAAAATTGTTGTACGGTTTGTACAAAACTGTTCATAACTGCCAACCGATTCATTCTGAAGTATTATACGTAGTACCATATTTCGGTACTTCGTATTTTTCCGTAACCGTATTTTCGCGATAACCGACAGGTATACCTAATACCAATACGACTACACGCGTAAATAAGTTTTAGCAGTGGTATATACCAATTAAAGGTACTTACACCTATGTAACGCTTTTCACTTTTCCTTGTTACCTATCCGACGTGGTTTTGCACAACAAATCGAGGGTTAATTTCGATAAAAATTGTGCGATTTCTTATGACATTTCTTCTGAAAACTGTGTATGCTACCCCATTCCGCGTGCGGACCCGATACCGATACGTGTGATACGCGACCGGCTGCAATAATTCGAACGTCCGTTTCGCACCTCGCGACGGCCGCGGTAACCCGGCGCGCGGTAATTATCGTCCGTCAGTTTCGCCACCCAACCCCCCCCCGCCTTCAATGCCCCCCGGGAGGCCGCAAAACTCCACGAACCGTTTTACCCGCACGCCCCGCGCACATGTCCGTGTTGTGTGCCGCGGACATGTTCGCGGATCGTCCGTCTCGCCACCCCACCCCCACCTAACCCCCCCTTCTTGACGGCACCCTCCGGTTTCGGGCCGCGCCGGGGTCGACCCATTAATCTCGTGAAATATCGCGGCGCGCACACACGTCATTCGCACATACCGAAACGTACGCGAGCATATTGTTGCACGGGCGCAGAGCGCGTTCCGATCGCGCGCGTTATTTTCGCCCAAAGCCCGCCGCGCGAAACGCGTCATTATCGTTATCGGAGTTATTTTTTCGGGCGAGGGGGGGACGGGTGAGTCGGTGATGGGGGGGTAAACGGCGAGTCGACCGCACTCAACGCGTATGCGGCGCGGACCGCGAGTCGTAAGCGCGTTAAAAACGCTCGCCGGAGAGGGGAATTAATAACGAAAAAAAAAAAAAAATAATAATAATAATAAACTACTTAAATTCGCCGTAGTCGAGTGGTTTCCGTCACAACATATACCGCCGCCGGCCGGCTATGTCGCCGGGATACCTATGCACTCGAAACGTAAAAATTTACGGTCCGGAACCCGTTCGCCACTCGTACCTTTACACGTAGGTATATCGTTATATAATATAGAAATGTATAGACGAACGATAAAACGGGATTTATGGGGGGGGGGGGGGGGGGGGTGTAAATTCCGACCTTTGCGGGATATAAACGCGGCGAACGGGCTCGCGATGGACACACATACCGGGTGATCCATTCAAGTGGGCACAGTCATTGTCTCGGAAAGTATTAACTTTTTTCGGGATTTGTTTTCTATAGAACATTTCAAGAAACAAGCAGCTCTTCTTAACGAGTACCCACTTAAATAGATCACCTGGTACATAGGAACGTCGATGTAAACGTATACTGAAGGTACCTATATATTATGATCATACTGCAGTTACCGGCCGTGGAAATGGAACGGCGCTTTTGTAACGCGAGTGTGCAAACGGGTGTAAAGATCCGCAATTAATTTGATTGGATTCGCGTTCGACCCGCGAACGGACCTGCGAAAATCGGCAAAGAGTGCGTACCTCCTAGCGCTGCGTACAGTTTTATAGCACGCAGCGCTGGGAAGTTATAAATTCTGCGGCCGTTAAGAGATTGGGGGTCACGGCAGTACGCGAACGAGTCGAAAAAAATCGAAAATACTGCAATATACGATATTTTAAAAATCGTAGTGTAGTATTTTTCACGGATAAAAACTCGGGCGCAGTTTACGAAAAAAAGCCATTCGGGCGCCTATTACGTATGTCCATCTGCACCTCTCCGTTCGTCCCCCCACCCCCGAGAAAAAACGATACGGTTTTAACGCGTCAGGATAATAGAGGAACCGATTTCCGAAATGATTATCCGAAACAAACGTTATAATCGTTTTTCGGCGTTTAATTTTAAAAGTTTTAATGATTTTCCGTGGTTTTTTTCCTGAGATAATTTAATAAAAAAAAATAATAATTAATAGTAATATGAAAAAAAAAAAAAAAAATTATAATACTACAATAATTTTTTCAATAATTAAAAATAAATTACAAACGATCGTATTATAAAGGAATAAAAATAATACGCGGAGAAAAGATTGCCGACAGAATTTCGCAAAATTTTAAAATTAAATTAAGCTTTACTTATTAGTTTTTAATTCTCGTAGAGACTTTACACATTAGATATTATATAAAATAATATGGATAAATCCTAAACTGGTATTCTACTCGCATACCAGAATATAAGATTGCATGAATTTTGGTTTTTTTTAATTCGAGCCGAATCGTGTATTGATTTTTTCGAATCGAGTGCTCGAGTTTAACGAAACAATACAAATTGCCGACTCAATTACTCGATTGATTCTCAATTAGACATAAATGTTGTTATCGTCAGACTTTATAATATTAGGTATAATTTCCAATTCAGTTTCGTATGTTCAAACTATTAACATGATGATGATGTTCTTATCGGAAATATTCGGATTTGAAGAAGTTTATAATTTACACCCAGATGATTTTTTAACATTACGTATTATACCATTGATTGTTTTTCAATGCAAACGCGAACACACCTTAACAAAACACGAATAAACACCTAACAAATCTCATAGACGTAGCAAACACTTTATAATATAACTACAGCGTTAAAATTCGTATTTTTTTTTTCGAAATCATTAAATTAACGTGTTTTCTGTAAAATCGGAATAAAGAAATGCCGAAACAAAGAAAAAAACTCCTTTCTTAAAAAATTTTTAGTATTTAAAAATATAAATAATATTGTTAGGTTCAGTAATCGGACCATTATAAGTGCCGTGAATACTATATAAAATTATGTGTTGTAAACAGTATAGTCTCGGCCGTACGTTTATCCACACATGGCAATTGTTCGTTTGTACCAGTGTTTCTTAACGTTTTTACCGGTGCCACCCCCTCGAAGAGCATAAGATTTTTCAACGTCCCCTATGTAAAATACCTATTTATACTATGTATAAATAGGATGTGGCAATGAAGAGTAGAGTTGTGATTGCCCTTGCAGTTGTGAACCACTGATTTATAAGATTGAAAATAGTACTATATCGCGGATATGGTTATATCGATGAAAAGCCGCATGTGGACGTTTTAAAAATAAAAGTCGATTTTCAACTCCTTCTTAATCCTATTTGTTCGGCATTGGCGTGTGTCCAAAAAAAAAAAAAATAATAACACTAATAATACTAGACACTACAATAATAATCATAATAACAAAAATAATAATAGTAAAAACTACTACCCAGAGTAGTTTGCTGTAAACGAGCCAATCGGGCACATTTTAAAACCGGAGAAATCGAACTAAAGCTGAAAACTGCTGTCGGATTTAAGTGGATTTTGTGTTCCGCAAGCCCGATAATAGTTACTGTCATATTGGCACTATCGCGATACAATAAACAACTATCACAGACACAGCGTCCACATCAAGGGCGTATTAATGGTGTCGGGTGGAACATGGGAAATATATCTTTGACAACGCCACTGGTCCATACGACGATACAAAGTGATAGCATACGCAGAAGAAAATGGTTGTAAAATGAATTTCGATAGAAACATCGGTAAAAGTGTGACACGACAGTAAAACAGGAAGATAGTATTCGTTCACGCTGTGATAGTTATATTTTATTACTCTCGAGACAGTAACTGTGAACTATCATATACGTATGATATTTACAGCGTAATCATTGTAGTCGTTTTCGCGATAGCTCGACAGTCACTATCGCCTCCACTGTTCACACTGTTCAATATTCATGAGGGTTTATGTGAATTGCACGGCTATCACAACAGTCAGTGGCGTAGTTACGGGGGTGGGGTGTAAGGGGTTCCCCCCAAAAAAATTGTTTTATTCGTTAGGACTAATAATAAGAGAGATGAGATGAGATAATAGGTAAATAATACGAATATAAAATGACATGTATGGTACTAATAATATATTATTATCTGCATAATATTAAAGTTTATAGAAATTCTCCGAGTGTTAACACGTCTATGTATTAGGAAAACCAATTACAGAATTGATAAAAAAACAGCGAAAACGGCCTCCGACGTCGTCCAACAACACCAGCCGAAGATAAATGGTCACCGTCAATCGGTAAACACTATATTTTAGTAAGTATTAACAACAAATTGTATTATTTTTAATTACGTTGGATTGTTTGAGTTTGAAACGTTAATACCGTTAATACACGACACGCGTACGGTAAGTTTATACAGTCATTGGATTCACCGTTCGAACTGTGGACAAATACTGTGAACGATTTACGGTACTCGCTACGGATACATTTGTTTTGATAAGATTAAGAATGCCGTTGAACAATATTGCTTAATATCTATTAGTGCGATATTTTTGTATCACGTTAACACATCGATATAATAAATCGCGCACAGCTGATATTAATACGCACGCGTTGTTATCGTAATTTTTCTGATAAAACAACGGTTCGATTATTGCGCAGGGAACAGCGTCGGTATTTATTGTATTTATTCACGTTGCTGTTTAGTTCAATTTAACGTTCTGTTTCATTTCACGGTACGCGTATAATAGCGCCTATATCACGATATATTTTCGCGATTATTACACGACAGCGCAATAACGTCGCTGTACAATAATATTAACCGCGCGGCGATACGTAACTATGTACAGGCCGCGCCCGAAACATTTACGAAGACCGTCGAAACGTACCCCCAATAAACGTATTTTCGACCTCGAATATTCGAACGCGCATACGGCCGAACATTGCCCCGTCAGTCCTGATGTTGCAACGTGCGGTTATTACCCGTTGTCTTTTACAATCGAATTACACCGTAAGACGTAATATGACGTACTGCGCATTTACAATATGACGGTTATAATCAATTTAAACCGCGAATTTCGGTAACGATGAGTTTCTGGATACGATTGAAACGATATCCGTTATCCTTGCGTTGTAACTAACGGGTAGGCTATTTAATTTCTCGGTACAAACTCGACAGTTGAAATAATAATAATAATAATAATAATAATAATATGTTTATCGTAACGATCGTTTCGTTCATTTTATATTCTACAACGTAGTGTTATACTATAATACTACTTAACGTTAACGTAATCATAATCTGCGACCTAGTAAAAAAAAAAAAAAAAAAAAAAAACTGCTACTGATTTACGATATAGGTACGGTGTATTCAACCTTCGTACCGTACAGCACGCACTTTATTTTTTTGTACAGTCATTCGTCGATACACTATAGTATAGCGTATATGCAGTGTATTTATGTTTTTTTTTTTTTTTTACTAAAATATTCAACCACTATTCGCGATTTTAATCGCGAACCTAACATAATTTTTTTGCATTTTATGTATGCAAAAGTGTTCGATTGATAAGCTACTGTCGATCAACAAACAATGGAAACGCTCTAATTTTCGGTTCAGACCGAAAAAAAAAACAATGGCGTAAACAGCAGTAAACGGTTTATTCAGTTGTTTTTTCGGTTTTTTTTTATTAGACAAGACAAAGTCGTAATGTTTTAGAGTTTCGGTGCCCGTACGGTCAGCTCTGCACGATAGTCGGTGGCTATATATATAAATATGTATTTACTATATATTACGTATACAAATTTTTTTTTTTTATCGCTCAATGAAATAATTCAGAAAAAAAAAACAAACGGACATACTTTGAGCGGGAATAGAGGGAATTTGGATGGGATAGGTGAGAAGTTGGGGAGGCAGAAGGGAAGTTTAATGTATATCCGTACCAAGAGATTAATCATTGCTAGACGAAAAACGATTTTTCAAAAACAAAGTTGGTTTGTGTCTAAGACCTTGACATTTTCGTGGAGTTTTAAAAAATTAGTTGTGGTATGATATTATATAATATGTACATTTGTAAAAATAAAAAGAGCAGACTTATATATTAGATACAATAATGTATTTTGTTTCAACCCCCGGGGCACACACCTAGGATTGTTTTATTTCTGTGGGGGGGGGGGAGGGAGGAATGCTCGGGAACCCCCTTCGAACTCCTTCGGCGGTTCTTTGTTCGCCTTCCTCCTCGCCTACTTCTCGTAAAGTCAAGTCGGATACGCCACCGGCGACAGTTCCTCGCGCCGCGGCGGTTTTAAAACTCCGTGTTATTCGATTCGCAATATATTCGTACGCCGCATTTAATCGTCGCGTAAAATCTCGCCGTCGTAGCCCGCGCGAGCCGGGTCATCAGATACAGCGAGATATTTGTATTATGTTTTTTTATTTTTTTATTTTTTTATTTTTTTTTTTATGAAAGCATCGGCGAAACGAATAATATATTACGAGAAACAAAGGACGCGGACGAGAACCTTTACAGCAGCCGTCCAGACGGCTTGAAGAGTGCCGCCGCCGCCGTCTATATAAAGTGGTTCGTAATGACGTCAGCTCGACCGCTTATATTCTCGATTATGCGCGCACGTAATGGGCGAACGCGTATGCAAAACGGCGTTCTCGCGTTTTCCAAAAGCCCGTCGAGCCGTTGACCTACATCGGCGCGAGGATACGTGCGGCGCGGCACAATTGTACATAATATATCCTCGACTCCTGTTGTACGTCCTGTATCCTGTACATACGTCGAACGAAATGATTTTCAGACGGATATAAATACGGGGGAGGGGGGGGGGGAGAAACAAAACAAAAAACGGGGAAAAACAGCAAAAAAAAAAATTAATATGTTTGTATAACGTATTTACGCGAGCCGGATCCATTCGTACACGTAGTTACATTATTATTGTGTTTCTGCCAGCCGCGGCGTCGTCGGGGTCCGCGGCGGCAACACGCGGACGTATACGTATCGGTAATAAAATCTCGTTTCCGTTTCCCGCGGCCCCGTCCGGTATCTCGTTTTCCGCGTCCGAGTTCAAAAACGGAATTTTAATCGAAAGTTTATGTATACGCCGCCGTTCGGTATATATGTTTTATGTATTATAGCAAACGCATAATGTCTATACTCGAATAATATGTATACGTTTGATTTTTTTTTTTTTTTTTTTTTTTTATTTCCTCCCGATTCTATTTCGTATACGTACGCGCGTTATTTATCGTTTTCCCGTGTACAAAGTCCGCGCTAAGTTCGCGCACAATGTACATTATATACGATGATGATAATAATATATTATTATAATCCGATGGGAAACGACGTACGCTTTATTTAAAAACTGCGCGTCTGTAAACGAATTTTCTACCGGCAGAAATCCGGCTCCGATCGAAAACCATTTACAATAAGATCTCTCTCGTGTAGCGACTTTCTATCTAGCGCATTGGTAGAAGAACGATCGTTTTTCGTTTTCCTTGTAGTTTTCTTATGGTGAACGGGAGAAACGGGAAATCGCGGGATTTCCGAGTTACGTCGGCAACAACGGGACACGTACAACTATAATGATAACACTCTGCTCAGAATCGTTTTTCGTCAACAATGTAGACCCCACCTTTCAACTCCCCTTCTAGAACGGTGGCGCACCTTCTCCCGCCAGCGGGTCGGTTTTTTTGCATATACAGTTTATACGTCACGGACGCCGTTTTGAATCGAATTTTCTTAAAAATAATACAATAAATCATTTTGAGTAAAACTCAACTTTGCAATAAAATACAATATGTTATAAACTAGTTAAAGTTTGTGGACTTGTTACGAAAAATATTGAAAACGTTTCGTTTCACGTTTTTAATACGTGGTTATTATACGTATCGGCGAAATCGGGCTTGTATTAAATTAAAAAAAAAAATTGATATTTTAAACGTTATTATATATATATTATACGGGGCACCAATACTTTGTTCCGCGGAGAAAAACTTTTCGGAAAATTACACGACGGACGGTTAAGCATTTGGATACGACGACTAGTGCAATAAGTGACCGGGGAGCATGCAATATGCATGAGTTTATCGCGTCTCCGTGTAAGTATAGCCGGCTAGAGACCGTGTTAAATGGAGGGTAAAGACATTGGGGACTATTATATTACGGCGCGTAAACGCGGCTATTCGAACGAGAGAAAAAAAAATAAAAAATAAAATAAAATGCATACAGAAGATTTAGAGTGAGGAGGCCAACCCCTTCAAGAATATATAACCAAACACCTCCGACACGGTGTGTAATGTGTATATACGGGTATATATATATATATAATTTTATACATCACTAACCTATATATAATACCGTGCGCCTCTTAAATCTCCGGAACAAACTTCCGTTATACGCCGCGGGAGATTTCAATTTCAAATGCCCGTCCGAAATACAGTCACCTGGAGTCCCACAGCCGCAACCGTGCGCGGTCTCCCCTACACGGTCGCGCCACGTCGGTAATCCGGCGTCAAAGTTCGCCCTTTCCACCATTCATTTTTCTCACTCATATGCTCGTATAGAATATTTTTTTTTCCCCATATCAACTGTTCGTGAGTAGATATATGATCGTGATGGGCGCGCACCGTACGCGATATTCGCACGTATGCGGCGCGTATGTGGATTATTCTTTGGAGAAATCCCTTCGAAATGAGGATTTACCGCGGAGTTTACGCATATCACGCGCGCGACGGTAGTCGAAAAAATGCAGCAGTATTATATTATGTATAGTCAACCCATTCCTTTCCCCGCTTTCGGCCGGAAATAGGGCTCCTTATCCCGGACGGTTTTTCTGCACGTGCATCGCACTATGTTGTGTAATGCGCGTAAAAATCTCAGACGAAACTATAATACGGATATACGATAATAAAACGCGGCGTTTGCGTTTGTTTCGTACGGCCGCAAATCGCAATAACGAATATTATTTCAAATTTAAATACCTGCACCATATCATTCGGCATAACGACGCAAAGTGTTTTTCACTATCGGTTCCATAAACTCCTGCCGCCCGCCCGTCGATTTTTACTGCTTTCGCACGCCGATTTTCAACTGTTTTATACCCTTTCGTATCCTTTTGTATCCGATATATACCTATTTTTAGATCCGCGGTCACTTTACTGCCAGCCAGTCGGTGTACGGTCGTTTCGGTTTTTTTTTTTTTAATACGACTCGTTCGACCGACCGACCGTCTCGACTTCGCTATGTTCTACCTGTACTCGTTTTCGTGTCGGGTCTTCAGCTTTATATTCCCTTTCCTTCCCAATAAGACGTAGTGATTCGTATCGCCCCTTGACCGCGGTACCGTTTGTCATCGAAAGTTCTTCTTTCTTCCTCTTAGCCGATACTAGTGAGCACGTAAACAGATGGCCCGCGTCTCGTCACACGCGCGATTCCCAAATAAAACCAGCAAAAGTCCTCCCGGTTTCGGTTCTTATACATGTATATAAATATTCTATTAAGTATCAAGCAATGTTGACTCGCCTGTAGTTCGCCCAGCCTTGGCCGGTAGGTTGGACATTCGTCCGTTACATTCATCCGTTACTCGCGTTACGTTCGTTTCCCGCCGCAGTTTTCTCCCCGACACACGTCAGACTCAAACTCTTTGTGACGAATAACGTAATGGGTCAGTTTTCCGTTAAATATATTACCACCTAAAATACACGGAAATGCGTCGCTTGTACAGATTATATTTGAAGCGCTAAACAATATCACCCCATATTCGGAGTCGGGTAAAAAAAAGCGTCCGTTTACAACGAGTTTGCGTCGTCTCGGGAGTGGACCGAACGAGCCGCGGGAACGGCTAAATCTCGTTAAAACGTTACGGTGAAAAAATTAAAATAAAATCAAAAAAAAATCCGTATCTATAACCTCGAGAATTATTTTAATATCCGACGGCACATTAACACGCGTATTTATTCAATTTATTAACCACGGTTCGAGGAGTGACGATAATCTGCGCGTTGTATATACGAGCGTTATTTAACTTCGTGATGACGACGGTACCGTCGTTATTTGCATTGAATTATAATATTATGTTGGTTCATAATATATACACTCGTACATAACGTTATAGATACTTCGCTTTGGGAAAACTTCATCCGCGGAACCCTCAACTTTTCGACGACGGGTTATTATCTATATAATATAATGTTATACACACACATATATATATACCGCATAATAATAATAATAATAATAATAATACGGTGTGTATCATCAAATCGCAGGCGGGTCTGTGTCGTTTTGCGCCGCGCGTTGTATTTGCAGTGTATCGCAAAAATAGAGTATAGACGAGCGGACTCGGCGGACTCGGCTTTCTCCCCCTCTCACCCACCCCCCCCCACCACCGGCACGAAGACCGGAACAAATATTGACTATAATTTCGATTTCCTGAAACGACCTAATACAATATTTGTACGCGGCGGAGGAGGTTACTGTTTATATATATATATATATACGAACACACGCGGAGAAGGAGAATATAATGTACGTGTTTTCCGAAGACTCCGAGGATATGATGCGGCGGTTATAAACATAATAATATATACGTATACGCGGTACCTTTGTCAGACACAATGAACGCGGTCCGGTGCGTAACGTTCAATCGGATCTTATGTACCGTACAACAATATGTTTCTCCTAATGAAATGATTCATGTACGCGCGCGTTTTTAATATAATTATAAAATCCTCGGGTAAACATGATATAATATTGTATTGTGTATAGCATACGGCGCATGGTGGTGTGCAGGCATTATAGCTATTCAACGGGAGTAAGGCGGGCGGGTTCGCTGTGAACCGAGTCGTTTTATACAGTAATGCGCTATAACATATCTATACAGGTACGTTTTGGCCGGATATTATTGTCGAGACACAATAATATCGTGGTCTTTTTTCATTTTTCCGGTTTGACCGACAGAGCCGGAGGATCTGCGCGGAGGAACATTACTGCAGCCCCGTTGTTGCCTACCGACAGCTATCGAGTCGGACGCACCGGACAAAAGTGTAACACGCACAATTGAATAATGAAAACGGATTATAAAACAGGACGAATGTATTGCTCGTGTTTTCTGTTTAGAGCATAATATTTTAATTCCGAAAAAAAATTATTTACAATATTGCACGATAGTTGATAGTACCTACACGTTTTAATTTTGAAAATATTATAATTTGCGAATGGAGACCGTATTCCCAAAGATCGGTTCTAATAGAAATAATTTGTAAGGGGACCGAAGCTTAAAAGAACAAAAAAAAAAATAGTAGAGGAACCCCCCCTTGTGCCCCATCTCCAAATTCGAGCATATTGTATTCCCATTAACAGAACTTAAGTCCTACAAACAAATCGCAACGCGATTAATTTTGATACGAGATATTAATCGTCGATTAGTTCAAATCTTGCAATATTAATTCGGTTTACTTTAATTTTTGATTTCGAATTCCAAACAACCGTACTTACTGAACATTGTTATTTTTAGAAATTCGGTCGCTTGAGTTACGTTATTAAACGTAAACTAACGTAATTAAACTTTTGTTATTAAAATTCCCGATAATATTCAAGAGATTTAAAATACTTTGCGTAAAAACAATGGCGGCCCGAAGCATGTGTATTTGAATCGCGTGGTTCACAAAAAACCGCGTCGGTGGTCTTGGGCGCTTGGGTGTTCAGAAACATAACAAAAATGATTTTGTTTTTACAAAACCAAAGTGATTAAAGGGATTTTAGACTGCGGACATTTAATACATTTCATTTAACCCCCTCCCCCAAGAAAACTTGGTCTTTATCCCTGGTCTGTAGATTTCGGGATATTTTCGGTAGGGTCTGGTAGATGGACAATTAAGTCGGCGATTCAAGGTAAAGATACTTCGCACCGCCACCGCGTAGACATAATATATTCTATTAAAGTAAGTAATATAACTGCCGCAATAAATTCAGAATGCGTTTATTTGTTCATTGTTGTTGTATATTTTTACACTTATCGACAATATAACATTAGGTACTAGTATTAATTATTACTATGTTGTAAAAACGAATCCTCGAGTGTACATTTCACAAGCTATTTATAATGGTGACGGAAAAATCGTTTGAACTGTTTAACAAGAAATAATAACATCTGGGAATCGTGTTCAACGAATTTATAACTTCATAAAACACACATTTTAGGGGAGAAATGATAACTCATGTTATACTTAGGTCTTAAATCTTACGGTTAATCGTTATTCTAAACGAGTTCTCAAGAGATCGATTTCAAAATAGTTTACTCTATACGTAAACGCGTTGGTATTCTTTTAAAACAGTTAACTAAAGTTTCGATGAATACGTATATATATATATATATATATATATATATTAGCTTATTATACGCCATTTAATATTTTTTTATTATTTTTAAAATAACTTTCACAATCTGTACTTACATAAAGAAAAATATACAATAAGCAAAATTGTCTAAACCTATTTAATAGGTTAAAAATATAATAATGACTTGATGTCGAGTAGGGAAGCTATCCAGTGATAGGACCCTTAATTTTTTATAATCAAAAAAAAAAAAAATCTTTATATTTCTATGTTTAGCGAGCATATTTGTTTTCAAAGACGTATTCTCGAAGATTATGCGAATATGTATACGTTATATATTTTTAGGTGACTATAATATAGCGGCGGTAGACATTCTTTTCCGCAACGGTAATTTTTATATCGGTTCGTTCTAGACACTTTATCCACACTCGTATATATTATGTTCGCGTTTTCCGGTCAAAAGATCGTAATAAACTCGGTTAAGGTTTATGTCCGGCGTGTCTATTGTTAGTTGGCATCGTAAATTCGTTCAATCGGCACACTGCTACTGCTGCTGCCGCTATTGCTGCTGCTGTAGGAGAGAGAAGGAGAAGGAGTGTGTATGTGTGTGTGTGTGTGTGTGTGTGTGTGTGTGTGTGTGTGTGTGTGTGTGTGTGTGTGTAAGAAAGAGAGAGAGAGACAGAGAGAGAAAAAAGAGCTTAATGAAATTTAATTTAGAGCTCTGCGCCCCGGTGCATTCAATACGGATACACGGGCCATGTGTGTGGTTCAATTATTTCGGTTCGTTAAGACCGACTCCGTTCATTCTAAATCCTAAGAAGAGATTTCTTCCCCTACTCCTAATGAGTTTCCACCGAGCAAATGGAAAATCGAAGAAAAAATAAATTTTTTTCTCCTACCTCCCCCTCATCCCGTTTGTTGAGAAAACTATATATGTCTATATATAATAGTATACAGTTACCCTGCCATACCTATAATCAAACGATACGATTATAATCGAATTTCAAACGATAACGTTTAATTATGGTAGAATCGTATTAAATTATACGATCAATATGGTACTGTATGACAATAATTATAATTATAAACATAATACTGTTAACAACGTTTTATGCGCAAATAATGATCAACTTGAGCAGCGAAACTGCATGCAGTTTCCCGAAAAATAATCTATACGAGAAGTACGAAATATGTAATTAAAAAAAAAAAAATGGACGATACTAGGTGTGTCAATATTTCAGAAGGGAAGACATGATGTCCTATTAAGGAGTAATAATATAGTAATTTAGTAATTCGTGCTATACTGTTATAAACAGTAATGTCACTTGCCAGTGTACATTATAATATTACTAATATTATTAATAAAATTATTTACGACTTAACTTTGAGTTAATTATTACGTGATCCAGTGGTTATAATTATGTGTTATAACTTTCAAACTTATAATACCTATTTACTTATCAAAAAAGTATAAAGATTCCCGTAAACATAAAGGATAAGTACAATATAATAAATAACAATTGATAAAAATAAAAACCAAAAATTGATCCATGGCGACATAAATATTCTAGTAAAAACATGTTTAAAAAAAGACTGTCCTGTATCGGTTCAAAACGTGTTTATAAAAAGCAAAGCCGAAACATTTTAAAATCAAAGACCGAAACCGTTAAAATTGATAACGGTTTCGAGCCCTGGGTTAAAATATTTTAAATGTCTTGGATGAAACTTTTTTTTGCCACCAAGTACAAAACTATTATAATTGACCTCGAGTAAAATGTTCAAACATATTTTTAGTTTTGCCAAAACAGATTTATCCGCTTAAAACCAAATAAAACCTGAAAAACATATAAACTACTCAAAAATCGCCAGACATCTGTAATTCTGTAATTATTTTTGATCTAATTGCAAAAAAAAACCGACGTTGAATATAACGAAACCGTTACGGACAAAAACTTGGAAAATCGTATTCTCGTGTTATTTTTTGGTCGGAGATAAAGATTTCAGGTAGACAGGTCGTTTACAGACACGTAAAAAAAAAAAAATCGTAGTAAAATCGATAAACTCACTACGCTCCGAGTCTAAAATTAGTCGAAGCAATAAAATTATCGACGTGCGTATAATGGATAATGTGTGTGTAGAAAGAGAGAGAGAGAGAGATAGAGAGAGAGTTAGAGAAAGAGAGAAAAAAACAAATGAAATGTAATTTGGCACGTTTATAAATTCGAGAGACGCCCGCGAGACGTAACGTCGCGGGATCGTACCAAACTGTATAATATAATCGAGGCGATTAATTCTCGACGATAATAATAATTACTTTATTGTTAAACGCCGCGTACAATAAACGTATACATAAAATGGTTTTAAATAATTTATTTAGAGACAACTGCGATTAGTTTTAAACGACGTAAAATATCGTACTGTTTACCCCGTTCGAATTGCTGCGACTCGGCTTCGGCGCAGGTACTAATCATTTTGGCGGGCTGGGGCAAACGCAGAAGGGAATGAACGTCCGGATTGTTTGAAACACTCGCTATTATACGACCCCGGTTGCATTATGTTAACACAATAATGCACTGTGCATTGGCTACACGCGACACGCCGTTTTCCGATTGGTCGATTAATCCGAGTTAGGCAGATTTTATTTCGATTTTCGGTTACCGACACGTTGTTAGCCGCCGTTCAATACAATGCTATGTCGTGCGCCTATAGAACCTAGGTTCTATAAGGTATTAAAAGTATAGTTATATTAGCTGTAGGTTTTAAACGACGAAAAACCCTCGGGTTGTGGTGCGAAACCGCGTCGGATAGGTAACGGGGCCGAAAAAATGTGTTTTCGGTACGCCCGGAGACTCGGCGGGGTCAGTGACGGATCCAGGTGGGTCTAGGGCAGTGGTTCTCAACCGGGGGTCCCCGGAAAAAAAAGCGTAATGGCGGAAAAATTGAAATTTGTTGTAATTAATTGAAGTTACTTGTGAAACTAGTTGTGAAATATTGTAAATGAGTACCGCAATAGACTCTCGGTGAGTACAGACTTACGAGTTTATTTATCATCCGTGGAGCCAGATTTCAAAAAGTTAAGTGCTAGCCAGACTTACGAGTTTATTTATCATCCGTGGAGCCAGATTTCAAAAAGTTAAGTGCTAGCAAACAATCTTTTATTTATCATCCGTGGAGCCAGATTTCAAAAAGTTAAGTGCTAGCAAACAATCTCAAGGATCACTAGCAAACAANTATTTTTATATATAAAATGTATTGCGCATGTTGATCAAAATAAATCAAATTTTTCATTATTAAACTTATTTCGTTAATTCATATCTATCTTATGTGAAAATATATGAAAAATTGGCATTTGGGGGTTCGTAAAGTAGTAGTGAGTGGTCAAGGGGTGCGTGAATGAAAAAAGGTTGAGAACCGCTGGTCTAGAGCCCAGCTCCCCCCCTCCGGACATATGATTTCTCAAATTGTTTATGTATAATCGTATAGATCCTGATAGTACTGCCACGTCGCCACTAAAGTTGGTCCCGGACAATCACACATAGATTGTGGTTGCTTAAACTATTATGATACTATAACATAGACACATTGCAATCGTATTTGTATTGTAAACAAATTGTTACTCCTCCCCTCCAGATCTTTGCTCTGGATACGTGCGTGGGTGGGGTCATGGCGGGATACTATCGACAACGACATAGTAAACGAATAACGTGTTGTTAATACGGAAATAAAGTCGGCGGGAAATGTTTAATGGACCGATCCGAAAACCGCGAGTCGTGTAGCCAATATTACACAACAGTTTATTCTATCAATATGCACCCAGTCGGTAAACGAAAACGCACGGCCGTTCTTTGTTTTTCGCGCGAAATTGGCTTCCGGAAAAACAAATACCGGTCGACTTTTGAAAAATGCGAATCCGCCGTCGGTTTCGCATGTCTCGCGGCGCGAAATATCGCCGGCTCGTCCGCGCGGGTCTCATTTGTTCTAATAACATATAAATAATCGCTACAACTGGAATCACGTAGCTGCGATGCCACTGCGGAAAAATCCTGTAAGGCTGTATTATAACGACCGTCTATATATACGTCTGTATATACATATATAGTTCTCCGGTAAGTCAGTGCGGTAAAAACGAGGGATTCGGTGGGGGGGGGNGGGGGGGGGGGGGGAGGGGCGGGAGGACGGGGGCGTGGGGTCGAGTTTATTGGATTTCGTAAACACGTGATAGAAAATTAGATTTGCTGCGACCGAAAGCACTTTATCTCTGCACTCTTTATCATTCCTTATATAATATATATATATATATATATATACGTATATGTATAAACTATATCCTCGCACTTTTCAAAATAAAACAAAAATCCATCTAACCTCTTATACACCCACCCTCGGCAACTGCTGATCGAGGTACCAACAAAAAGAAAAAAAAAAAACGGAAAAAGAAGGAAAAAATAGGGATACTGTAGTACACCTCTTGTGTTTCCGGTCACAATTATTATTATCCCTGGAAAGCGATATTTCTCCAGCAGCGACAGAATTCAATTGTGGAAAAAAAAGTTTATTCTTTTTCTTTTTTTTTTTGTGTTGTACACGGCCGCCGGGATACGTGACCGCTATTCATTGTTGGGCTCGTGAAAACAAATTCTTGAGTCACAAATGCGTTTATCACGCGTGTTTCACAAGAAGAAAGAAAACCTTCCGGCCGGCTACTATACAGGGCGGTACAAAATCTTCGGTTTTTTTTTCTTCTTACAACACGTTTCAGGAAAGAAAAAACTAAACCTCTTAATGAACTGTAAAACTGCTGGCTGTACTAAATTGAAAAGACGGAAAACTTGTATTATAGGTATAATATACATATAGGTGTTGCGACGCTGCGTGTCAATAGTCGTGGGCGAGTCCGTATTATAAAATATTTCCATCACGTACAAAATGTATACTGCTGATCACAGATACTCGTAATATTTAACACGTGTATTTGAAAAAAAAAAAGAAGATTTAACGATCTCCCGGTTGTAATGATTATGATGCGTCAGTGTTGAAACAAAATAAAACATGACAGTTTTAATATTCAACAAACATTATAACACTATGAATAAATAACGAATTAACTATTTAATTATGTTTTTGTTTTTGTTTTTTAACGTTTTTCAATACGTACGCGTCTACATCCTTAGGAGTAAAGTTTATATTGAATATGTTATTTTTTTACGGAATTCGAAATTTTATTCTGGGCGAATAGTTGGTAGGTACTTGTTTTCAGTGAAAATTATTGTGTTATTATCAGGGTCGTTTAACCCATTAAAAAAAAAAAAAAAAAAAATAAAGCAGTTTCTTTATCAGTTTATAATCGTGATTTTTTTGTTTATTTAAAACATGTTTTCAATTGTATACATTATGAACGTGGTTTTGTTCGATTAAAACATTATTTACGGTAAATATATAATGATAATATTTATTAATTATATATTCGTATAATAATTGTTTAAGAATAAATACAAATTAGAGAAATATTACTTCTTTATCTATAAGTAATATGAAATTGTTTACTTTCGTTTATATTTTAAAAACGAACAGGATCTTTATATAAATATCGTCACTCTTCAGAACACATTATGGTTATTTTAATTTAATTTCCAAACTTCTAAAATGTTTTTAAACATTTTTGTGTTGAACGTCTCAGACACATAGCAACTTGCTTAAAACACTTTGCAACCCTTTACATTATATTATATACCACTTACCGTTAAAACGGCTGTGTGCCTAGTATACTGATTGCTGTGCACTGGCTTTGAGTAAAACAAATTTCTTGATGATTCTGCCACGTGAAATTGATCGAAATGTAGTAATATGATGACGAATAGTTGTAAATACTCAAGTCATTCGAATCGGAAAATTACGTTTCCTCAAGAGCAATATTGATTGAGTCAACAAGAAGATAATGATAAAAACGAGACATTAAAAAAACAGACATATTTTCAATTTTAATATTGGTTATTACATGAAATGACGAATATAAATTCCAAAATTAAAGAGTAGAGGAAAAAATTAAATAAACATAAAAAAAAAACAACATAATATAGATAGTCACTGCAGATTTGATTAAAATTAAATTTAAGTAGGCGGAGCAATGTATTATTTTCATCAAATTATTAATTATTATTGGTGTATTACATTTTCGCTAAGGATGAGTTTTTTTTTATGATGCCCTGTATACTGACAATATAAGAATAATACTACTACTATGGTTAAAAGGCCTTTCAAGACCATCCCATTTCACACCCACTCCGCCACTCTATTGATAATATCACTTTAATATTGTATATATTATTCCCGCAGGGAAACCATGTATGGTTTCGAGTGTAACAATCCCACGGGTCCCAGTTAAAGACGTTGGAAAAGTGGCGTCCTCGTCGTCTAATATACCGCAAAGTATGTTGCAATAGCCTCTCAGTGACTCTAGGTAGTTATTGGGCTCTTCCTTTAAGATTTTTATGAAAATCTTTCGGAAAAACAAAAAAATGACATTTTTAATGTACCGATTAGATTCAAAATCCAAACAAAAAAGATTCCTTGGCATTTTTCGATTGGAGCAAGTTTTCTGGTAGAAAAGCTGTTTACGGGTAAGTACGAAAAAAAAAACAGTACTAAACTAATACAATCTCCCACTAGGTTAAAAATTTAAATAAAAACTCGTGTGTAGTGTAGCTTCGGTTCTTTTGAAGTTTCAATTCCTTTTTTTTTTTTTTGGGAGCTATATTTTTTTATTTGTACACATATGTATATATAAAGATTTTTAGTGCTTTAAATTTACAAACTTGTAGTGGTGCCGAACATGCCGGTACTGTTGGTCACAGATAACATATATATAAAAAAAAAAGAAAATATTTCGACAGTGCGAAACGAGAAAAAAACATAATTAAATCGAACTTGACGATTTTTACTTTAACACACAGTAGAAGTCGCATATTAGGAACACGGGTAATTAACACAATCCCGTTATTGAAACAAAATGCATGAGGGCGGACCGATCGTATATTAAAACCACAATCGTTTATCAGAAACCATCGGTTAATTGACACGTTTCAAGTCGGTCCCAAAGTGTTCCTGATAAACGGCTTCTACTGTATTATACAATAAGTAAATAACGTCTTGACTATTTAATTGTTTTTTTTTTCCGACGTTTTTTAATCATAATGTCTGTGTCCTTTCGGTATTTCTCCAGGAATAAAGTTCACATTAAATTTACATTTGTTTACAAAAACTATACATTTTATACAGTACACAATGTAAGTACTCGTGTTCAGTGTGCATTGCAAAATGTATTTATTAATACAATTCAGAGATAAATGTTTTTAAGATATAGATTACATTACAATCATTTAATTATTTGGAGATAATAATCAAAAACTTTTACTTATCTTGGTAAAAAAATTTATCAGATAAACTAAGTGTTTAAAGTTTACTAGATAGGGTGTATAAATATCTAGATTGCGAAAAAGATGCGAAATTGACGAAACCTAAATATTATACAATAAACCGTGTTCATATATAAATTAAATATTTTACTCATATTTTGTAATTAATTTATTCATTGAAATTAAAAACAATCTATCCAAATATATTTATCCAGATAAAACACCGTCCGTGATCTATTCGAGGTCGAAACGGTTCTTTTTGATTACGACGTGTAAAATATGAGTGTATTATATGTAGTACGAATTTAAAACATTGCGATTGACAGGAAATTAAATGTCAACTGTAATATGAGTAATAAATTACCAGGAATAATGGATAGAACAGAATTGAAAAAAAAAATGAGAAATATAAATCTCTATTTGAAATACATAAATTATTTTTTGTTGAATCAGCGACTTAAATATTTTTGCTGACACTGGAAACTATTATTATAAAAAAACAGAAACATTATATTTTTAGAAATTTAAGTCATATTAAAAATACGGAACCCTATACATTTTACTATGGTGTCACATTTTTTTTTTTGCTTCTATAATGTAAGTAACAAAAATTATTTTGTTTCCACAAAATGAAATCCATTAAAAGAATTTCACTGCGGAATTTTGATAAAAATTGGAGGCTTTTAATAGAAAACTGTAAAATATTGTATAAAATTCGAAAAATTATAGTTATCGAACAAGATGTGGTAGGGTGTGGTAGTTTTGGTAGACGAGTGAATGGAAAATTAAATCGGTGATTCGAGGTAAAAATAAACTTCCCGCCGTCACTGTTTCATCCGAGATTTATAGCTTTCTTATTAAAAGTTCACACTCATTTTAAGTAAATTGATTAAGGCGAATCCATGCCGACGGTGAAAATCAATTTTCGACTATGGGTCGCTATAGAATTCCAGCGCTCCAGTCAGTCCACGCTGCACGATATTATGTTCCGAACGTGTTAAACAATATAAGTACCTATGCGGAATTCGAAATATATTATTTTAATATCGTTCAAAAAAAAAAAAAAAGCGTCCAACTAGTGTCTATTATTATTATTATTTTGGCTTTTGGTCACCGCCGGTCCTGTGCAGGACAATTTTAACAGACCGACGAGAGAAAGAGCCGATAATATTCCCGAATCGTTTTATTGGGTGTAAACACTGGAAAGGATGGCTGATAAACGTTCGATAAATTACGTTTAATGGTGTGAAATTAGTGGAGCCGCGGTCGGATTTCCGTACGGTCCATTTACCATCTCATTTTTTTTCTCTCTCATTCTCTTTTCTCTCCCGCATCCTCTACACTATACTCTTATACCCGGACCGACTGTGCTCTCAAAACCTATGCCAAATTTTTGTGTTTATCGTTGTGCGTGTAACGCATTTAATCGAATAAAGTGATTATTCGCACTTAACAGTAAATAATATAATAATACAAAATCGTTTGGTTGTTTGAAAACGGGTTTTACATGGCAATAAAATCAGAAAACTAGGACGGTAATAATTTCGTATCCATTCGCCATTCGTTCGTTTTACTAAAAACTTTGACTAGGTCTTACGAGAATTCAATTTTCGGCCAGTCACTTGATTATCATTATTCATTTTATTACACGGGTACACGCTACTTTAAAAGTATACAATTATTAATAGTAAATAACTGTCGAAATTCAATTATACTTTATAAACAGCCGTTTATAATTGTATTTCAGATAAACAGTTAATACGCAATTTTTTTTTTTTTTTTTTTTTGTATATACATAATCTGTATCATTATTTATTCACGGGGTACGTGTTGATGAGCTCGAATTCGAGGTGATTTTCATGGAAAAAAACATGAGAATTTTTTTTTCCCGGATATCCCGTTTTGCTTACCAGATATCGTCCGATTTTTTAAGCAATATCAGACGTCATGTAAAATAGGTCTGTGCGTCTAGATAGGTATCAAAACGGTCGTGTGTTCGATATAATTTTATAATCTATTTATTAAGCTATATATATTAATAATAATTAACAATTTTACTCATTGTTTCCGATAAAAATATCAATGCCGATTGAAAAGGATTTATCTACCTAGACCCTAGGTGATTCGATTATTTATCTCGGATAACTATTGGTTCTAATTTATCTGCAGATATATGAAAAGAAGTTAAAACCATACCTATCTAGATAAAATACGACAATGGTTATAAACGCTGCAGGATGCCACGTTATATTGGCGTGCTTTGAGATTTTCGGTTTCATTCCGCGCCAATCTCGAAAGTTTTCCATCGCGCGTATCCGATTACAAAATACCGCCGGGCAAAACGAAAAGGGGAAAGAAAAAACCTCCCCGGCTTTAATGCCAACGGAATTGGCACGCCGACTGGCGCCCAAGGTTGCGGGAAACAACACTTCATTTATGAGTTTTCTCGGCGCGAACAAATTAAACAAGTCGGGCCGATATAAAGATAACGCGGCGATACCGTGTGCAGTTGGCAAAGACCCGCGAAAGAAATCCGATTCGATTAAAATATACAAAAAAAGAAACGTTACTTACGCCTTGGATATATTATCATTATGTATATATATATATAAGGACAATTATGTTAAAGTAAAGTTATTTGGTGTACAGAAGAGCGTATAAGTTTCGCGGAACGACTGCAGAGCTGTGTGCGAAACGAAGTTGACTAATCCTCGCCGTGTTGAAGTTCAAATTAAATTCACTATATATAATATATACGCTTTATACGTGTGTGTGTTTACTTAACATTTGAATTTCAATCTGTCAGAGAGATAAGAGCCAAGCTTTTAAAAGTTGTTTGACGCGACCTTCTCACGGTATACGATAATGTTATGTGTGTGTATATATAATACAGCGGCACCGAATAGACGGTTTTATTTTAACTCCGGTTTATATATTTTTTTATACTTATTAAATTCAGTTTATTTTATGATTTCCTCTTTCTTGTACATTATACTACGCTATACACACGCGCGCACGCTCCGACACGAACATACACACACAAAAACACGCACACACACACACACACACACACACACACACACACACACATGTATATACATGTCTTTTAAGAGAATGGGTTTTTTTTTTTTTTATAACAAACGAACGATATAGAAGCCTTTTAAAAATATAGGTACCTATATATATGTACATGGAAAAAAAAAATAATAATAAAAAACACCTAACGGGCTATAATACGGAGGGCGATCGGGCGTTAAGATAAAATCGTTTTCGCTGTTATAGCACGGACACACTGTTATGCGGCTTCGATAATGACCCGAGGAAAATCAAAGGGGCGAAGTGGAAGGGCCTGAGGAATGGAGCAGATGGGGGAAGGGGTGAGAAAGTGTTCGATAAAATGTTCGGTAAATATTTGATGTTTATAATTTTATCAATCTTATATTACGTTATATTATATCAAACGCGCGGGAATTTATTTTCTATCGTTTCCACGGATTTACGATGAAATAATTTATTTTTTATAAAAAAAAAAAAAAAGAAGGAATAAAAGAAAATGTTTTTTTTTTTTTTTTGTAATATATTAATAATACATCGGAGAAGATGTTAAGCAAATACAAATATTATCAAACTGCCGAATTCGTATGATAATAATAATAATAATAATTGGTAAGGTGACATTTCGATTGATGAGTGGACACGTTTTGATTTGGTTTTCAGAAGGACAATTTGATTCGCATTGTTTGACAATTAAAATTGTTAACAAAACTTGGTCGAAACGTCTCCAACAAAAACAAATTATCGAAATGTCCCCGATGACAATTTAATCGAGTTAGAAAATTAAATTTGTTTACAAAATGTATCAAATTGTTCCAACCGGATCAAAATGTTCCGTTATTTAATAATCCGCAATGAGTGTTCCAAAATAAAAACCACAAATATTTCGCCCGGAAATAACAAAAATATACTTAACGTGTCTATTATCGAAGCTTTTTAAATTCATTTCTCACGGTTCTTTATACTATACAAATATATACTCCCCCTGTCGTTTGGTACAGTACAAATACATTCTCCCCCTCGCGAAAATAATTGTCACAAATAACCTAAAAGCCGAACACAGATTTTTCCGAGTAAAAAAAGATTATTATTACTACCAGTATTGGGGTGAATTTTTTTTTTTTCTTTATCGAAAATATGAATCACCGAGGGGAGTAGACTCGTTTATATATATTTCGAACGAGAACAGGGAAACACTATCACGGCGGCAGCGGCCAATTGTCAATGTTATGAAAATAAACTTATTCCCCCGTTTATGTGTTCTTTTCGAATTTCCTATAGCGAAATGTGTTGTTTATTCTCCGACGACAATACACGACCAAAAATGTGTTCAATTATTCAGAAAAATAAATACGAAATGTGTACGCGGCTAAGTTTTATGGTAATTCGCATATAATATTGAGACCGGGCCAACGCGTTTTTTCTCGTTGTATGCGTTTTAAGCATCCCAGTCGATATCCGCACTTATCGCCGGCTATGGGACGTTCTCGTGTTTAGCCATGTGAATTATTGATGGCGGAATAACGTATGGGAGATATTTGAAGTATTCAACGTCGACCTCTAGGCCGCAGTATACAGACAGGTGTATGTTATTATATTTTCGAGTACAAAATTACTATGAAAACCGAAAAAAAAAAAAGAAAAAATTTCTTAAGTTTTCATTCGCCCATGTATTATAATGTCTGCGTCTATACATGACGTATTATAACACGGCTGCGGTAAATTTTTCAAAAAGGTCGCGTACCAGAATCCGACTCGCTCTTGACGCGGCCGTGAGTCGAGTGTTCTTTAATAATTCGCACAAATACACACGATTTAAAAACCTATTTTGCCGCGCGCACATACCTATATACGCGTGTAATATTCAACGAGTTAGTGCCGTCCACATGTATAATATGGAGAAACGTAAAAAGTTATTATATATTATAGCGGAGGTGGAAAAACCAGGCGCCTGCAAACCATTAAACTACGTAAGTGGAGTCATATTCGCACCAGTTCACTTTCAATTTACATAATATTCAATAGGGTTTAAAAAAAAAAAAAATATATATATATAATAATAATTTAATATTCTCAAATGCGTAATTTTTTTTCATCATTCCCGAGCCTATAGAAATAACGTAACCGCGTGTCCGTGTGTGTGTGTGTGTGTGTGTGTATGTGGGTGTGTATGCGTATTTTCAATGTATAAACGCAGTAGAATATACGTAGAGTAGACAGAGAGAGAGAGAGAGAAAGAAAAGGGGAGGAGGAAGAGGAGCGAGAGTTCGGATATGAAATTAAAATTGTTTTTATAATCCCCGAGGTAAAGGGCGCGTATAATAATATGTAGGTACGTACCGCGTAAATACTTTAACCGTATATTATACTTCTGCGCGGTCTAAACTTTGTTTTTTAAACTAATTTCGCAATCGGTTAACTGTGCACTATAATGTATCACCGGATTAAAATATTTAACAACAACAACAATGATAACAATAATACGATTCGTGTGACTTTTCGCGTACAAATGCGCACAGAACGACCGGGTCGCGCGAGACGGGACAATATTATCGCGGCGGGGTTGAAAAGAACCGAACGGGTAATGCGGCCTTTTTTCTTTTTTTTTTTTTTTTCTCTCTCGTCCCGAAAACGCGCTCTCGTTTTGTCCTCCGCGATATTATTATTGTGATCGTAACGCGAACGAATGTATGTCGAACGCGGGACGTTTTCAAACGGTCTCTACCGTAATGCACAATACGTACAAACAATATTGCCGATAACGAAAAACGTGCGGATCGCGTTTTCGACGGGACGGCAACTATATTGTACAACTCGTATAATTCATTACGGGCACACGTTTTGTTTTTCGAATTTCGTCCGGCTTCGGAGATTTTGCAAGAGAACATCGCCGTATGGGGAACTATAGACGGTAAATTTCGAAAAATACGGACATACTTCGCGAGTGGGTGCAGCCACTGTTGTAGGCGGAAAGTTGCGAAGGCAGTATATAGACGGGAATTTAACGTGCATCTGTAAGCACACGTATAATATTTCTGAATCGTATGCGTACAGCTGAACGGAAATAATTTACTACAAACTGACGGAACGGGGTTGAGGCGGGCCAATAAAACACGTAAAACTACTCAAAAGTGCGATACTTGGCGCTGGGCGGATTTGAATTTCGATAAACAGATTCGATTTTGTGTTCTAATTTTGTACGTTCCGATCGAGGCTGCTATTCTTGATAATATTCGAAAAATTTAATGTATAATAAATTATTTTTTACACAATATTAAAGGATAATTACTGGTACAGAAATGATGGAAATTTAAAAAAAAAAAAAAAAAAAAATTCTATTGTCATTTTAACGATAAAGTCGAATACACTCAAAACTCACCTAGATCGAAATCTAATAAACTAGAGTGCAAAATTTAAATCTATTTTAAAAATTCGAATCAGTTCAACTCGAGTCCCGCAATTTCGTCCGATTTCTCGGTTTTGCAGACAACTCTACATCGCTTGGCATTATTTTCGATTGAATTTGTTTTTCAACGCGCTTGCGCGTGCGAGTGTCGTTCGGCGGCGATTCGAGAATATTATAAAGGCGCAAGAGCAGGGAACTGTGGACCGTTGATGCGTATCTCTCGATTTCATATTATTTAACATTAACACACAAACCCGCATTACGCGTTTTATCATCAATTGCGCAGATCGGTAAATTGTGCCGCGGTAATTTATCGATTTATTGTTACGATATTGTGTTATTTCCGTACAATTGTTATTTCGCCGGCGTGTTTCGTACTTTTGTTGTATAAATTACCTACGATGTGTCGCACAGTCGTATCAACGTATTTATACACGCGTAACGGATTTGATCGTACATCGTTCGCGTGATCATATGGAAGCCGAAGTCGGGACATTGCAGAGCTATCAGAGTTTTAGTGCCGATTTCAAACGCTATATTTTAATAGCGTGAGGCGTGTTATTTTTTTGCGTTTCGGGGTTAGCCTGTAAAATCATAATCATAACAGTCAATTACAATCAATAATCGCTGTAATAAGTATATTGGTATAACAAATATATAATGAAAAATAAAACGTACGTTTTTCAATGGTTTTGACAATTTAAGACATTTGAACGCAAACCCTCAATAAAGTTCGATTTGAAAAAAAGTGGACTGAAACCGCCTATATAAGTGACCACTCAATTAACACAGATGAAGAGCCATTGTCCGGACCTTATCTTCTAAAACCGTGGTCGTTATTTTTATACCCGAATAAAAAAAAAAAAAACTGTGGGTATTTTGCTGCCAAAAAATAAAAAGCGTTTATAGATATTGCCTACGTATTGAACATGCGCAAGTGATCAAAAACTTATCGTTTCACTATATAAACGGCAGACGAGCCGTTAGCATAGACATAATACGAGTAATATATTATGAACTGCGCGTCTCCCATACCATTGTACCTTAGATTGCTTAGTACCGACATTTTTAGAAAAAGATAGCCAATCCCTGTAGTGCATAACACAATAGGACCCAAACTGTATATGCTATCTTTTTCTAACAATATTGTTATCTTTATTGTTATTTCTTTCTCTCTCTCTCTCTTTATCTTTATCTATCTCCTTCTCTCCAACTATGAATGAGTAGGTATATGGTACATAACTGTATAGTTACATGCTATCTTTTTACAACAGAACGGTTTTTGTGAGCAATATGATATGTCAGTAATTAACATTTTTCGGTTTATATATCGATTTTGTAGGAAAATTTTAGTCGCATTTAATGATAGGACGTTTAGGTAAACATGTGCTATGATAAAACGTGACAAATCAACATTTCAATATGATAAATGTATAATAATTCATAGGATGATTATTTGTAAGGCAAGTATTAAGACACGGTTAGTAATAAATCATATTTGTGTGCACGTAAGGTGATAATAATTTTTATAACAAAATGATAAGTAAACAAAAATGAATTCAATTAAATTTTTTTATAATCGAAACTATTGATGTTAACATACAATTAAAAATATAGGAAATATATATACATATTTTTTTTTCTTTTAAGAAAATCGTCTTCTTTTTGAAGAAAATTTGAACTTTTGACATACCGAGTTTCTCACAAAAACAATATTCTCCTCTCTTATCTCTCACACACACACACACACACACACACAGACACACAATATCTTTTTCTCTCATTGGCCATCTATGTATTTAGAGCCTTATAAATGAAATTATACGATATTAACTTTTATTTCGCGTTTATCAACTGGATACATTAAAGTTTTATTAAATACGTGTTCCGTAGAAATGTCGAGTACATTATCCAAGGTCAATGTTTTGACGGGGCGGATGTCACGCGTGTTGCTAGCAATATTTCATAATATCTATTATTGCCGAACGGGACGAAATTGCAAACTATACACTCATTATATATATATATATATATAGCTGTAATTTACGTCGTACTATAATAGTTATTAGAAGACAAAATGACATCTGGAAAAAACAATATAAACTCGAAAATATATTAAAAAATATATATATTTAATTATAAACCAAACTGCCAGTTCGGATTCGAGACGACCGCGTGGTCTAGTCCGAACATGTCGAAACCCACATAATATTAAGTCAATAACGTTAAACAATAGGACACTTGGAGTGACGAGGCAAAATCGCAAAACAAATTTTTCGAGGGGGTGTACATTTTTGTTTCCGCTGGTGTTCAGAAAACGTTCGCTTGTTAAAATACGCTTGAGTGTTTAACGATTGAAAAATAAAACGGAAATGTAGGTTTTCGTCCTAAAGGTTGCAAATTTTATAATTTAAAACAAAAACATAAAAATTACTTGCAACTCGAAAATATTGTATTATTAAAGTATGTCTAGGTATATAAAGAACGATAGATTATATATATATATATATATATATATATATATATATAGTATATTAATATAGAATATGATTTTGTTCGGTTAACTAAAGAAGATTACAGAGCCGCATGCGCCGCTCTGTAGAGAACTCGTGTATATATATATATATATATAATGTGAGGTTCACTAATACCCTCCTCATATACTTACTGTATGATAGTTGGACTCAGTTAAAAATTCTGCATCACTAATAATTGATGTCAAGTTACTGCGTCGTCGTTAAGTCGTCCGGCGTTAAACCTGCGGGCTTCTCGACGTACAGAAAAAAAAAAAACCCTCCGTGTTTACAGTTACGGAATGATCGTTTATGTCGAAATGTGAAAACCGTGTATGCGTAGTCGTCTTGGAATATCTGGCCGGTAACCGTGCAGCGACGGTTTAAAGAAAGAAGAAGTTTTGGTCGAAAATTCTCGTTCCAACATATTGTAATATGCTGCATATAACAGTTTTCAAAAATATATTCTCAAATTTGTCTTGAAGTTATTTATAGCCGCTTGATGGAATTGCGCCATTTTTTTGAAATTTTTTTTTAGTAATATATGCGCGGATAAGATATTCATTATAAGTGGCGCGAAAAAAAAAAATGGTTTAAAATAATTTATAATTTTTTTTATTTTACAATCATTTAAAATTAAATTCTACGATAAAATTCGGTAAACATATGAACTACGATTGTAATTAATATTTTGTTTAAACTACGGAAAACCGTAATATTTCCGATTAAAATCGATCAAAATGTGTCGAACCGAACGCACGCCACTCGTTTTTGCTGTAATACTTGTAATGTTCGACCGTTGTGTATGTATTAAGTTTATTGATATATAAACTAAATTGCTCTGTATGTATATGTTTGCACCTTCTTGACATCTCGCTTATAACAGCGGCCTATCCAGCAGCAGTATCCTGTAACAGCGTACCAGGGGCTATGGCACGATTGAGCTTAACGTACCTTTTTCAACAGCATACTCGAGCATAGAAACCGTAAACAAAATAAATCTTAAAAATACTAAAAAACCGACACAATTGAGCACAAAAAAATCTACGCAATGATCCCGTTTATTGCGTTCAAATTTAAAATGCTATTGATGACGAAAATCTTTATAAATTCGATTTTAGACACTTAATGTAATGAAATCGGTGTCCTGCGAGTCGGATTTTTCGTGACATTACGTGGGTATGTGCGTATGATATTGTGCCATACGATATATGTTAATAAAAAAGATTAAGTACAGGAACGTTCCGTAACTTTATAGTTAAAACAATTGATTCTGTCCGAGGTTGTAAACGAGGTTTTTGCGATTTTCCTAAAAACCGCTTCAAAGTAATAATACAACTTCACGTCACCAGCGGCCGTGTTTTGAAAAAAAAAAAAAAAATTAAAATGCGTTTCGACCCGTAATTTATGTTTGTCGACCGAAAAAACCTCCTCGAACGCGATCAAGCCGAAATCAAGTCGATGCTCGTATATATATATATATATTTTTTTTTTATACGGTCGTCTATTCGCATATTCGACGGAGAAATAACAGTAACAATAATAATTGCAGTTTGCGGTGTTATTGTGCAGGCGACTGTTCAAGAGTTATCGGGCCGAAACGCCACGCGGCGGTGGCGGCGGCGGTACACCGGACTCGCGGGAAAAGAAAGGCCGGGGCCCGGGAGGACGGAGAATCTCGGACGGGGTTTTCTCGAATTTCACGGGTCGTTTGCGTCGTCGCCGGCCGTTTAATAAATTGCGCGCCGTATACGCCACCGGTCACGGAGACCTATAATATAATACGCCCGCCCCTCCGTGTCGCGGTGCCTCCGCGCCGACGACGGCGGCAACGTAATTAAAATCAAATTAAACAACGCCCGGTGGATGGGCGCGAAGGAGTAGGAAAACGAGAGACCTTCTCCTCTCGCGCGACGACTGCGACGACCGTAATGTTATACTCGTATACTCCCAAACAAATAATTCCGCCGGCCGTGTTTATTATTATTATTATTATTATTATTCGTTTTTGAGTAAGGTATATTATTATAATTATTATTACACACTCTTCATTATAATATCATATTTTCTGTACACAATTATCCGTGTACCCTGTATAATACACGACTGCGCGCCACACATATTATTATAATGTGTGCGGCGGTGCACGTGCCAAGCGATAACGACGTAATTTTATTCGGTCGGACCCGGAAAGTGTAACCGGAAACAAAACGCCGTCGCCGCGGCCGGATCCGACGTTTGTTTTTCGGTCGCGTCCTGCCAAAATGTATTTTCATTCCCGTTATATAGGCCGACGTTTTTCAACTTTTGGGTCGCCCCAACATTTTGAAAATCGTAAACAAATGTAATATAAAAAAAAAAATAATAAAACCTTAACGTTTCACTTCCCGATTCCTATCTGATAAAGCGCCAGCACGAAATATAATTGCGTTTGTCGAAAATGCTCTTTGAATCGAAACGCTTCTCGGATGCCCTCCGCCACTTAGTTTTGTCTTATGTTCCGAAAATTTCTACTCGCCCATCATCCATTCTATCATCGTATACTAAGGAACTAAAAGACTTAGAGTGTACTAGTCTGGACATCTGACAAACATGACTGGAGCGCGAGGCGATGGGACAGCGATGGAAATGATAGAATAATTTTTATCAATAATAATCAATCCGGTGTTCAAGCCGGAAAATTGTTCGACGAAGAACACGAGGAACACTTGTTCGTTTCGGAGATTCCTGCCGCGGGTGATTCGCGAAATATAAATAACGTGACTTAACTATTGAGAGAAGTTTCAACGAAATTTTCGAAAAACAATGCGAAATCATCAACTTGATATAATAATATTCACTCACGTCACTCCATACTCATTTCTGAATAAATTTAAGAGCGGATCCCGTGCGTCATAATTATTTTTACGAGTGCCTATACATGAGTATAAAACGATTTTTCGATATGGAATTTTTTGTTCGGGTCCAGTGCCTCACGCCACTGACATCCTCTTATAGTAATTTATCGGGAGTTTTTGTTTTGTTTTACGCTTAGTAATAAAAATAAAACTCGCTTTGGAATAATTCTCGGGCGGCGTTTTAGATTTTAAAAATTACATATAGACAGTTTGACAATGTTACCGTTAAAAAATACCGTACACCGTCTAATACTGTCGTACACCGGCGATACGCAAAGAAAATTTAGATGTAGGTAACACGACTCGTACACGCAGAACGAACGGAACAGTTAGTTAACTAAAACATTTTCCACTCGTTGCGCTATAGTTGTACGGCAAAATGTTTATTCGTTATTCACATCGGTAACTAGGTATAGGCCGTGTAGCACTCTAGTACTCGCTAACACGACTACTATGCAAAGTAGTTGCGAAAAACGTGTCGTTAGGGTTTTTCCATCGAGATTATTTTTGAGTATTCTGAACACTTTATTCGCGGGTAGTAGTAACCCGCGTTTGATCCATATTTCCTCTGTGCGTGTGTGTCGCGAGTGCGCGTATCGAGTACCTGTTCCTATTATTATCATATACTATGGACTATACATAGGTATCGATGATATTGTCGTCCCTATCTATTGACGGGGCGTACGCCTTTCGTATACCGTTTAACCCGTATAGCGGTCAACTTACAAAAAAAAAAAAAAAAAAAAAAAAAAAACGAAGTAGATAATATAATGTATAGAGAAAAAAAAAAAAAAATTAAAAAAATACGTTCCCGCGGTATTATTCATCGCATTAATTATCGTGTTGTCATTGAAAAGCACGCGTTTTGTTGACAGCGGCGGCGGTTTAATTTATAATTTAATTTTATGTAAAATTCAGGACGAAAATTATAGCGCGGGCGAATATTATTTTATTATTATAATATACGAGAGTAAAAACCTCATTGTCATCGCGGACAAGTACCGGCGGTGGCGGCGGCTACGACGTCATAACAATCGACGTTATATTATTATATTATACGGACTGCTGATTTTTAGTACCGCAAATCACGAGGGGTTTTTTTTTTTTTAATTTTCATTATCATTATCGATGTGAAACGTTAAGCACCGCGCGCGCACGACGACCGGGCGAAGAACAAACGCGTCGGTATTTACGATATTTATCGAGTGCCCATTATTATTAATATTATTATTATTACCCATACGGGTGTTGTCGAGCGCGTACGGGTCGGGCGAAGGGAAAAAAGAGTTTGACTCTGAAAACGCGTTGTTGCGCACGCCATGTCCGCACGTTGTTCCGTCAAACGACCGCGCCGGGAAACGGGTTATAAAGGGGTTATTGAATGTAAATGCGACGTCCAACGATGTTTGTACGTGGGTGGTGGGGGGGGGGGAACTTTACGGAGCCATTTCAAGTTTTCGAGAAAAAAAACGCTTACACACACACACACACACACACATATACGCACGCAAATGGATATTCTTTTGCGGCCGGTGTGTCCTTCGGTCCTCCCGCGCCCTAACGTCGCCTTGTTCGTTTTTATCGCGCTTGTTTTTTTTTTTTCTTTTTTACGTACACCGCACATTATTATTATGCGTATGTATATTGTATAGGAGCAATAACAACAGACCCATATTGCCGTACAGTCGCGGGCCGCACGTCCCGTTCCACTTGTCCTGTGCCGCAGAGTCCGCAATACTACCCGGTAAATTCGCTTTTTATCCCACCGTACGCGTAAGTATTTGCGAACGGGACGCGGTAAGAGAGGAAAAAAAAAAGAAAAAGAAAACCGCGGCCGCTCCGCCGTTAGATAGAACACGATGATAATATAACCGCGAACGGCTCGTTATCAATCACGTTCATGAGCGCTCGGGAGAGGGAGGGGGGGAGTGAAACGCGGCATATACCCCTCGCTCCCCCCCTCACCCGGACTTTGAAATTTCAAGTACAAATTTATACGACTGTTTGTTATAATTTTTCGGCGTTTGATTTCATTACGTTCGCCTCTGGTTGTCTCGGCCCGGCCGTCGAAAGGCTTAGGCAAGTTTTCATTTAGGTTTATACGTAAGAAAAAAAAAAAGAAGAAAAAAAAGGTCATTCGGAACTCTATTATAAGACGCTGCCCCGCCCTGACAAATTTCCGCCCGGCGTCTCGGTTACTTTACATTTTCCGACGCGGCGCTGCACAACGGGTTAATTTTTGTACACCACACCGCGTCAAGTCGGAACATTGTGATTTCTGCCGGTGTCGACACCAGTTTCGCATTCACGATCGTTTTCAACACGACGTTGGAACAACAGCGGTATCAACGGTTGAAAAGTCGAAATTAAATTTCGAATACGATTTTCGACCCGACCGACACGACCGTTCGTTGATTTCGTACGATTACCGCGCGATTCGACTCCGCCGGAGTTAATAATAATATTATTATTATCATTATTATTATGCGTCGACTCGCCCGGCCGCGGCGGTCGAAATTACTTGTTGCTTACTTCCTGTCTTGTGTCGTTGTAGGCGTTTTCTCCCGGACAGACACGGCGAAACGTTAATAGACGATTATCGTTGGGCATTTTTTTTTTTTTTTTTTTTTCCCCCTCGGCAATTTGACATTTTACATACTGGCGCGTTGTAATACTTGTGTATATATACGGCCAACAGAATAACGTGTGTTACGCACGCCGAAAGCGAAATATTCATTAAAACTAAATAACGGCCGTACAGAATTCTTTCGGACAACGCGTGCGGCACATCAAAAGAACATTGCGTCACGAAAGTATTTGAAAGTCCGCACGGGTCCGGCGGCGCGTCGGCATTTCCGGGCGGTGTTCAACGGAGCGCGGTCGGTCGGACGGCGGGACGAATTATTCCGGCAAAGGCGACCGTGGCCGTATTGCGACAGTAACGCGCGCGGCCCGGCACGCGCGTACCCCGAGAGGCCGCCGCCGCCGCCGCCGCCGCCACCGCCGAGTTTGTTCCGGGACGCCGGCGGTTGAAACGGTTGAAATTGAAAAACGAGAATCTCGGACGCATACCGTGGGCCGCGGTACGGAAACGGTTCCGCGATGCGATCCGGCGTCGCCCGGACATTCCCGCGTGCGTTCGTTGCGCGGTTGACGTCGGACCGCGGGAAAAGAACGCGAAAACCCGGACGAACCGTGCGCTCCGACGTTCGGTTCGGTTTAATTAAATACGCACCGCAGCAATAATAACGGCGGTATTGTGCCGCGCGCGCGTCCCGAACGTTTTTCCGCCGGCGCGTCTGTTATGCCCGTGGTCGTGTCGCGCGCTCGGCCGGGAGAGACGTTTCGTTGCGGTTATTGCGCGGTAACAATGTTAAATTTAAAAAAAAATCAGAAAAAAATCTAAACGTCGTACGAAAAGTCTTCGGTTACGCTGTACGCGACGCGCAGTTCGCCGCCACCCCCCCCCCCCTCCCCGCAGAAACGACCGGTGGAAAATAAAAGGCGAGCGAGAAAGACGGCCCGCGGAGGGTCGGTCGCGGGAAGAGCGAGGGAACGGAAAAAAAAAAAAAAAATAATAATAAAACCGTTTCAAAGAAAATGACCCTTTAACAATAATAACAATAACGCGGACCGAAAATGTCCAAGGGTGGTCCGCGTGCGCGTATCTCCTTTCGGCCGGGGACTCCGACGGGGCGAAATTATTGCGCGGAGGCGTATCCCCGCGGGGTTCGGTCCGTCGCGGGCCCCCCCCCACCCCCCACTCGCCCGGGCCGCGCGCCGATACGCGTATCATAACGTTGTGCACGCACGCGCGTATACCGAAAAGGGAAACGTTACCCGTCGCCTACCCCTCCCCTCCCCGTACCGCGTCCCCCGCTCCGGGGCCCGCCGAACGTCAACCGGCGATGAATCCGCAAACGGCGACCGAGACAAGATAAACGCATTAGCGGTACAAAGTGGCCGGGGTCCGGGCGCGCCGCGTCGTCTCGGGTTGTTCGGCCGGGAAATTAACGAGGAACGACCGGCCGCGGCGCACAACTGCGCGTGTACGGATAAATACGTTTCCGGCGCGCGTAAATAATAATAATTATTAAAAAAAAAAAAAAAAACAAAACAAAAAACAATATCGGAATGCGAAAGTTTCCGGCCGCGCGGCGCACAATATAATATTGTAATAAACAAACCGTGTTCCGCGTGAGCACGTTTCCCCGACGCGGCGTAACCGCGGCGAACATCGACTCCCGCGACATTTAACCCCCGGCGGCGTATTTAAATGGGGGCCGCATTAGTAGGACTTTCGGAATATCCGTCGTCCCTCGTTCGATTTTTCGCCACAATCCGTTTGTCCGTGTCGACTGCCGGTTTTTGTATTAAAATCCATTTTTTTTTTTTTTTAATTTTTTACTAGAGCGATGCGATTTCGTTTACTGTCCGCGGACAACTTTATCGCCGGAAATTCTGCTCCGACCGTCAGCTTTTGAAGCGATTTCCGGTAGTGAAACAAGTATGTATAGTGCAATTGAAAAAATGGCTCCGGGAGTTCGGAAGAGGGACGTAAACACTGCCGATTGACCACGCACGAACAATTGGGCCAGCCGATCGTAAACTCGACGATCGTCAGATTCTGATTTTTTGCAGGTACGACATTTTCGACGGTTTCTCATTGTGCGAGACACTCCAAATAGTGACTAAAGTATCAAAGATTTTACGACAATTTCCGTCGTGTGCGAATATCAAGTTAAAAATACAAAGAATTACTGTCGTGGTATTATTAAAAATTAAGCTGTTGTACTTTATTAGTTGTAAAAAAAAAAAAAAAAAATACAAAAATAAGTAAGTAAGTTTAATTAATAAAAATTAAAGGCTCAGAATTGACATGCCTTTTTTTTTTTAACACGTTATGTTCAACCTCGCCTACGCAAGCAATAATGTTGAGCGTATCATTCGGTTTAAACTTTTTAACTAAACTATTTTCGATTAACGCGCAGAGGAACGTGTCGAGGAGAAACTTTACTGCAACCTGTTGGCGCGTACTACGATGACGACAACGTTTAATGTAATTATTTAATTTCAAACCGAAGTGATTTTACTATACCCGCAATATCCATACTACATCGTAATTATTTTGGAGTCAAACATTTTACATCCAATGTTATTTTACAATAACGCAACTTAGACATCTTCTTCGTCGGTATTTGACACTAAAGGTTAGTTTTTCGGTCTTATTCCGCGATTTTTTCGTGTTACCGGTCAGATTTTTTCGGTCCGCGCGGCTTGTCGTGAACCATTCTTTTGACGATAGTCGTTTGGGGTCGTGCTCCGCCGCTCTCGCTTTCGACGTGTCCGTCGACCGTTTTGCAGTGTTCAATTCCGTATCCGTCTCGTTTATTATTCTTTTGACCCGGATAATTCTCCAGATTCGTCCGTCGAGTTCCTTAAAATAATCGCAGTCCGACCAACGTTTTGCCGTACAGTAATGTTGTATTGTGTTATGTTCCGCGCAAAATCCAAATAATGCATTTATACATAATAATATAACTGCGATTTTATTGAGATCGTCCATTACAAAGGACAGCGTGCGCGTGAACGTGTCATTGCACTAGTGGCCACCCGACGGTCGAAATTCTTTAAATTTTGAAGTTCAAACGCGACGCTGTAACTTAGTTTCTCGAGATATAAATATTATACTATCGCCGTTTATTTATACATTTATTCGCCTACGGAAAACACCGTAGGCCATACATAGATAATAAAGACACGGATAGACTTGCATTGGGACGAGTACGATGTTACTGCAAGTTTCATAAAGTGAGGCGTTTTATCTGTGTATAGTGATGATGAATGATAAATCGCCTCGGTTTACCGCCACTCCGGGAACATCGCGTCGCTTACAATTGTTATAAGAGTGGCCTATTAATTTCTCTATTATTTATGGGGCCATAACGCCGCGGTGTAGACGTAGAGTACAGCCGGCGTGCGGTCATTGTCGCGACAACCGAGAGCGATAATGACGAGATAACCGAACAGGTAATGTGGGTTACCTAAACTAACCTAACTAGCGAAAACATCCTTACGCAGACTACACAAAACTCGCTTAGTTTCGGTCTTACAGTACAAACACCTATTATTAAAATCAAAACCGAAGGATATTCCGTAGGGCGAGACGATGCGGTTTTTTCCATTTTCTCCGAATATAACATTCAATTTACCGTTTGTAAATAACGAATTTTCCAAGGTATTTTGCGATTCGCTAAAACTCGAAATAAATAATAATAATTTTTTTCAAAATAACGCAACGTCTTTCCTTCCGGAATATTGTTTTCTATTAATCCCGTAATAGATGCTTTTTTTTTTTTTCTAAAACCAAAACTAAGCGACATCTATGTAGTGTGCGTAACGTGAGCACGTGTTTTTACTGTATCCGTCTTGTGTTTCGTAAGACGGAACACAACGAATGAACGACGTGTAACGTTCTATTATTACGAGACAACAATCGGATTTGTACACAATATTATCCTACCGAAACGTTTGCCGGTAAACGGGATTACGGGCCGCCCGCCTTTCGCACGAAGACGGCCGTGATAATATTTCGTCGGCATTGCATACATTATAATAATATACTGCCCCGAGACCGCCGCCGCCAGAATCGCGCAAAGGCAAGTGTAATAACAATAATATTATTATTATTATTATTATTATTATTATACCTGTATACACGCAATAATCGCGCGATAAATCATTTTCGTATTCGAACGAGACGGAAAGACCCGCGGGAAACTTTACAGTTTAAAATTATAAAAGATATTTATTGGGATTGGGTTTTTCGGGGTCGGACCGGAGCGTGGCGCTCGCGTCACGTTCTCCGGGCACGTACTCTCGCAGCGGAAGGGGCAACACTGTATTTACCTGGAAAACCCCGACGTACCGGCTCGTCTCCCGATATTTATGCAGTATACGCCAACGGACGGATTGTTCGCAACTTTTGAGCGAATTACCAACGAGTTCAGCGCGCGTATCCCGTTTTGAAAATAATAAAAAGGTCGTGAGTGGGGGGGGGGGCGGAGGAAGTGTGTTCACCTCGGGGTTGGAAAATATGCATAGAAAATAATAAAAACCGAACGCACATTGCACGGCGGCGGGTGAGCCGCTGTCGTAGGCGTGAAAGTCGGAAGGTAGGCTACAGAGGGGATTCCGAATTTACATCCGTACGCGACGATAAACCGCCGCAAACGAGAAACGATTCGGAGCGAAGTTTTCTATAAACGTGTTTACGTACATTTTCCCCGTTTTTCCTACGTTTTTTTCCGGTTTCGCCCGATTATAATGAAAACCGCTTGGAAAACCAAAAAAATGACCTCTCTGTAATACCACCAACTGGACAAAACTTCATTTCGGAAAAGGCGCTATACCTGATGCGTCAGAGCGAGATTTCTTGTAGAAATGTTGCTTGGAGAAAAAAAAAATAAACGTCATTATAAAACCAATACGTACCTCGTACGCTACACTCCGAATTTAAATATATTATTTTTACATGTGCCCGAACCACAGTATACAGTAAACGTACATGCGGTATACACAATAGAGCATTTTTTTTCGCTCATCCATTAGTGTTTTTTAATTTCGTTTTCAACGTCAAACGAGTATTGCGAGGGTTTTTAATTTGAAGCGCACTGGAACGTTTATGATAATATTATCGGTTCGATCGTTTTTATTTTATACGTTGACCGGCGTTACACAATGTTCGCGTTGAAAAAAAAAACACTACACTACACACAACTAACCGAAATAATATTATGGTTTTTATATGTCGATATTATTGGACGCTAAAAGCCAAAATAACAACACGGGCGTTTATGAACGCTGAACATTTTAATATTTTCGTGAATGTCGAATGAGTTCGGATAGAAAAACGATTTAAGTTGTATAAAATATGGTAATAACAAACGGGGCGCAGTTTACATTCTACCTTTCAAACATGGATACAAACTCGGGCGCTGCAGTTTATGAAAAAAAAAAAATGGTCTTCTGGGCGCAGTTTAAGTATTCCATAAAATAGGTACCTAATGATAAAAACGATAGTTTTTTTTTTTTAAATCTAGATGAAAAATTTCCGAATATTTAATACGTCTAGGATCTAGATAATTAAATTGTTGTGTTTAGTTTTCATCATTACATCTGGATAATTCGCCCGGCGATTGTCTATTTATCATTATATCCGGATATTTTTAAAACGCATCTTTAAACAATTTAAACAATAATGCTCGACGTAGGTGATAGGTATAACATAATATCATAATGTATGCATATAAGTATATTGTATTATACTATGAACGAATACTGTCATTCGGAACGACTGTAATAAAACCGTCATTTAAATCGAATAAATAGGTTTCCTACGTTGACCCCCGCACCGGGAGTCTTACACTTGACGGAACGTCTACGGTATCTATTTCTAAAGGAACGTGGTGCCAAACGGGGGAGGCGCGAGGAGTGGTACGGGTATCCGATTGAGGTTGTACGGCGTTGAAGAATAAGAATAATATAAGGGTCGCGGGAGCGAATAAGAAACATAAACCGTGTCGCGAGGCCCGAGACGGAATACTAAACGAGGGACTGGAGACATTAAACAGACAAAAAAAAAGAAAAAGAAAACACAAAAACTTTACTTTAAACGTCATAAAAACGTTTAGGCGCGGCGGTTGGAAAAAAAAAAAACCGATGACCGTTGTCGTGTCGTACGGTAGAAAACACGAGTAATAAACCATATCCCAGGGATAATATAAACGTATCGATATGATAGAAATGATAATAAATACCCAACATCGCTAACGAATAATAATGGGCGTGATGCGATCGTTTGCCGGGCCGTTTCTCCGGACAAATAATAATGGACGTTAAAAAACGACTTTTCGACGAAAACGGCGACAATAAATTGACTTACCTACCCCACCGGTTTCTTCGTTCTCACTCGCCCCTCGACCTCCGAAAAAAAGGTAAATTCGACTGTATAATACAGATAATACGAACGGAATATGATACTTTGTATTCGCCGTTCGTCCTCCCGCGACAACGACGATACCATCGGCTGCGCGGAGTCCCGGGCCAGCGCACGTCCCCCACGGAGTTTCGTGAAATAATTTCCTGAAACGTTTATTATTGTTTCTTATCCGGCCGCTGTCGCAACGATACGCGTATATATCCGCGGGTGAATTTAGACGATACGGGATAATGCCGGGGTCGTTGCATCCGAAGAATAAATCGATGTAGAAATAACGACTCGGAATATTCGATTTATACCGCGTTATCGCGGTATTACGAGGATACTACTATTTTTTGTATTTTTTTTTTTTTTTGGCAGTATACGACGTTGTTGTGTACGCTTTTTTTCTCCTCTCCTAAACACGATCTCTCTTTCTCTCTCTCTCTCTCCCTCTCCCTCTTTCCCTCGATATTATACAAAAACGCTGCTGCAGTCGTGTGTCTGGTTCGCGGTATACTATATTTTCGTCTTCCTTTGCTTTTTTTTTCTTAGCCGGAAGCCGTTACAGATACAACCGCTCGAGACGAATGGAATAATATCGTTGAGCGGCTATAGCGGATGTAATATTGTCGAAATGCGTATAAACTGCGATGATTACTACGCGTAGTGGTGTTGCTATATTTATCAGCCGTGGTTCGAATTCGATTCCGGAATGTAATATTATGCAGAAAAGACTGCGTGTCTTCGAATAAACGGGTCGGTAATTATATGTATAAAATGTTTAGTTTTTTACTGGCGAAAATTTACTTTAAGTTCTTACGCATTCATAAAACACAGCCGCATTAACAAAAAATAAAATACGCTGCCACACTTCGCAACATGGCTCGTCCACTGATGTGGGTGGGATATTGAAAAATAATAGAATATTATAACATTGCATTCTGCGGGTTACTCGTTGCAATCAAAAAACGATTCCGAATAAGCGGTTAACACCATAATATTATAGTCGTCATTGTTCTCTTGTTTATATAGCTAATATAATCCATAGAAAAAAAAAATCCACGTAAATAAAACCGATTTATCGTCGTTTGACGTCGGTGGTGTTTTACATTTTTGTTTTCTTTGTGTGAAAAATCGGGAATCCTTAGAAAAACGTTTCGAATATATATTACATTATAGTATACAATACCGTCCGCGTCTTTTTCAAGTGTACAACTTGAAGCTTTTTTACTATATAACCGTAAAAGGGTTTTCCGAGAGGAAAAATCCATCTCGGTAAAACTGTACAACAGCTTCTTCGCTACACTCGTAGAATCTAAACTACGAAAACGGTACGAGACTATATACGTGCACATAGCGTAAATTATATTTTTCACTGTATATAAACGAATATAATACACATTATTTTTACGTTAATGCATTTTATGTTATTAAAACACACCCGGAAACTTTTCGAAACGCATTTGTTTCACAAAGTCGGGTAAAATATCGCAAAAATTAATAATAATAGTTAGGTACCTCTAAATTAAAATGACCGATTAATAAACTCTAAATAAAACAGCGGTTCACGAAGTAATTTCCGTAATCGTTTTCAGTGTTATTTTCATACATATCATAGAGTTTTTAACAGCTATTAAGTACGACCTACATAATAACATATCGGTTTACAGGAAAAAAAAAATGTTTAAACCCTTCGGTTACAATTATAGCTTTCCCGTCTATTTCGGCCGTTTGAAAACAAAAGTTTTGAAAAATCCTTTCATAAACCGAAATCAATATAGTCAAATTCAATTTTACTTGCGTTTTCCGGCCGTTCCTAACATCGCAGCCGTTAACCGTGGTAAAAAGGTAACACCTTTGAGCCGCGTACTCGTATAACAATCAAATTAATTATAGAGTATAGGTAACTATGTGACTATATTTTTTGTTGTTTCGAACGTATGGACATTGACCAGAGAAACCCATAAATCAATAAGAATAATTCCGTTTTCGTTCCAAAAATACCGAAAACCCGGTTTCGGATACAGGAGGCAGATTTCTGAGCTGAGACACGAGGGCCTGAGCTCCTCCGATAATGTTAAAATTAAATTGTATACATTATAATTAAAATGTGTTTTTATACGTACAAAAAATTAAAAGTGAATTTTTTTTTAGCCACTACCCTTAATTAGTTCCTAGATCCGCTTCTGTCGACTATTCAGTAGATGAATTGAATTTCGAGAATCCGGCTTTGAAGTGCTCAAACACCAATTCTTTCGCTACTGTGTACGCGGATTTATAGGTCTCCGTGTGCAATAGACTCTGTTGGGGATCGCGCACAAACGGATAAACACAACAGCATGATTGGGGGGGGGGTTAGGTTGTTGAAATATTTCGGCCAATAAAACATTGATTTACTGAATACAAATTGGCTTTATGGATCCCGTTTTTAAATTCACACTACCGGGTTACGTTCGACAGCATGCGATTTGACGAACGATTCACGTGTCGCGTAACTATTATTAGTTAACTCGTCTGGTATTGAAAATTCCCCTTGCACGCCACCGGACAGACAGACAGACAGACGGACAAACACAAATTTTTCCAAATCGGAAATGATATTGTGAAATATCGAAAAAACGACTGTAAACAATACGAACAGCGCGTTACGATTCTCTAACCCCGGTAGCAGTGTTGTCGCGTTTGTTCCGAAAAAAAAAGAAAAAAAAAAAAGGTAATAATTCCATAATAGTAATTTGATTTACGAAATACGGCGCTTGATTAATTCGTTATTATTTGTTACGCGACGGCCCGCTAAAAAACGTCGCGGTATTTTCACGCGCGCAAAATACATTGTCGCCGGGGGAAAATCGCTCCCCTTAACGCCCAATTATATCGTCATGTGTGTGTATGAAAAAAAAAAAAATAATAATAATAATAATACGCCAACGTAAACGTAGTGCGTATACAGTTATGCATATCGTACGCGTAATATGCGAATTATAATATTAGGTGCGCGGGTATACGTTTTAATAATCGGCTTGTTTAAATATATACGCGTTTATGCGCATAATACGTACCGTATAATACGAGTGTACGAGGCACACATATTTTCGGGCGGGAAAACGGCGTTTTACCCGGGGGGGGGAAGAGGGGGGGGTTTCGATGTTTATCCTTTTATGTATGATATCAAATGACGCGAAATCAACATACCGAACAATTTGTTACGGTTTTCTTTTTCACTATTTTCGGTATGCGTTTACCGCCGTGCGTGGGCGCCCGGAGGGGCGGCAAGACGGGGCGTCCGCTCCCCCCTCCACCCTTGGACGTTAAAATTTCAAATATAATTTTATTTCGAACGCGTTTCGGTGTTTGATTTCATTACCCGATTATTATATTATTATTTAATAAGTGCTCGCAGGCGTACCCGTGTACGTGTACGATAATATTTTCTAGTATACAAATTTTATTCACCGGGCATTTACCTATGACCCCCGCACGGCGGACGTAAAAAAAAAAAAACCGAATAGAAAACGGGAATGGGATACATAATAAATATATCAATGTTAATAAATAATAAGGTTATAATATCGTTTTTATATTTTTACATTTGCGCACTCCTCGGCGCGGCGAATAATACATAATATTAAACATGACAGTAATACGTGACGCATAATGCACGTATATATTATTATATAAGGGAAACGGTTTTTATCGTTACGTTTATTATATGCGCCTCCGCTAGGGGACGATGCGAACTTTTATGTAAAAAAAAAAAATAATAATAAATAAATAAATAAATAAAAAATAATAATAACAATAATAATAAACCGCCGAAATAGCGCGCGGAGCAATATTGGACGAACGAAAAAAAAAAAAAAAAAAGAAATATTTTCCGGCAGTTTTTTTTTATGGTATAGAAAATTACGACGTTTTTTAAGCACAATTTGTTTTTGTTCCCCGAGTGCAATCAAATATGCATTTGTATAATAATCGCGAAACTCAAGAATTTCCGTAGGTATATAATGATATCTATTATGCACGTTGAAAACAGTTTCGGGACAAACGAATTCGCATTCACTTTTGAAAACCGTCTTTCTGAACATTGCGTTTTTTTTTAATACAAATTTCTAATCATACTAAACTTTATATGATGCGGACTTTTAATGAACAAAAACAATACGAACATAATGAGCTACTACTATATATTATGTAAGATAAGATATAATATTTATTGGTCAAGAATATTTTTAACATTTAAATCTTATAAAATCGTTATTGTTAAATAATTATTCGAGAAAAAATAAGATACAAAATAAAAAAAATCGGTTATGACGGTTTTGGTGAGTAAGGAGGATTAGTAATTTTTTTTTTTTTTTGTTGATATGGGTCTATACATCGATTTTACAGTATTTTTTACGCCGAATAGTTTGGCGGCTCATCCATACGTTTTCAAGCATTGATACCATCAGCTGTGATTTATTATTATTATTGTCAAAACTTTGGTAGATTTAGCTATACGCTTTCGTATCATGCACGAATATTTATATTAATTCGTAATGCTTTGTGTTTTTAAACTTGGTTCAAAAACTTGGTTGGTGTCGAACATATGGGCAAAGAACGTTTGGTCGGGTTAGCTTTGCTAAATATCCGTAGACATAGGACAGTTCAAGTTGACGGAGTGATTAATTTATTCGCTGGCAGTGAAAAACGAAATTTAGATTTTATTTTCTACAATTCATGTTTTGTTTGTAACTTCCTATTTATGATTGCAGACAATGTAACCATATCAAATCGTTCGAATAATATGACTCCCTATAAAAAAAAAAAAAAAAAAAAAAAAAATGTTTTACAGGTCTGGAGGTTCCACTGTCTTATACAGTAACATTGCATGCAAATTAGAAAATTGTTTGATAATAAAATAAAAATAAAATACGTATAATATGTTCGAGATGGTTAACGATAGGTAAACATATACTCGTAAAAAAAAAAAAAAAAGTGCAAGCCGAGAATATTCATTGCCAAGTTTATATAATAATAAAATACGATATCCCTGTAGAGCGGCGAGTGTTTTGTAAAATCGATGGGACAATATATTATTATTATTATGTATCAAAAATAGTCACGATAATAGTGATGTATAGCTTTGAAAAAAATAATAATGATAAAAAATCGCGCACAATATGAGATAGTAACGAAGAATCACTTTTTTTCGATTAAAACTTCCGTGTCCTCCGAATTCCTTTAAGCCGTACTATAAGAAAAGTATTATTAATATTTCACGTTATAAACAAAGTTTAACTCCGACGGATTGGATTATAGTAATAATATAAAGATTTTCACGCATGACAATCGCTGACGCTGCATTCGATTGAAACTTTTGAACATGAACTAAACGATTTAATATCACGCACAATATTCACGCGTACGGGGAAATAATGGTTTAAAGTCTCGAAAAATAATTCAATTTTCTCTAATAAAAACAAAAAAACTCGAAATATCTAATACCCCAAAAAACCAACGCAGTTTTTAAACCGCGTCTAGAAAGTTCTAATGTAAGTGTTCCAGTGAAAATGCCTGGTCTCTGTCATTATTTTCATCGTTTTTTTTTTCTCGGGATCTCTTAATTATTAAAAAAAAACTAAAACGGAAATCAGAAAACGACTCGTTCATTGAGCTAGCTAGACGGCGTTTTAGAATTTGAAACATTGTTCTCGTCCATTGCTACGGAAAATAATCTAAAAACCGTTATGCGGAAAAAAGAACTCTCGCACGGCTTCAATATTTTCTTCTCTTGCCAGTTTTTACAGTCCAATAAAGGACGTTTGCTGTCTCTAATCTCCATCTCTCCATCTATAATATTTATCGCTCTTTTCTTGTTTTCTTGTTCCTTTCGAAATTTCACTAAGATCTGATTTTATCCTGTCTACCCATCGCTGTCTTGGGATTTTTTACATTCAGTTTTCCGGCGATAATTATGTTTGTAATACATTTCGATCTCCACAGATCGTTTTTGAAATAAGTGACAATCGGTTTTTTTTTCAATATTTTAGATATTTTTAAGGTTTTTTTTTTTTTTTAAATGTACAAGCAGTTACTTTATGAAGTAAAAGTAGTCGAACATATAAATTGATTCTATAGAAAAATGTTAGCGATTTAAAAAAAATAAATTGTTAGCTTCATAATTTAGTGTCCTAGAAAAACTCATATTGATTTCAATTAAAAAAAATAATATATATATATATATATATATATATATATATATATTAAAAATTGTAAGCGTGCTAGTTTTTTTCCCTCAAAGAGTGTAAAGGAATTAAATAACGACGTTTTACATATTATTTTGTAAATATTCTATATTTATTTATTTTATTATTTAAACAATTTACGACTGTAAGCACTTTCATATAAGATTACATATAAGAACATTATAGTGACAAAGCAATAATACATGGTGAATACGATTAAGTTTGATTGATATAAGAGGGAGAAGAAGGGGAAGTATTTATTTAGAGGGGAACCATGTGATGTAGAGAGGGTGGTTATGACTATATGAAGTAGAACGAGTTGAAACAGCGAACAGATAGAGATTACGGGTGTTGTAAGAGAGAACTGAAGGAAATCATCTCAAACTAGTCAAGTGATGCGCATATGTTATATTACGAATGTTTTAATTTTTAACAAAAAAAAAAAATGCACCTATATTATCGGTTTATAATAAAAAAAAAAAAACCTACCATCACCATAAATGTTCAGTAAAATTCGGTAAAAATCAGCGTTGGGACTATTAAAATACTCGCTATACCGAAATTTTTTTTTTTTGTGATACTGGTAGAAAAAACCTAATTGCTATCGAACCATTGTTCTACTTTTTGATGTTTTATTTTTCCGTTCAAATATGTTAATACAAGAATCAATAGTTTCGTATTAATAAATAATTTTATCGTGAAACATATATGTATTGTATTCGACAACCTATAATATTACATGACCTATATTATAATAATAATAAGATACGTCTACATTTTTAAACTTTTTATTTTTTTTTGGATTTCGCATTAGGAAATCACACGTGGGACTCGTTTAAGGATATGCGAAACGTGTGACATCTGTGTCTCCGCGTTGTTAGCATAAAAGACGATAAAAAAAAAAATAGAGAGAAGAAGAAAAAAAACAGATAGTCGCGGGATAGACGGCGAGAGTATGATGTTGTGGCGAGGATAAGGGATGCCGGGTTGAAATGTGGTACGAGACCACTACGGTATTGTTTCACCATCTCATGATGTACTTATAGAAAAAGGTTATCATGTGATCGGACTAGCAATACGGCGGCACGTAAAAAACTACGTGTACAACGCGTTTCTCGTATATTCTTTTTTTTTTTTCTTTCTTTTTCCTTTCCCTCCCCGTCGCCGCCGCCGCCGTAAGTTTGCGCAAAGGCCGCATCGGTTGAATCGGCGGCCGGGGGGACGGGCAGGGACGTTTTGAATAAATTTTTTCGCATACGACTCTATATGTTGTACAATATACAAGTGTATGTTCTACATATACGTATTTTACGATTGCGTCTAAAGGAGAGCACTTATTTCTTCTTTTCCCCGCAGCCGCGGGCAAAGAGAAACGGATATGCGCCCGTATAATAATGTACGTATGCGTGCCTCCCTTTAAAAGTCACATAAAATTGGCGGGTCCGAAACTGCAGACGCATTGCGTCCCTTTTGCCCCCGCCGCCGCTCTGCGTATAACTCTGCACACGGACGTACCCTCGTACATGATATTATCATAATATACTATTATTACGAAAATATACGTGTATACGGTCAATCGTGAAAAAACCGATATGAGAAGGCTGTCGCGAACGATTTTACGCGGGCGCATTAACACGGAACATTATCGGTCGCAGTAATTTTATTTGGCCTTTGATCCGGAAAAAATTCCCCTCTGTCTCACGCGACGAGTCCGTCCGAATCCGAATCTCAATGACGCGCACGCCTGTATGCAGCTGGAGGAGTATCCGGTCATTTTGGCGAAAGGCGATCATGCAAAAGATATTTTGGCGAACGGATATTTAGACCAGACAGTTTATTTATTTAGAGGAATACAAAAAAAAAAAGAACTGATTCAGGGAACGGGCGTGCCACTGTTGTAGGTGGAAAGTCGGAAAGATATAAGATCGTAAAGTTATTTTATTTTTATTTTTCCGCATCGATAAACCGTCGCTAACGAAAAACGATTCGAAATGAATAGTTCGGTGAGACAAAAAATTTGAAATGCGTTTTCCGAATAAAAAGTGAACAAATTCACAAATAAGTATAGATAAATTTATCTGATGCAATGCCACTATGAACGTTATTACGATAACGTTCGGCCGAACCGATATTATTATATTAAGATTTGGATTGATAGTATTATTTTTGGAGACTATGAAACGTAAAATACGGAACGCTTGACACATAAGTACAGATAGTATTGTCAGATTTTTGTTTTTGTTTCGCTGATATATCCGTTCACCAACAACGATTCGCCAAAATGTCTTTCGCCGAATCGCCTCCCGCAAATATGTCATTGACAGAGTGATCAATACATCGTAAAACACTCGTTATCTCGAAAAGTATGAATATTTTTCGGAATTTGTTTTGTAGAACATTTAAAATAAACAAGCAGCCCTACAATTTTAAATTTAAGTTATTTTTTGTCACTCTTATTTTCGTGGATAAAACCACTACATACTTTTGATTTTCAAACCGCAACCTTTGTTAAAAATTCCACGAATAGACGGAGTTTTAGTTAACAATTTTGAGTTCTTCAAACCGTTGACGAGATATTCTACTTTTAAGTTTGGGTCAGAGGAGAGTAATAGATCATCATTTGTGTAGCGGCACACCTCGCGGCGTTTTAATAATGCACCACTACTCTCTGTTAATACTTTTCGAGATAATGAGTGTCTTATGATAGATTGATCACCCTGTATACTTAAATCGTTGGGCCGCGAAAATTGATCGCGCTGTTGTCGGCGTCGAATAACATATTACGTTTGTGTTTTTGCGGGCCGCAACTGTTATTCCTTAACCGTTTCGTTTTGCCGGTTTTACTACGACTTTTAGTGGGAGTGAAGGGAGGGGGTCACTTCAACTTTTCCACCAGAAATTCGTTTTCGATTTCGAGTGTAACGCCTTTTACACCGATATCTTCGGGTTTATGATATCTGCGCTTAAGATAATTATGCCATTGCCTAAGACTCGGCGGTTTCATTAAAACGTCAAATGCAAACTTTTAGGGCAGTATACAAAATATTTATGTCGGAGTCAACGTAATAGGCATTTACGAAATATTATTTATTAAAAAACACGTACAGTTTTATTCGCATCGAACATCGATAACGCGAATAGCATGCGGTTTATATAAATATAACACGTAGTCTGGTTGTCGCTTAGAAATATTTTATAAAAATAGGTGTTTTACTAACTGCATCTAACCTAATCCCAGGTACGTGTTTAGGGGAGTTGCAGAGGAGTATTGGCCGCGGGCGTTACATTTTGAAGGGGTATCGTTATTTTTTAAGTCGTGGTAAGTAGATTAAATAGAAGATTTTTTTTTTAAATATTTACCCCCATCATACTCGCTCAGCGGGGCTTAAATAGTGTGTTGTAGAGCGCAAAGTGTGCAGATGAAATCCCAGAGCGTTCGTTTTTATAAAAAGGTATTAAAAGAACAGTGCCCCAGGGTGCCAAAAATGTTAATAAGTCTCTACGGCTAAACCATCTCACTTTGAATGTTATTACATTATTTTTTCGGTTTCGCGCGGACACGTGTGATTCAGTGCAAATTACATTAAACAATTTGATAATATGTTTGATAATTCGAGTCGATAATGTCTTTCGTTTTGTTTTTGTCGTAGTTCCCCTCCAAAATATAGACTATTGCAACGTATCGCGTCTGTTGTGTAACGCACCAGCTGACCCGGCAATGTTTTTCTATTGCTAGATAATAGTGTAAATAATAGTAACAATAATAATAATAGTTTTCTTGTCCGTGACAACCGAATTCGCATTATCACTAAGGTAACCAATGAATAAAAAAAAATGTTTTTTTTTAATGCATAACTGGAATATAATCAAAGTGTACCGGGAATCTAAGAAAAAATCATTACTGGAACAGTATTTAATATTCAAAAAACCGTGTAAAATATCCTTATAGACTCGTTAAAATAAGTGTCTACGGCCGAAACGCGTAAATAATGTTTATTTTAGATTCGGAAAAGAAGACTGTATGGTTTTTCAATGATGTTATTATATTTTTGTTTCCGTGAACAACTTTTCCACCAGAAATCTTGCTCCGATTTACAATGATAGCAGTTGTTCTAATAGGAAACCCGACTGGTGAGATACTTTGGGAAGGTCGTTTTTTGATTTTCCCAACAGATGGGAAAAAACGGAGAGAAAATTGGAGAAAACGTACGAAATGCGTAGGGCATTTTCAAACCGTAAATATGACGGCCTTTCAAAACGTGTACAACCCCACCAAACTCCGTTTAGGATTTCGTTCGCGAACTCCGCTCAGAATCGCATTTCGTCGGCAGCGACGGTATTGACGCTGGCCGCACTGCAGGTATAAACCGAATCGCCCGCCACATCTTACCTTCGCGACTTCTCGTGACCCACGCGAAAACCGTCCGCGGCACGCGCGAGACGGCGAACAGAAACGTACGACGCGGCGTACCGCGGTCGTGTGACGGCGGCGGCGGCGGCGGCGGCGGTACGGTTTTATTACGCTGCGGCGCTGACGGCTCGTGCGTTTCCGCGTTTACACGGTACCGTTTCGGCGGGCGAAAAACCCGTACGCGTATAGTGAACCGTTCGTTTTGCATAATGTACGACGGCCGTCTGCGTGCCGCGTACGCGTACGCGTATAAATACCGCGGTAAGCGGTTCGCCCCCGGGGGAGGGGGGGGGCGTGGGAGGGCGCGATCGTTTTATAAATTCGGGCGCCGCCGTCGCCTCTGATCGATTCGCAGCACGCCGAACAAAGAAGAAGACACGTATTATTATTGTTATTATATATTCCGCGAATAACATTCCGTTTCCCCCTCGGCTACCGCATACATTATACAGGTACGCCGCGGGTGACGCACACGCGAAGTGAAGCGCGGAGAAATCCTATCCCTCCGCGGTCGATCCGGTTACACGACGACGACGACGACGACAAGAAACGTTACACGCGTTCGCGGTAAAAATACGCTTCCCCTCTTTCCACCCCCACCTCCCCCCCATCACCTCCCCGTCGCCGGCGCGCCGACGCGTAAAACATTCTCTCGACGACTCCGGCGGTCCGCGGTAACCAGCGGCCCCGTCCCGCAGCCGCAGCCCGCGACTTTTTCAACCGCCCGTCCCCCGGAGCCCCGCACACTTATTCCGAACGCCCGGGGCCGGTCACCGGCGAACGGCGGCCCGCGGACCAGTATACGAAACGAAAATACGTTGCGATAATTTTTTTTTCTTTTTTAGAACCGTTATTTCCCGTTTTTCACCCGAGATTCGTCGTTCGTCCCGCTACACAATTATCTGTTTATGTCGATGGGATATTTATAATACCTCACAACTAAACTACTAATTTATAAGCGACTGCCCGTGCCTACCCGGACTCATGGCGTCCAACTATGGAGTGCGGCCAAAATGTCAAATTTAAACGGAACGCAAATAGATTCCAATCGATCACCTTGCGCATGAGGCGCATTTGGCGCACTGAGGCCCCTTCCTTTGTATCCATCCATACACTTCACACAGACCTAAACACCGAAACTGTTCTAGAAGTGTCCTCGATTATAATAAATAAACGTTATCGTTCACGATTGGAAAATCGCTCTGACCCACTAATATCAGCACTTGACTGCAGACTCAACGCCCGGTAATCCCCGAAGGAGGCCTGAGAAAAGATGGTGTCGCGGCCTAAACTTTTAATCTAAATCTAAATAAACATAAAAAAAAAGTTTAGCCACTGAGTTACTCTTTTTATCAAGTAACTCGTATCAGTTATTATTATCATAGCGCATTTTCTTATTGTGAAATCGGTTTACAGATTGTATACTTAAAAAAAAAAAAAAAAGAAAAATCATATATGTAATATTTAGGCGTAATCGATTTTTATTGTACGTTGTTTGGAATATCCGTAACGTTAATGTGTTATTGTGTTCCTAATATTTGTAAACAATAGCGGATAATAAATAGACAACGAAAAAATCATGTACTCATTGTTAGGCGCATTCAATTTTTTATTGTGAATGTTTGAATTTCGACGCAATATTATGCGATATTCCCTTCCAAATATGCGCTTGTGCATCTCAAATCTATAGTTTTACAAAATTTATCGGTTCTGCTGGAACGTTGGAAAGGTGAACTCGTTATAGTGTTAGTATAGTTATTAAATATTGCACGTACTGTACAAAATACGGATCTTCGAATCGAAAAAGTTTTTGACACAAAACGAAATGAACGATGCATTTCGATTGAAAATATTTAATCATACTCGCAGTGTTCACGGACAGTCCCGAGTCTGATGACATTTTGTAAGTGCACGGTGCAGCTATCGTGGCCGTGCGTTTTGACGACTTCGACTTTCGAACGTCTTCCCAACCGTTTTCACGCTCAGATTCTATGTTTTCACAGGGAATGGCCGGTTTTAAATACATCGTATAAAAAATATTTTAACCAATATCCCGTTAAATTCCACACACACTTTCTACATTCCGACAGAAACCACTATAATTCCGGCACAGAGTAACAATAAACGAAGCAATAACTCCTTCGGGTTTATTCAGACTCCAGGACCTCGGCCCGTCAGACAACCGATCCTCTCTGTCTGCGAAATATTCCCATTCGTTCAATCTCCTGTAAAGTTTTCGGGTTATATTATGCGGCGCGTCTTCCGAGTAATCCGCGGACTACTCAAGGGTATTTTTCCCTATTGAGTTCTGCACTTCAAGCGAGCAGTCTAGCGGATTTCGGCTTTCAAAATTGGAAAATATCAATGGAAAAAGAATGCTTTTCAAGTTCGAAACGCACGATTAAATACGATTAGGATTACACGTTTTTTTTTTTCTAATATTCTTTACATGACGCGAACATTGTTATTCACACTATAATATTATTCTATTATAACTTTTTTTTTTTTTTTAACAACCCTCCTTCGTATATAGAAATAATATGATAATAATACGACTTCCCGTACACCTATATGCGGTCTTGTGGTAGGTATCATTACTGTCGAACGCGTTTTTTTTTCTTTCTAATCCTATAAAGATATTGATCTAACACCGCGGTTTAGCCGAATGACGATAACATAATAGATACCGCTATCCCCTTGACGATAGACCATATTACGGGGGTATTAACTAGACGAGTATAAATTCAAAGAACACCCGATGGCGTATAATAATTCTCGAACGAATAAAACTTTCCGCGTCGGAAAAAAATATTAATAAAACGCCGCGGCGGTAACTTTTAGCCGAGGTTGCGCAAGGACAAAATAATTTAAAAGTAATACCTATACCTATACTGGCGGAGCCGAGTATTACGAGTGTATTTTTTTTTTATATATATTCTTTCTTCGCCGAATCGTTGAGAAAATGCCGTTTTAATATTATACTTATTTTACGCACCACTCGCTCGTGTGGAAATAAACTTTTAATGACAAGCTGTGCTGCGCTGTCGTGTCGGTGAGAATAACGGTAAATTACCATATTACGGGTTTACCGAGAAATCAACAAACAACACCGCGCGCGGCGTGTCTATTATTCTCTCTTTATATTATTTTTGTCTTAAATATTTTTTTTATACACACGCCGAAAAAAAAAAAATCGTAAAAACCGAGCTGCACTTACCTGGTGGCAGTTCTTCCACGGTAATGGTGTGCGTTTCCAACGCTATAAATGCCGCGTACACGGCGAACAAGCCGTACAGAGCCAACATTTTTTCAATAATCTGCAAAAAAAATAAAAAAAACAACAAAAGTCAGTAATAGTTATATTGTATTTTTGATTTTTGTTTTTTGTTTTCGATTTAAAATATAGTATGTCGCTTTGATCCATCCGGTAGTCCTACGGAGCGAAAACATGTGGCCGTAGTGGCGTGTCCAGCGGGTAGGCCCGATAGGTCTGGGCCTACTTTGACTATTTTGAACCCTACGTAAGTATAACGAGGTAACTATTATGTCCCTTTTTTCATCGCACAAACTGTTTTCTACGATGAAAAAAATCAAAACTTATGTACGGACATCTATTATACGTCTACAAAGCGTTTACCGTCGATGTCAATTGAAAAGTAGTTCGGTTCGGAGTTAATTCAAAATCCCGTAAAAATTATTGGTGACTTTGCTAAATTTGTTAACAGAATGATTTAATTTATATATTCATGTGTAATCAAGTATACAAGTTTAAATATTTAAAATTATCGTTAATGATTTTTAACCATAACAGATATAATTTTTATTCAAAACAATTTCCGTTAAAAAAAAAAAACACAAAAAAATGTTTTTATACAAATGTTCGTGATAACCGTTCTACCCAAATTATAAATATGGAATTTCGACAAAATGGTATTTTTATTTTGATCCGTATAAAACCGATATTTAAGTCGATACGAGAAAGAAATATTTCGCAGAAAATCGTCGGTCATCGAAATACGGAGTCAATAACGGAAAGTGGAGAAGGCGCAAGGTTGCAAATAAGCCACTTATTTTAAAAATAAAAACCGGTTTTTTTTTATTTAGGCATGTTTTTTTACGTGCTTATCAGACGTACACCTTGAATTACCACGAATTCTTGGAGATAAATCGATGATTTTAATGGGAAAAAAAGCATTATTTTTTTATTCCCACATATTCTTCTTATCAGGTTCAGCCTGATTTTCGAGTAATACGAGACGCAGGTACAACATACGGTTCACTAGTTAATTTGGTCTGTGGGAATATTTAATAAAAAAAGGACACGTAGAATAATATATACTTGATGACAGTGGCGGTTACGTTTATTTGAATCACGCGATTTACAAAAAAAAAAAAAAAAAAAAAAAACAGAAATATAATAAAAAATATTATGTTTTTACAGAACACAAGTCATTGAAAGAATTTTAAATTTGATAAAATTCCATTAAGAACTCCGAAGGAAACTTGATTTGATTTTTATCCCTGGTTTGTAGATTTTAAGGTATTTTTAGTAGGGGTGGATTGACAAGTGAGTGGAAAATTAATTTGCTAAATCAAGGTATTAAAACTTCACGCTGCCATTACTCGGTGGAGTTTTCGAACCGGTAAAAAAAAAAGCAATGGATACAGTAAACTTATGAAAATTTGCAGAAAAGAGGAAGAAGTAATTAAAATGACGTAAACGCGTTCGCAAACGTCTCTTATTATAAACACAAAAACAAACAGTGACCAGATACCGACCGGCGTAAATCATCTTTTGGACTTTCCTTTGGTGGGCGGGTGTTGGTAATCGGCGATCTGCGTATCAGCTGTAACGGTACCTAATTTAAGTCGTTTGTTGCAATCAAGTGGTTTTCGGTGTCTTTCTGCATTATTGAGAAATTAACGTTATATGCAAATTAAAATAGTTCTGATAAAATATTTTTCATGTTCGTGTATTTGTTTTTGCGTAATAGTCGACAATTCGTTTTAGGTAACCGAGTGGTAAGCGAATAACCGGGTAGGCGGTCCGCCGTAATTTTCCCCTCGCGGATCATGGAAATATACGTGTATCGGCGTCACTGAAAACAAGACATTTTTCTTTTCTTTTCCTTTTTTTTTTTTTTTACGAATATCCGTGTATATTATTACCAATATACGCAATAATATATTCGCATCATTTATTTATATTCTATTAACCCCCGGCAATAACTCAACAATCGGATCGAAGAACGTTTTCGCGTTGTACAGAAGTAGGAAATCGAACCCGAGATACAATGATAGCTGTTGCGCGAAAATTTATTGTTTTTATGATTTAAGGGACGACCCGACCCGATCGGTTGTTCGACTACATCGCGCTCACGCCGCCTTGAACTTTGCAATTTTTTATATCACAATAAATATAAAACGCGTACAGATTTTCGTGTATATATATATATATATATATATATATATATTTATTTTTTTCACACAAATCCGATAGTGTTTTTTTTTTTTTTTTTCCGTAAGGATATACTCGTATTGTACAAGTATAATACTGCACGTGTTCGGTCGGTGTTCTGTGTCTTTATACCGGACTCGCGTAACGCGTTAAATCATTTTAATGGTATCTAATATGATAACACATCCGAGCGCGGAATGATCGAACAATACGTTTATCGAATTTTGTTTTGCATTAAATTTGTATGATGAATCCCCGTATCGCTATATCGCACTACAAATTGACATTCGGGCCGTCCGTGTATTATTTTACTCGTCCGGACTCGATTTTCGTAACGTACGCCACGACGATCAGCGTCGCGTTAAATATTATTTTCTCGGTGTGTATAATTTTGCGTATTTTCTAGATAAATGAGAAATAACTATTACGTTGTCCGAGACGAACAATTGAGTTTAATGATTATTTTTTTTTTTTTAAGTGTACCAATTTATTTATATTAATTAGCGATTACGGATAAAATATTTAATTTCTTATTTATCTCCTTCGATTTCGTTCCGACAATTTGGGGTCGGCCACTGTCTTCCTGAACAGTTAACTTCCGCCTGACCCGATCTTCCACCACACGTATTTTTGTCGACTGTCTTGAAATATGAAATATTCGATTCAATATCTATATTTTTACATTGTTTAATTCATTATAAAATTGCGATTCATCTGTCACACAACGTTTTTTTGAAATCTCGATAGCGAAAAAACCAAATCCGGTGCGCATTTATTGCTTCTAATCAGACCAGTCGCTAGGGTTTGTATTCTACAACCTCGTAATAATCGTCAAAAAGACGATAAAATGTTCGCATTAGAGTGGAAAATATCTTCCTGTTTCTAGCGCTCAAAGTTGTGTGTAGCTACGAATCCGGGACGAGAAAAAACGGTGGGGTGGGGGTGATTTTTAAAACCCACATAACACACACGTTTATGATGAAACTCAAACTCAAGGTAAATTCTCAAATTGGCTCATTGGGATTAAAAGTATATCCGAGAGCTGACGGGGGGGAGGGATGGGGAGATGATCCCCTCTATCACCCCAATTCTCGGATCTGCCACCGGTCACGTGATAGATAACGAGTTATCTTCTTTTTGTATCTAGATGAAAAGTCGCTTGTTATTCAATATTTCCGTATTGAAATAATTATATATTATAATACGCCATGTATATTTTATCTCGTAGACACTAACGTTTGTAGTGTGAAAACAAATTATTATTGCACATTCAAAACGATTGTTTTTTTTTTTGTTCTTTTTCATTAATTGATAAAAACGCGGGGAAACTTTGAGAACCGGAAAAGTGGCCTTAACACTACAGCTATTATTAACATAGCGTGTGCACCGGCAGTGGCTGTTTTAAACACGTCATCTGGCGCGTCCTTTCGGATATTACATGCAAGTATAATATTATCGTACGGACCGAGGAACCGGCCGCCGCAACAATAATAATTATAAACGGACGGTATTAAAGACAATAAAATATTTCTAGGGAAGTTTTGCGGCGGTGCGTCCGGAACGCTGCAGCCGACGACCGGAGATCGCAGCTATTACACGCGTATAATATTAATTCAAGTAAAAATAATAATAAAAACGGGGAAATCACAATAAAAAAAAAAAAAATACGAGAAAGAGAAAGAGAGAGATACAGAAAAAAGATAACGACTAGTGTACGGGTGACGGACCGGAAACACTGAAAGTGAGAGAGGGAGAGAGAGAGAGAGAATGAGACGGCAAGTCGGCTGTGTGCCCCTTGTTACGGTCGTCGACGAAGCGCACCCATACACGCGCACATGCACGCGCACACACACACACACACACACACACGCACACACACACACACACAAGCGTATACGCACTACACTACACCGGGGTACGTTTTAAAATGTGGCCGTCCCTCCGGCGGCGGCGACCCCCCTCAATCCCCCCAGGTCGCTCGTTCCCCGACGGCGGCGGCGGCGGTTATAGCCATAACGACGATAATAATGATGATAATAATAATAATAATAATAATAATAATAATGATAATAACGCTAAGAATATATACATACATAACCACGGTATGTTTTAATATAACTCTGGACGGCGGCGACGGCGGCGGCGCCCGGGATATTTTAAATATGCAAAGTGGCGTTTTGTCCCGGAATTGTTCGGAGGGTTCCGGTGCAGCGGCAATAATAATCCCGCGTAAACCCGAATAGTTTCGCCTCCTACACTGCACCGCTCGTGTTTAAACACCGAAAATTAATAATTTAACGCTCATAATACCCTCCTAACCGTTTACGTATATACGAGTGCACGCGCGCGCGAACGAGCGGCCAAGTCGGACTTTTTTTTTTTTCTGTATTTTTTCCTCACATTTTTCCTTTTCTCTAAATTTTTTTTATTTTCAAGTTTTTATTCTCCCTTGCGAACCGTTTACATTGTACAACCGCCGCGGCGAGTATAAATACCGTACACCGTACGATTACGTACGCGCTATTGCCACCAGAAATAATATCATAATATTCTGTTCGCGCGGAAAAATACGCGTATCGTGTACACACACCTAGCTACCAGATACCCGGGGACATAATATCAATAGGCGATTCAAATGATCAAATGATTTTATACGCGATTTCCCGTAAACGTAAAACAAACGAAATTTCCGACTACTCGGCGGTTTTTTTTTTTTTTTTATATACAATATTGCCGATTAGAAATTAATTTCTCACTGTTCGGAGGAGTGCCCCCCATCCGTACCCCCCTCTAGCGCCGGCCCCGATTTCGCTATCAATGAGTTACCGTTTCGCACGGATACAAAATTAAATAGGTGTTAACTGAACGTGTTTTACTTTCCCGAATTCTCGACCATACGGCAGTGGCACATTCATCAGCTGAAACAACTCTTCTGTTTTTTTTTTTTTTTATACAAATATTAATTTGGTTTAATGTCCGTGTCCACGATGCAATATTATGCAAACGAAGCAACAGGTTTTCCGCATTACAATCTCAATTAATCAACTACTTATTTTAATTAAATCGTGTTCACTTCTGCGCGTATCTCAGTAAGATGTACTCAATAAAAAAAAAATATATATAATTAATTTACAGATTAGAGTAGCCGCGTGTTAAATATTCTTCATAAAAACCGTGATAAAATAACTTCTCGTCCTCGGGTTTTTAAACCTCTCACACCCGATCCACAGTCTTTCTGTAATTCGTATCTGTTGTTCGCCTCGATAGTTCCGGAATCTCCACCGAGTATGGTTTCACATTATTTTTTTATTACATCTTCCCATCTCGTTCTGGGTTTCCGCAGAAGTTTTTATTTTTTTATTATAGCTCATACTATACGCGTACTGATACATTAAATTGTATCGGTAGTCGTTAAAAACCACCCGAACAATTAATAGTAACAGTCGTGTTTTCTTAACGCTACCAAAAGTCGTGTACGATTTCGATACCTAAACAACAATAACGATTTTTTAGGAAATTAAATTTACTTAATCATCGATTAGCGCAGTTTTTTTTTTTTTTTTTTTTTGTAAATATAAGTTTTGTATTGTTTTCGGACCTTTGTTGCGAGAACAAAAGAATTATAACGCAAGAAAAAAAAAAATAAAACATGGCACGTGCCATTTTATTCGCGTTTCTATTAAGATAAAATAATACGATATTACGCGAGAAACGTATACAGAACGCGAAGCGAAAAAAATAAATGGCGAACGTTCGCAATCCAATCCGCAGTCGTCCGCAATCGTCTCCGTTTCTGCGATATTATACGGGAATTATTATGCTCGAATAAACGCCATCGTTCGGTCCGAAACAAATACGTTTAAGTTTAATATTAGTTTTTAGTTTCGGTTTTCTCCGAGAATCCTTTGAGCTGCGCGTATCGACGGACGCGAAAAATACGACAACGACAATAATATCGGAAAAGTTCGTTCAATACGATCGTATAATATTAATATTTTCCGCGTACGAGCAAAAGAACAGAGTACCGTTACAACAACGACGATAATACAAGTAATAAAAGTAACGAACGGCGCGTATAGTTTACCCCGTTATGCGACGCGACAAACGCTAATTACAAACATTGTTTCGCGACGCTACTTCGGAGACCGGAGCAATTCGTAGCGCGGCGCGCGTTAACGAACGGCGGACCGCCGCCGACCGAACGGAACGCGTCACGCGACTCCCCCCGGTTCGCGGGTACTGCGAAAACGCCGTCGGTGACGTCGGTCAACGGCGTCGTCCGATTTCCCGTTTGTCGCGCGACGCGTCGCCGTCGCTCGGCCGTGACGTGTTTCTGTTCGGTCTTACGCGCGCGCAACGGCAGTCGCGCGACAAACGGGAAATCGAACGACGCCGTTGACCGACGTCACCGACGGCGTTTTCGCACGGGCCGTTTTAACGCATCGGCCGGAACGGCACTACGGAATTACGATAAGGTCTTATGAAGACCGCGTGTGCGTTTCGCGTTTCGCACCGGCGTCACTGCGTTCGCGGGCGGTCCGAACGCCACGCTAATTCGTTGGAATTCCGCTGCGTTACTACGCGCGGACGGCCCACTGCGACGCGTACGGGCCAATACATTATACATTCACGTCGTCGCCGCGCAGTACGAGTTTCAAATACGAACGGAACGAACGAAGTTTATCCCCGTTCTGATAAATAACTCGATATATACGTTTTGATATTATTTTATAAATCGAAAAAACCGCGTCTAAACGAAAAACTAGGTTAATTACAATTATATATATATGTAGACTGGACATTAACGAGCTAAAGAGGTTAAAAAATTAATTAATTTTAACTTATCGCCCCGTAGCTCCGGACTTTTAATTTTCTATTGAATCGATTGCATATTTTCTTTTTTTTTTCGAAAGGAAATCTGACTGGGGTAACACTCAATGGAGGTCATTTTTTTTTTGATTTTCCCAGGAGTTTCCATAGCGATAAACGGGAAAACCGGGGAAGAAACGTATTGGAAACGAGAAAATGTACGAAACGTATTACTTTTAAATCGTATAAATATCGCGGCCTTTCAAAACACGTATAACAGAATCGTTTTCAGTTGGTAATGTTTAACCGTCGCGTACGGATGTACACTGAATTTCCCCTGTGATGCTTTCCCAGTTTCTCGCCTACCACAGCGGCCCACCCATTGTGCGAAGTATGTACGTTTGATTTTATTACATTGGCTTCATTAAAAACGAGTTGATTTTGAATTATTACATCGGGGCAAAGTTGTTTTCAATTTCTTTTAAACTTAACTTTTAACGCGGTATTAAACATACAATAATTAGTTTGTATCCAAAAACAGTAATGTACCTACTTTGTATAGTACTTATTACTCATATGCCGGATGTCCGAGTTCGGAATAAGTATAATCGGTAAAATCAGTAAAATAAGTATCATCTGTTGTACTTTTTGTTATCTCACTGTTGTTACTTTATTGTTTAAGGCCTTCTGCCCGTTTATTTGTTTAAAATGAAAATAAATTAACTAATTTGACATTGCCCGGGTTTTCGTGTTTAACGTCAATTGTCCTCGTTTTCAAAAAAAAAAAAAACAACACTATACTCTAAGTTTAATCATTTTCACTGCGACGAAATAACTTATAAAAACAAAACAAAAAAAAAAAACAAACAAACAAACAAATATAAAACGATCGACTTTTAACGTGTTGTCTCGTAAACTTATTTTCAATTAACTACAGAGTTTAGGTTATATTCGTATGCGTACAATAATAATATATACTAACCCGACCCCGAGATAAACTTTTCGCCAACGCAATTTCCGATCGTTTTAAAATAATTATTCTGAATTAACGGGTAAAAGAAAATCTGTAATTTTGTCGTTTGTCGTTATTACGCTCGTATATTTCGCACGCGTTCTGATCTACTCATTGTAAATATATGTATACACATAAACGTTACGTGCATCCCTTTTCTCGTATATTGTAATATCATAACGCGATTATTACAACACGAGTGATAGAGTAAAAAAAAAAAATATGTATATATATGTATATAATAGTAATAAAAATAAACAATTTTTTCCAAACAGCGGTAAAATAAGTTTGGTTAGCGTGACGTCGGTCAATGTCACGCGATTTTTCTAATGTTTTCCGGTGTGTATACAATCGTCATTATCCCGCGAAAGACGGTATAATTTCGTATTTTTATGTTTGTCAGAAAAAAAAAAAAAAAAAAAAAAAACCCTCCGGTTGATTTCCTTCTTTTCCCCTCCACTATTTCCCGGCTACTTCTTCATTACCCGCCCGAATAACTGCAGTACTTTCAACGGAGTACGGAAATTTCGGTATTATTTCGTCGACAATCAAAATAAAAAAAAAAAAAAGAAAAAGAAAACCGCGCCCTTTTGCCCGAAAGCGGTTATATACCTACCTATGCGCGTACTTTAAGCGATGACAAAACCGTTAACCCAGTGCCATTATTATAATAATGCGCAAAGGCCGCGAATATTCTTAACCTTTTACAATATTCTTATAAAAGTAAAAACGACCTTTTTGCTATACGTAAGATGTCCCCGAAGTCGTATCTATTATAATATTATAAGCGATCGCGCACGGCGGACCGTCGTGATTTATAACTCTAAAGAATCTATGTAAATCGTGACCGGTTTAACAACGGGTTGCACAAACGTTCTGTGAAACGTATTTTATAAACGTCTGTAAATTATAATGGCATTGGTGTTGCACGGTAAATCTGTAAATCAAAATGTACAACGATAACAGCGTTTACCGGATAAACTAAACCGTTCATGTTCGATAACCCTGAACCACGGTTATCTTACTCTGGTAGATAACCGAGACCCGAATAATGCGATAAGTAAAAAAACTGTTGTTTAAAAACATCATCGAATACCCAATCGGCGGATTCTGTCAATATCACCTCGATAGTAAATCCATCGTCATTCGACAATGATAAAAACAACGAATCCGTAATTCAAGTTACATTTAAAATTTAACAACGGGTATTGAATCCGAAGGGAAAATTTCGGCAATAAAAGCATCGGTAAAATGATAGTATCGGTCTGTGAACCGTACTGCAATCGGCCACGGATACGAATATTTGTTTGGTTTTGTAAACATCACAGTCACTAACAGGTCTGAAAAATGGCCGGTTCACAGATGTGCAAACAGCGCTGAACGTTCGAGCAACTGCCACTGCCAACCGGCCCGGTTCGCTCGTCAGCAAGAACGGTAACGGTTCTGTAAGTCGCCGCGGTCTCCCGCGGCCGTCGATCGCGACCGCGCGGCTCTCCGTATAGTTTTTCGACCGTTTCCGTACCCGTCACGCCGCGAACGTACGAATCGAATGTCCGCGGCAAAAGGGCCGATTTAAAAACCGAATACGACGCGTCGCCGCGCAGTGCCAGTACGCGCGTCGTGTACAATATTATCGTATGATCCGTACGTGCGTGTAGAGGGAGAGAACCGGGAAATCGGTATCGGGCCTGCGGCCGTTTTACAGTCACCCTCCCCTCGAATGGACGGCGGCGGCGCGTAAATTACAGAGACGATTCATCTCGACGCTGCCGCCGCCGCGAGGCGAGTTAAGGGCTTTTAAAAAACATTAATATAATATTCCGAAAATAAGCCCGTTTTACGACGGTTAGGTACTTAAAAGCGACGGGCCGCACTAAAATAACACGGGCGTTTTCAAAGAGCGATTCGAGCCAATACATACGCTTATACGTTATTAGAAAAAAAAAAAAAAAAATATACGTACAGTATACGAAACTAAAACGTTACGCAGCGGGTAAACGTATATACGTGTACGATATTATTATTATTAGGTTATTACGGAATGAAATAATAACTATATTTGAATAATTACACCGCCCGTTTTATCGGATCTCGGATCAAGGCGTTTTGGCATGTGTTGTTTATGTTAATGTTTTTCGGTGCGTTTCGAAACTGTAATAATATTTCGTTTTTTTTTTTTTTTTTTTTTTTTATTCTAACTCCACGTCCGTTTTATATACCGAAGTAATAAAGAAATACACTAAACTTTAACCTTTATAGGTACCGGTCTCTTTGAACGCGGATAATTTTATAAAGACTCTTTGATACCTCGCGCTCTCTCACACTCTCTCTCTCTATATATATATATGTATACTTCATTAGGTTTTTTTTTTCTTTTCTTGTTTTCAGAACTTCATCGTTGGACTACATTATAATGGCAAAGTCCCGTGTAAATTTCGTTATTTATTATTATGCAAAATATAAAACTAGTTTAAAAGCGCATCGAACCTAATTTAATTCGCGCGACGCTAACAAGTTTTGAGTATTGGCGAGAGGAAATATAATTCTTTTCCTCGTCGTTATACACGCACATAATCTATATTATTAAACGCGGATAAAATGAGACGTTACGGGTTTTAAAATACTGCTGATGGACAGAAGTGGTGTGCCTATGTGCCTACATATAATAAAATATGTTACATTGTAACGTGTACTTGAATATTTATGATTTTAAAAACGTATTTGAAAGCGTTTGTCCGGGAGAAAAAACAGAACGAACGGTTATGCCGTCGGACATTCGGAAAGCTATGTGTAGGATACGTAGAATGATTCGATTTATATTTACAATTAACGATGAACCGTTGCTAGCGAAAAACGATTCTGAGCAATGTTCCGAAAAACACTTTTCGAAATACCGTAGTTCGTATTAAAATTTGACCGGAAGAGTTTGCAAAAGAACTGCTCCATAACGCTCAATTCTTTTAGATTCGCAGCGTAACGAGGAATCTATTGGTTTTATTACGATGTGTATTTTCGTTTATTTTCTCATGACTGTTGATAACTTTTCTACTAGAAATATTTCTTGGGTACATAGGGCGCAGTACCTTTTTTGAAATGAAATTCTATCTAGTTGGTGTAAGTAGAAAGGTCACTTTTTGATATTCTCGGGGGTTTCAATATAATTAAGAAAAACCGGAAAGAAAAGTATAGGCAAATCGACAAATATTTACAGCGTGCCGCTGCGTTACCGGTTTATTCGTTTTAATTTTCGAAACGATACTTTTTACCGGAAATCCAATATTGGAAAATGACGAGAAATCGATTTCGTTCCATTTAATATCTGTCCTACGGCAGAGAAAGTCGTTTCATAAAAGTTTTTCCCGGTTATATTAAGAGAAATACAAAGGAAATAAAGAAAAAAAGAAAAAAATGCTCTCCCCAACGCACAGATACCAGACAAAGTTTGTGTTTTGGAAAAGATGCTGTGACACAGTTGACGACCCGAGCAGGATTTCTGGTAGAAAAGTTGCTTAAACGCAGTTTTCTTTTTTTAAATAAACGCACACGGCATAATAAAACTAAGCGTAGGAAGAAATCCCCACTGTCGGGATCCGTATGGAAATTGCGCTTTTATTTTAAAAATTCAAAATAATCCGACTTGACACCTGTTCGTTTAGACACACGATATTGCGTCGGACGCGCGCGGATAAACTCGAGAGCGAGTGACTTTCGGGACGCTCTCGCGAAAAACGGGGTTTTGTGGGGCTCGGGGGAAATATGGACACCGTGCGCGCCGTATCCGCGTTATCGTCGCGAACCGTTGACGGGTCGCGCGGGGGGAGTGGGTCGGTGGAAAACCGCCGCGCTCTCGCCCGGGAATTGAGGCCGCGGACGGCGCGGGACGACGCGCGGCCACGGCGGCGGGGTTGCCGTTTCGGCGATAATTTACGCGGGGCGACGGGCGGAGGGCGCGGACGCGCGGTAGACGATCCTTGTCGTCGTTATCAGTGTTATTCCGAGCCATTAACACAACGCGGCCCGCAACGAAACAACAGCAGCAACAACAACAACAACAACAACGACAACTGTACGCGTTTGTATGGGGCGCCGGCCGACGTCACCTCCGACACGGGACCGGATTAGACCGTCCGGTCTCCCGAGCACGTGTATTATTATTATTATTATTATTATTATTATTGTTAGGTCGTGTTGGTGTTATGTTATTATTATTATTGTGTTGTAAACGCACGACGAGAGACGCGAGTCCGGCGCGCGCGCTGCGCGGGAATACATTCTGCGGCGGCATAAATATTATTGTTGTTTGTCGCGGACGGGCCGCGCGATAACGAGTCCCTTCGGCACTTTTATTTTTTATTATTCTTTTTTTTTTTTTTTTTTTTTTTTTTTTTTAATTCTTTCGTTTGGATCGCGATAAAACCATGCATATCGCGCGGACGACGACAACGCCGCCGCCGCCGCCACCCTCGTCGCGCGGTTCAGCCGCGGTGGCAGGTACTCGTATAATTTACCGCGGGTGTATATTATTATTATTATTATTAACGTTATTACGCGCGTTGTCTGCCGAGTGTGCGGTCAACGATGGCAATCGCGGCGGTTTTTAAACTCTCTACACACCCGATCCCTGCGCCGTTCCTCCCTCCCCCACCCCCCCGTCATTGACCATTTCGCATTGCTGCCAATCTCACGATCTTCCGCCGCCGTGAAATTATTGCACGTCGACGTCCTCCTCCTCCACTCGGTCGAGTGGAAAGGACAACGATAACGACCGCACCGGTGCGGTGCGGGTAAACGGCACCAGAATGGAATTCGCGGTTATTGGTGGTCCGTTCTATACATAATAATAATGGTCGAATGATATATTGCAGGGGTGTGCAGGTGAGAACGGTATTCGGGGTTCGTTCACGAGCTTAGCGAGCGCCGGTGGAGGGGAGGGGGGATTTTGGCTCGAGCGCGGGTCCCCGGAAATCAGATTGTCGATTCCGTAAGCAGTACGATGGCGGTACTTCATTACGACCGGAAGGTGTCTGAAGTTGAAAAAAAAAAAAACAATAATAATAAAATAGTCGTGAGGACCCGAGGTATTATAATATATACGGATTAAGGTTTAGCGAAATTTAGTGACTGCGCCGAAAAGTTGGCCGAAACTCAATAATTTAAATTTTATCGAGTGGTTTAACAAAAAAAAAAAAATATATATATATCTGTACCTAGTTTATTCGCCATCGTCGCGTGTATACTGCAGATAAATCTATTGTCAATGCGACGGACAAAAAAACCCGACGTTATTCACAATTTATTATGTTTTTAGATCCTGGGCGGAGCCACTGTGCACTATCTACTGGAGATCTCGCTCCGATCAAAAAATGACGAGAGACGTTTTTCGTTGGGTCTATTTTCATCATAACTACAGTGATTAGCGGTTAAAACAAAAACAAAAAAAAAGTTGAGCGTAGTTTAGTAATTTCCGGGGAGTTCTTTAAAAAATATATCGTTTTTTTGATTTTCCCAAGTGTTTTCACAGCAAACGTGAAAAACCGGGAAAAAAACACGGGAAAACCGGAATAAACGCAGTAAAACCGGGAAAAATCGATACAATATTAAAGAAAACATATAACGCCTATCCAATCATTTTACCATAATGCGACGCATACACCGTCGACGGAGCATCGCCGTTAACTCCCGCACACATTAGTTTTCAGTAAACAACGGTTTATCGTTGCTTTTCACAGACGCGAATTAATTTCCCCTCTATGTCCTACCTTCCCGGCTTCTCGCCAACAACAGTGACCGCGCCCGTCGCGCGGAGTCTGTCCGTCTCTTTTGAAATCGTTTTTTTTTTTTTAACATTTACTCGCACGTGGTCGCGTATAGCGTGCGCGCGTTAAGGTTTCGAATCGCATTCGCGGATTTTCGAAATTACTTTTTTCGCGAATATAACACGTACCCCTGTACCTATATAAGCTGTTGCGGCAATACGTTGCATCGGTAAAACGCGCCAACAGATTCAATGTGTACCCAACGCCATGCACGCGAACGCCGTAACGTAACGTTATGCGCTTCGCGCCTTTTAAAATGGCGGAACAACGTCATTTTGCGTTTGCGCAGTGCTCGGTGAACGGAATGACGTACACGCAATATTATTGTTATTCTAATGTAGTACGCGCCCCCGACCTCAACCCCCCTCGGCCCCGCCGCCGTTGTACAGTATCAATCGGAGAACATGTAAACAATAAAACGAGCGGAACGAGCGGAAAGACGTTTTACGCGCGGCGATAAATGATCGAGGTGAAAATTACAAAATGTAAATATCCGTACACATACACACGGACCGATAATAGTTGCGTGCGGAAGAATGACGACGGAATTGTAAAAAAAAAAAAAAAATCGCGTACGAGAAACGAAAATAATATAAATTTTACGGAACGCGTCGAAGTATATGAATAACATAATATGACAGTCGCGTCGAGAACGGGGTTTTTTTTTTTTTTTTTTTTTTATTGTCATCATCTACCTATGTACTTAATATCGAACCCCGGTTTCAGAGTGTTCTGAATTTTTTCATTAAAACGTAAGTAATATCTATATACGCGCAGGGCATTACAAATGTTTTTTTTTTTTTTTAATCAGGGCTCGGATTTTATAGCGTTTGTTAATTGTTATTGTAATAGGATACAGGATGCAAATAGCAGAATGAGCTATACACTTGTTTTATGCGCCGGAGACTCCAAATATGAAATTTTTTATCGCTATTTTTCGGGTGTTTAAGAATTTTAGATTTTCAGTGCCATTTCTTTGACGATCACGATTTATTTCGTGTTTTTCATTTATGCGAATCCGTAAGGAAAATAACTACATTATCATTTCGTATTATAATTCATTTTCAAGTAGCCCTGCTTATTGACTTATCGAGCAGTTTACGTTTATGACATCTTTCGGTTGTGTTTATATATTAAAAAAAAAAAAAAAATTTCTTTTTAACCATTTTTCATTTTTTTATGGCACATTATAGCTTATTTAAAAAAATCTAGAACATATTAAAGCGCTTACTTTAGGATTTGTTTGGTCATATTTTAGCGCATAATTCATTTTTTCTTCTCAGTGCTATAAAATCCCAGCCCTGTTTATAATAATAATAAACTAGAACGGTGGTTTTGAACCTTTTTCCTTTTAATTTTCTCACGACGGCGTTCTAATATTTATATCCATAAAAACGGTCGTCGAACAAACTAGGTACTTGGTTTGTGTCTAAAAAAAAATGTCACCGGGATTTTTTAGCGGTCACATCTGCGCGTGTTACTTTTTTTTAAAACAAAATCCCTTTTTTTTACGTTCTGTATATCTTTTAAAAATTATAACACTGGGAATATCTCGCCAACGGGTTGACGGAAATTAAAAATGTCAGCACCGAAATCGATTTAAACCAAAACTCTGTCTATTTACGGAATTTTCAATATAGGTTGCGGCTTGAAAATCAAAAGTAGATAGAGGTTTTATCAGCCGGGTGACCAAAAAAAGAAAAAAATAACCGTAACAACGTTTTAGATGTACTATTATTTCTTAAATATTCTAAAAAATAAATCCCGAAAAAATTTAATACTTTCCTTGATTACGGGTGTCCTACGTTATGTTGATTGCCCTGTACGCGGTGATGTAAATCGGTAATATTACTTTGACGAAGTAAAGTTAACGGAGTAATAAACATAAATTCCGTAACCGTTTTACGAGCAATTTGTTTTTTTAACAATTGCGTTATTCGAATAACCAATTAAATCGTTAGCGATCACTAATAGAATAACTTGACGAGTAAATAAATTACAATGCATGAATTATTTTGTTTTATTTAGCTTAAAACTACGCAAGTATTTAATATTCGTTCATATGTACATAAAATATTAAAATTAGCAATCGTATACGGCTATACAAGAAAAGAACGGGGTTTCCATTGTCGTTAAAATGTATTTTGAACACGCAATATTTACTGATATGCATGGCATTCGTATTTAAATAATACGAAAATTCAAATCGAATTTCAAAAACAAATTTTTTTTTGTCAACGTATCGCGGATGATAACAACGGTACCAAATCGCTATCTAGTGACAAGACACACGAGTTGAAGACGTCCTAGTCAGCCAATTTCATAGGAATTATGGCGATAGGAGTGATAAGTCACATACGCATACACTCTTTCTCTATCTATCTATCTCTCTCTCTTATATATTATAACTATTTCGCATCGATTTATTGTGCTTTTGAACAGTTAAGATCGCTTTAAATAAACGTCTCGGGAGAATTTCGAGTATTTTCTAAATATTTAAACAAAGGATTGTAGGAATTCCGGAAAACGCTAGGGTGAAAAACAGAACCCGTGATCATATTGTAATAACGGCTGTTTTTTTCTTTTAGATTGTTTAATTTAATTACAAAAATTAGATTTTGAAATAATCTAGGTACACGTAACAATATCGAATTGTCCGGACATTCTAGACGATTCGATAATCGATTACGGTTAACTTATTTTGTTCTTTGTCCGGTTAACAGAAAATAATACACAATAAATCTAATATCATTTTGATAATTTATTCATTTATCCGGGTATACGCATAGCGCGGCTCGTATACCTCAATTAGATTCGCGTTTAACATTTCAAATACGAGGAAATCGGTTTTTTTTAAAAAATTTTTCAACGGTAATATCGTAATGTATCGCGGCGTACTTCAAAAAGACATTAAAATAGTGCGCGGAAAATATTATTTCACATTTCGGCACGTTCGACGGAATAGGTTTAATTTGCTTAAATTGTTTTTATAAGTGCCCGCTATATATTATTATAATACAGGTACGCTTAAGGGACTTAAAATTTCGTCGCGTGACTGTTGCAGATATATCATAACCCATATAAAACATACAAACAGCAATGCAGGATACATTAAATACCGTTTATACGAACTGTTGAAGTTCAACGTGCATTCGTACCGGCGGTTTTATTTAATTTGCCTACATACCTAAATAATGCGCCGAATGAATGGCTGGTGCTGATATCTATCCAACGACACCGTGGCGTGTTGAATTTCGGGTGTCGTTGGCACGCGAGTGAGCCCGCGTTAAAAACCCGCACAGGTAGTATTAAGAACCTCGAACGAGGGAACAATAACGACTCGCGAGTGTCAGTGAAACGCGATCAAACTATAAAAACTACTTATTAGGCGGAATTAATGAATTCGGTTTGATTCGATAGGTATGACAATATGTTTTTTACAAACCCTCCGTCAAATCGGACTATATTGTGTCATTATATATATATATCGTCGAAAACTAAACCATTTACGAAAACGAATCGGTACAAATACAACATAAATAAATAACAATAATTCAACTAATATTATAATATAATAGACGTGAAAGTATGCGAGGATGTATGGATGTTTGTTGTTAATCATTCACGAAAAAAATCGCTGAACGGATTTTGACGGATTTTGGTATAGAGAAAGATGTGACCTTGGAGTACTAATACATAGGATACTTTTGTCGCGAAAATACAACTTGAAGGAGATGAAATAGGGGACGAAAAGTTTTTAGGTATTTTTGGTTCGAAAATTAAATTATTTTTTTGAATTATGGATAACCATGGTAACACGGATGAAATGAGAACAAATTTAAAACAAAAAAATAAATAATAAACGGAAATAAAAATGTCATAACAACTTAAAATAAAGATTCTATCTGATCATCTTCCGATCCATTATCGGCTTGAAATAGGACGGGGGCTATCTTGGTAATATGAATGAAAACCTAACCTAAACTAACACGAATGAAAATATGTAAGATACACCAGAACACTTTTAGTCGGCGGACTACTCACTGTTCAACTTTTTTTTTTTTTTTTAGTTCAATTTACTGATACAGACTAAGCAAAATGAAAATAAAGGTAAATAGAATAAAAAATTATCACGGGCAACGCCGGACGTGGGACAGATTGTCTACAATAATTATAATGGAAAGTCTAAAATACATATTATTATTATATGTCTCGCTGCCGTCCATCTGTCCGGAACTATTTATTGTCGATTTTAGATTTACCACGGCAACCAATTTAAAACCCAAAAAAATAAACGCGATGATTACAGTGATAATGGTGTGATAAACCAAAGAATAAACAAATAACAAACGGTGAACGTGTTTACAGTGTTGACCAAATGCGACGGCTCGGGTATCACGGATGACAGCGGTGGATCTAGGATTTTCTGATGGGGGGAAGGGGATATAACATATTTTCGTACATAATATGTATATAAACTTTATACTACTAAATTTAAAAAAAAACGAAATTTAATTTTCTTGATGACTGTGCCATTGCATCAATTACTTCATTGGATTTTACTTGTATTGTCTTATGAAGAGACAACATGGCAAGCCCATTCAGTCGCCTCCACATAAAAAAAAAAAAAAAATAGAAAATAAAAATATGTTAAAATGTATTTTTCACTAGTATATACCTGACCCATAGAATTTTTCAAGTAAGTTTTTAATCTTTTTAATGTTGAAAACGTTCTTTCCGGGGTAGCTATGGAAACTGGCAATGTGCAAAGAATATTTAGTAAGTAATGTGCATTACGAAAAATTGTTTTATCACATAATGCAAGTGCATCAATGCCGGTTTTAAGAACTGACTTAGTTCTTAAAAATAAAATAAATAAATAAATAAAAAGATACTACACGTAGAAATCTGAGGAAGTCTTCTGGTAAAAAAGTTGTTAACAGATAAAGAAAAAAAAATAAACATCTTTGTAAAACCGTAAGCTTCTTCGCTCCACTCAGAATCTAAAATAAAATAAAAAACTTTTGCCGGAGCATTCAGAATATATAGTATACGGCTGTTACACGTTATTGGTTCCATAAACTTTCTGTAATTGTTGGCCATAACAGTCAACCGCGGGCAATTGTCCATCACAGCCATATTTCCCGTCACGCCATTGTGCGTGGGTACTTAATAAACTATGACACACGGATACATTAAACTAAAAATAGTTTATACTTATAAAAGAGCATGTAGTTACATGATATTAATCGTTTTGGCATTCAGATCTAAGACTATTTGCAATTGTAGCTGAAATATTTAATGTTCCCTTCTATCAGATACTCGCACACGTGTTTACTTAAGCTAAAAAGTGTTGTTAAATCTGTTAACTGTGATGATGTAAAAAAAAAAAATAATAATAATAATAATAATAATAATGATGAAAAAATAGAGACTTAAAACGTATTATTTGAAGTAAAAGCCATTCGACTTTTAAAGACGAAGATTATTCAACAAAGGATAAAAGATTTTCCATTGTTTTATCTTACTGCAAGTTAAAATTAAACTCTGGACTATTTTTAATTTGATAATATATTTATGTAAATAAAATATACGTTATTTTAACGTATTTCTTTGTATGCACAGAGATGAAATTTTAAAATATCCATAGAATATTTGAAAATATTTTTTACAAACTTTATACTCTCGACACGCTGTAGTTAGTAGTGTTCTATATGATCAGGTACTCTATTGAATATTTTAAACAGTTTTTTTTTATCGTATGAAAATGTACATTATATAACAGCTAGTATGGAATAAGTGCAAACTATATTCTTAGTGTTCGTGTAAAGTTTAAATTTGTTAACACAACTTGACGTTTTCGTGTAGGTTGCTATTTCTACTGCAGTTGAATCAGCCATAGCAAAATATAACAATAGCATACACAGCGTGAATTTTAAGCATGCTCACTCCATTTTTATGATTGAACTATGCGAAAATTTAAATTCTGATTTTTCAAATTTTGAAGCGTAGTGAACGACGATAATTTTGAACAGTTAGATTTTTCACAACACTTAATGAGTATCATATGACGACACCGACTTTTGGTTGATTTTTCTGAAAATGCTGGCGCATTGTAATCAAAATTTGAACGAAAATTTTCTGAATTATTCTATTTTAAATAATAAGGATAGTAGTCTACTGTAAAGTTGGATATCGACCGACTCATAAAAGTCGTGTTACAGGTTCTTGGTTTTTCTTAGCGTTACGCGGTGGCTTTGTGCGAGATGACTAAGATGTAAATAATTATTAGTGTAAGTGTCTGTTACCGAGCATTCGTTTTAATAACAAAACCGGTTTCTCGATATTATAAAATCCAAAACACGAACTTGCCTATTTGTCGATATCCAATCCCCTTAATAACTTGTATCTATTGTGTTTAAGGCGGAATAACTCAGAAACTTTTCGTTAAAATTTCGATTAAAATACGTAAAAATGTTCAGAAAAATCATCCGATTAACAATTTACATTAAAAGAAATATAGGTTCTCATTTGAAAAACCAAAGTTGGTATCGCCACAGAATAAAATTCGGAAAATCAGAATTAGAATTAACACATGCATAATTTAACCATCCATATGGGGTGAGCATGCATTATTAAATCACACTTTATGCTTATTGTACGTAGTATCACAATAAAAAAAAAAAATTTAAAAAAAGAGCTATAAACTGCCACTATTCAGTATAAATCACTGTTAACGAAAAACGATTCTGAGCGGAGATCAGTGAAGCAATTTTTTATCACATCACACAAAAACACATATAAATTTATGAATTGTATTGTAAAACAACAGTGCTGTCCGAGTTACCTTCTCTATACCACCTCTGTTACTTTTATCACGTCACACAATACCACTTTTTGTTACGCAAAATGCCGTGATTCACAAATTTAAAACGTCTACACACAGTTGCTGAAAATTCGCCAAAATTTAAATGTTTTGTGAAAACTTCAGATTTTTACGATTACTTTTAACCAAATTGCGATAAAACTAGAAAACCAAAATTATTAAAATCGTTCATTTTTCCGGTTTTAAAAACTATAAACGAAATGCTACGAAAAATCTCTTTTGTCATTTTTTGGTCTAAAACTTGTTAACAGGCAAAAAAACAAAAATAAATAAGCACACATGATAGCAAAACCGTTACATTCCTCACTTTGCTTAGAATCTAAATAAAAAATGAATAATAAAGTGTACAAGTATTTTCACAGTTTTTACGGAGATGTCGGACGTGAAAACTGCAGATAACGTCGTTTTTACCTTACACGGAGCACCTGCGTGTTTATGTTTTTATTATGTGAATAATTAATGCTGACTGCGCGTGTCGTTTATTCGAACACGAAAAATATTTATCGGTAACGTAAAATATTTTAGCATTACCGGATTTATTGTTATATTTGGATATAATTTTTTTTCTATCGATTTTATACAACGTGAAAACAAAACAATGTACGTATGTAATTATTTATTAATTTTAATGTTTAAACGTATTACAATACGTAATGGCAATAAGGAGGGATGAGGGGCGTGTGAATGCAGTTACATCAAGGAAGATTCTTCAAAGGGGGCAAACGCATTATATTATATTATTATATTATATTGCATCCACAGACAACAGACAAAAATAATAACAGGATGTTAGGTAGTAATAGATTCTTTTAAGAGGTATGGTGCCCGCAGGGTCTGAACTACCTTATAAAAAGAACCTGGGAAATATTAATTTAACCGGCTCCCAAAAGACTCACAGCGGCTCCGTATTAGCTTATTACTTTCTATCGTCAATATTTTTCCTTGAAAGCATCCACACTGGCGCTCGTAACGGCCAACTGATAGTCTCGTTTTGCTGCAGCCTTTGGTAGCATATTACAGGCCCCTAAAATAACCTAATTCAATTTTCGCCGACTTATAAAAGGCCCCTCAATAGCGTACAGCTGCTTCTGACGGCTTATTGCCAGTCCTCCGAGCATTATTTTGCAGCTTAACTGAATAACTAAATCATTATCTCGTGTTGTATTCGACTCGTTAAGCCACTTATTCCAGTTATACACTTATACCCCACCCGACCTTACCAGATTTACTAACTCATTTTCGCCGCGGCCTATCGGAAGATATCCCGGTATCCCGGTGGCCAAGTCCAACCCTTTGTGGGGGAAGGGGCAAAGTCCCCGACGGGTTTGTGAATCATGATAACTACTTTTACACCCTCACGAGTTTTACCAAATGCCGCTTATGCGATATTTTTTCTTTAATGGTTTTTATAGGTTAAATTCAAATACATATTATGTAATTTATTTTAATTTTCGTCGAAATGTATCCTATTGTGAAGAAAAAGATTTCTATAGTTTACGAAAAAAAAAACACGGTTTAAAATAATTAATTAATTAGGAATGATTGTGTTGTTTACAGAATAAACATTTCATGGAACGAATGTTCCTCTCCGAAAATATTAAAATGTCAACAGCGAAAATACATTATTAATATTTTTAAAGTAAATGTCGGAAAAGAAACATGAATATGCAACAACGATAATGTTTACAAAAAAAAAAAAAAAAATAATAATAATAATATATAGTTTCAAATGTAAAATACTAATTAACTATATGAATTAAAATGTAGAGGAAAAAAATGTATACCGTTGTCTAATGTTCATTGTTTTTATACCGGAAAGCTATTCTATACTTTACTGAACATTTTGCTGGATATTATAGTGGTTTTCAGTCAGACTTTACGAACATCGTAATATCTTGTTTCTTTATGAAAAGAAAAACATTATAATATATTATTTGTATTACACTGCCGCTAAAATTCATCTCTATATAATATGATTCTAGAGTAAATGAGATGCATTTTCCATCGTATAATGTTTTACTACCTAGGTATATTGTGAATCATTTTATTCAAAAAAGTTCAAGGTCAATATTATATCCAATGCCTAACGCATAGGCATTAAAAAAAAAGGTATTAACATCTATTACTTAACTCAATTGTAATAAACCAAATTGAGTGAAATAATTACTAAATTAGTTAAATGTAAAAGAAAATGCGTATAATTGGTCTGTCCGTTCGCGATCCACAGCCGAATTTATAGCGTACGTGTGAAAATGTACGGCTGTTTTCGGCATTTAAAGCCTACACCGGTTATTCTCAATCAAATGAGAGCAACCAGTTGTTATCGAAATGTAAAATAGCAACACGGAGTAAAGAGTGGGAAATTTACCAAAATGGGTAATTTTAGATGTTGTATCAAAAAACAAATCCAGTTATATACGTATATAACAATAAGTTTGTAAAATCAGTTAGTAATGATACGAAAAATATCATTTATAGATTCATGAATTATAAAATTTATATTTTTAACTAAAAAATATAAAGTTTTTATAGTGTAATATTAGAAAACCCATCAAGATTTAACAGCGGTTCCATTAGTAACTTTACTGGCACAATGCCATGCATGAATTTAATGTAAGTATAGTTTCCCCTAATTAAGAGATTCTTTGAGGATTTTATGAGAATAGCTACAGATACCTACTTGGGTTAACCTCGGACGTTAATTTCCAAAAAAAATTGAATGCGTACACATAATGAATCTGAAAAAACCTATTAACCCCATGAGGTAAGTTTTAAATACTGCGTTTTACTTTTTAAATTCAAAACAAACGTATATTTGATTGCATTAGAGAAAGTATAGCAACGAACGAAATAACTAGAGTATCAAAGATGAAAATATAAGAAAACTTCAATCGTCTTCGTTTCTGTAAAAGCCACACCCCAGGGTAAAAGTTTGACGGTACTCTAACTCAATCGAAAGTCCGTTTGCCGTCTGTTTCAAACCCTCTATTTGATCGTCCGTATATTCTTGATATCGTCCTCTAAGTCTAAATTTATATTTACATAGCGGCAACATAACAAAGTTATAGTTACTTAACCGGTTATATTATAATAAACGTATTTTAAAATAACATTTATTCAATGACCAAAACTCCTCCGACCATCAAGTTCCACTAATTCGGGTCGCCTGCACGAACACTTCTCGACACGCTGGTATCTGAACTGACCCCGAATCTATCTGCAAAAACGGTTTTGATGTATTTCGAATCCTTTTTCCACGATCGTTAATCCAATTTCGTAATGTATAATAGATACCCTATATTATAATGCGTCTATTTTATGTATTGTGTAAACCATATTGAAATCGTCGTTTTCGATTAATCGCAATCACACATTTAGTAGTTGGGCAAATATTATGTGATTATATGCTATCCGTTGAAGTTTTAAAAAGTTGCAAAATACAAAATATACACGATAGAATATTGTTTTGGACATTTTTGCAATATTTATTCACAAATATTTCGCATTTGAATAGACTATAACTTCCTTTATGTTCTGTGACAAAATTAATGAATCTGTGATTCTTTTTCTTCTCACACCCCCCCCCCCACAAATAATTTATGTAAATATCGTAATTTGTACGTTTTAGTATATTATCGTGTACTACGAGTAGCACCACTCACCTATATTTAGTATACGCGTGCAGTACCTATTATTATTATTATGTGCGACTCCAATTCGATATTTTCTATTACATAGTCCGCAAAACCTTAATAGGCGTAAAGCACGCATACACTTTCGATAGAAATTCGGTTGAAAAAATATTCGTAGGTAATTTATGTTTATGGATTTTGTTTTTTTTTTTTGTTAGTTTTACCGCCGTTTTCTGTTGAAATTGAAACGTATAAAGAATACAACGAGTGTATATTGTATGTGATATATATACATATCAATGGATTTCATTAAAACGCGAGAATTCGCGCCTCGAATAAACTTGGTAAAAAAAAAAAAAAAAAATAAATAAATAAATACTATTGGCGTTTTTCACTCATCAATTCGCGCTCTCGTCTTCCTGTGCAATAAACTTAAAAGTGGTGTGAAAGCGTGACGTGACTTAAGAGCTCGAGCATATATACCTACTGTGAATTTCCCTGACATTTTCATGTTTGCAGAAAACCTCGTTTGAAAACCCACTCCCGATTACGGAAATCACGCACGTCTTCTTTTTTTTTTTTTTAAGGATCCCCTCTTGTTATTTAACCCGAGAATACAACGGGGAAAAAAATATTCAACACGACGACGAAATCACATAAAAAATTCATTGAACGTAGGTAATAATTATTATTCGGAAAAGCCGCGCGCGCAGCAGTATTTAATCAACGATATTTACATTCGACGGCGGTTTTAATTATCGAGTCCGGCCACCGCATTTGTTTCGGAATTTTTTTTTTTTTATCATTATTATTTTCCTCGCCCTTGATTATGACGCGTCAACGGGAAATTTTGTCGAATAACCCGATATCCACGGCAGCTACACCGAGACCCCCGTAAGAAAACGTGTAGTTCTATGTTGTGCATATAGTTATAGGTAGTGTAAGTACTTCAAAGGAAAATATATTCATTAAGTGCCGTTCGTCAAAGGCTTAGGTACTCGCGCGGGATACTCTCTCTCTCTCTCTCTCTCTCTCTCTCTCTCTCTCACTCGCTATATATAGGTACCGGGGTCCGCCAAACCGCGCGATATCGTCTAGATGACGTGTATGCATATATATATATACAGGGTGAACTCAATACCAACACCACTATATATATATATGAGGTACACGGTACAGGGGAAGGAGTCTGTTTTCAAATAATGATTCGCCGCAGTAGTCGCCACGTGCCTTTCCTCCCCCGATATACCATCACCGTCACACCGCGTGTGCTCTTATCCCAAAACTCACACACGCGTCCACGCATAATGAACAAAACAAAGCCAAAAGCCGCGTCCGCGCGTACTAAATATATGTATACGATAGTTGACCGAGAGTATCCCAAAACGGGGAAACTCGAAACCTCGTATTGTCCGCGCGTGACTACGTAAATACAGCGGTTTCGACGAAATACACATCGATATCCGGCCCTATATACAGGGGTAGTCGGTGTAGGTACCATACGATAGTGTATGGTGTTGATTGCAATCGATGACGTGATCTTACTCGGTTTTTTTAATCGAGTGAACTTATATTATGCAGTCTTTGGACGGTAAATCGTATGATATTATGTTTCGTTTTATTACGTGCGCACACGTACCACGGCGATTCACAACCGATTTTCTGTTCAACAGTCCAATCGGTAGAGCGAAACACGATACGAGTTCTAAAAATGGATTTCAATCCAGCGTAAAAAGTGCGTGAGACCGGTCAGGCTGTTTTGGAAATTTAGTTTTTTTAGAATTTTTTTTTTTTTAATTACAAAGAAGGAAAATTATAGAATATAGATTAATTTCGATTATTAATTACTAAATAATAATTTTAGAAAAACGTACAACGATTATCTTATTGAGTATTTTATAAGATTTGCCATGCTTCACGAACAAACATTTCTAAAATATTGGCATCGAAATACAAACATGGATGATGGTGATAATGACCAAACGCATTATTTTAAAATTATTAATCAGGCTGAGTAAGTTCTACAGGAGTGTGGTGAGATTGACTTTGTTATAACTGTTGTATGGTTCAGAGGTTGAACGGTAGACAGAAAAATAGAACGAGAATGAGTTCTGCTACACTTATTCTTGTTGTATTTTTATGAGAGTGCTTAGGTGGATGAGTAGAGTGACGAGAGAAGGCATGGTAAGAAATGAGTACCTACATAAGAGGTAACTTAGGCGTGGCTTCGATAGTAGACAAAAATGAGAGAAAATAAACTAAAATGGTTTGGACATATCACAGGGAGAGATGAATCTGAAGCAATAAGAATTGTAGTATAAATAAACGTACCTACATACGAGGAAAGAGGTGGAGTAAAAGACCGACATTGCGATGGAGAATGATTAAAGGACGGCCGGTGTATGAAAGTTGGAAGATCGGGGCCAGTGAAAGTTTTGAATGATGATGGCTGGTCCTAAATATTTAGAATGAAGGCAAAGGAGAAGAAGTGGAATTGGACCGATATTAGTATAATTATTAAGTTCCAGATCACTTCAAATGCAAACTGTAAGTATTTAATATATATATTTGACTATATATATAGTCAGGTAAGTATTGAAATATGAAATATAATATTAGTGCCTAGTCAATAAAAGCTGTACATTCGAATAAAAAAAGTAATAGGATAAATTGCGAAATATTTTAAAATCCCTTCTTACCATCCCCTCCGACATTTTTAATTAAATTTACACTGTACATGTTAATATTCAAAAACATATAAAAACAGTACAACCGGGGAAATTGATTAACTTTTCGTTCACAAGTAGTGTTTAGTAGTTATAATTATAGGTTACGTAACGATATAATATAATTAATATAGTAAGGATTATTCTGTACTTTAAGTTGTACACTTGTACGATAAAAAAAACCTATTGCGAGAGGAAGACTAATACCATAAATTTTCCATATTATAATAATATGGTGTATACAAATCATACCAGCTAAATAGTCCCTATGGTATATTGATTTTGTTTTCAGCACTTAATACGATTTTGAAAAATATATTTTAAACACTACCACACGACCGTTTTCGTTCGAATTCAAAATATTGACGAGGTAGGTAAAACAAAACCAGTTGGTCTAAAAAACATAATTTAGCTGTATTTTGTTAGGTACACTTATGAGTGTTACCTAAACCAACTATTCGTTTCGAAATATTGCTTTTACATTTTTCTTCTTTTTCTGTTGACATTTAATAAGAATTTTTTCTGCCATAACTATCTCTATCCACATCACCCTGCCATGAACTACAGTGCTCCAGCACTCCCACTTTCTTGAGAGGTTCTTCCGCTACTTCCATCCATCATTTTTAGGTCACCTACGCGGTCTCTTCGCTGTAGGTTTCTATTCTAGCACTGCTTACAATATGTTTACAATAATACAATCGTTTTAATTGTTTCTTCAGAAATACTTAACTTAAATAATTCAGGTCGATGAAATTTCGAAAAAAAAATTAATTTCATAAATGTTTAGATAAGTTTCCAAACATTTAGTTATACTTACGTTGCCATAATAAACAATTCATGAACATAATAATATTATAGTTATTTGTTACACGTTTTGTAATATTTTTAACTAGATCGATAAATTAATTTAAGACGTACCTATAATATAACTCGTGAAATTTGTGTTCTGATGGATTATCCAATAATAATGTACGGCTCTTATCCGCTAAATTCGATGTACATATAGAGCGCGGTTGCTTACTGCAGTGGTGAACCACACACGGTTTTACGCGCACTATATACACAGTAATATAATTTCACTGATGGAAACCTATCGAGACAAATTATCGTCGCTTTTCGTGAAATCGATAATCGCTTATTAATAATTTACTCGTATATAGTATTACATTTACACGGGAAGCCTTTGTCAGTGGCGTTATATCAATATTTGGTAGGGCGGTTTAAATTTAACGAATTCACCGAATGACGATCAACGAAGTTATTTATCGGGAGGAGGCATGCGTTGATGCTTCGGTCAAATATTCGCCCGCATTTTAATTTCAGATTTACATATTTTTAAAGAAACATATAGGTTACTATACATTATTCACGCGGTATTTAAATTTTTAATTAAAAATAATAAATTATGTTGTTTTTAAAGCTGGAAATCTTCGTTAAATGTCTTGAAAATCGGTGGGAAAATAAAAAAAAATAAAGTCGAAAAATTGATCTCTGATCATTTTTCTTTGTGGGAGCATTCGAATAGAAGATGGGTACGCTTATATATGAACCGTTTTTCGGTGATTCTGCTGTATTTGTTTGTTTCCCAGAACCAAGAACAGAAGTGCCGTCTTAAGAAATGGCTGAAAGTTAAATTGGGGTGGTACTCGCCGCTCAAACCAGTGATTTCGTTACGAGCCGAGTCGTTCGTCGAGTTCGAAAGAACACTGCAATGCGACTGCGGGAAATGTCGGCGATAATAATAAAGTGTACCCGTGTACTTGATTATGTAGTGCGACGAGTTAAATTTATTTTTTCCGGCAACGAGCTGCCGGTCAGTCCGGAAACCGGAAGAGAATTGAGGGCACGTCAAAATGTGCACATTATAAACGCTTAAATGCGCGAGATCGTCGGCCCCCGTCAAATGTAAAACCTAGAAAGTGCTCGTGGCGGTGTTTTTCATTTAATTTTTTAATTTTCGATAATGTCGGCCATCGTGTTATTATGCACAGGTAGGTGCACTGCAGCAATGAAAGTAATTCAAACTCTTCGTATAATGCGTTTTAACGGGCAACGGGCGACGGCGACGACGACAGCGACGATGACGACGGATAGCCGTGTAATTACTTAAACCGTCAAACGCGGAAGACGACGTGGAAACGGGACTACGGGAGTAGTACACGTCATAACAGCGGTTTTAAAAGGGTTGTTTTGTTCACCTAAATACACTATGTGTACATAATATACGCCCGGACAATACTATATATATATGCATGCCTATTCGTAATAATAATGCACCCTTTGGACAGATTAAATAAGACGACAGTGATGCTGCCCCGACGAAACGAATTATCGTATTAATCCGTAATATATTACGTTTCGCACAATAGGATCCCGTACTGCGGTCGGCTACGCGTATAAGAACGAACAATAATATTTTACGTTTATTTCCTACGACTGGAGAAAAATGTGTGGTTTTTTTTTTTTATATTACATCCGTTATTCGGCGTTCCGCAAAGACAACGCGTTTTGAAATATCCATAGCGGATAAAGATGCTGAAATAGTATTGCTAACCGGACGCGGTGCCACAACAGTGAAGTACTCCCATGTTAAGTTGCGGTTCAATTCGGAAAACTAATTTGCATTCACCGGGTCGGTGTTCAAGAGCAAAGATAATAACTCATCGCTTACTTAGACAATATTTATGTATAGATAAAACACAACACCGAACACGCGTCGTATTCGATACGAATTATACGTTTCGATATTATCACGATGATATTCCCACTCGGGATATTGTTGTTGAATTAATTTTTAAAAGCGCACCACGTTCGATGCGATTCAATAATTTAAGGTCCAAGAAGACTATCCGTGGATAATTATTACGAGGCCCGGCAACGTATTAAGAAAACACGCGGCGGCTCGTTGTCCTAAAATTTTGGTTTATTTACAATTCCGGGTTCTCGTCATTTAACCGTGTATTTCCTCAATGCTGTTCTGTTGCCGCGCCAATATTAAATATTTAACGCGTTATCGATTAGACATAAATTCAGACGGGTAGCTATTAGACGTAGTAATTATATTAACAAGCGCCGAGTTGCACTATATTCTACCTCCTACAATGATATTATAGAATCGAAACTAACCGTAAGTAATGGGACCTGCAGTTGCTTTTCGGATTTCGAATGTAATGAAATCGTAATGATCGTTATTACTCGTTATTTTGGTAAAATTGCACTTTCGTTATCTCGCATTTGTACGTGATTAAGTAGGTATATTGACATTACTTCTGAAACCGTACCTATATAGAAAATAACGAATTACTAGCAAACATTTTTATTGTTATTATTTATTTTTTTTTTTTTGTCAATTTCTTAATTTCTTCTATTTGAATTCTCTGACACTATTATAAAAGCCGTTCATTTTTGTATCACTAAAATTACAAAAATGTACGGCATATAGGTAAACTTCGAACGGTTGTACCTATTCACCGTATTATTATACTTAATATTTAAACCACTGAATACCGATGGTTCGTAATTTTTATTGTAACACGTCATCATATTATTTTAAATTATTGATAAAAAAGCCGGGCAACTTCGCACGTGGGTGTGCAGCCACTGTTGTAAGTGAGAAGTTGGGAAGGTAGAGGGGAATCGTAATGTATATATCTGTACGCAACGGTCAGCCATCGCTAGCAGAAAACGATTCTGAGCGGAGTTCGGTTAAAAACGTTGCTTTTTCGGCAGTATATATATACGCCATATTATGGTAGAATAATTACATATGCATTAGGCGTATACTATTGATTTCTTAATAATTTGTTCTTTAATATTGTACCAGTTTTCCGGTTTTTAAATAAAATTACTCGTCTTGATAATTTGGACACGGGAAATTAACGAAACGACCGCAGTAACGCGTTACTTACGAGGCACCCAAGTTACTTTGCCGTCCAAGTCTAAGAACAAACCTGAAATTGGAATAAACCCTGTAGAATATAAGGCACGCGCACGCAGTGGAAATATTAATACAACCGTTTAATTTAAAATAAATACGATACGAGTGTATACGGCATATATATAGTCGAAATAATAATAATTAATCGTATAATACAACTCTATGGCGCGACATTATCAATTCATCGTGTCGTTTAATAACATAAATTAATAATAATAACGCGATATTATAATATTATAATATTATATTATGTATTATTACAGTCCTATTCATTTTAGATTAATGCTCGCGCAGTATAATAAAATGTGGACGGAATTCACATCACGGTGGCCGTTAAATATGAGATTATGATTTTGGCGAAATAATAAGGGGATCGGGCGAACACATTCCCCTTTTCTCTCTATTGTTATAATATGCCTCCGGGAATATATTGCGTAGTACATTATATGTTGGTTTAAGCGTTATAGGTATACAATGTTTTCGTACTACTATTATATGTTTTTGTAGATTTGCCAAAAAAAAAATAAAAAAAAATATTAAATAACAAAAACAAAAAAAACGATCAAAACAATGTATTATTAATGCAATAGTAACCGAATACAAACAGACCAATAAACCGTACATTTAAGAAATTTCGAAAACCGGTGGTTCAAGGCCGCGAATGTTCGTGATTAGACAATAATATTGACGATTCAGTCGAGTTAATTTAAAAAAAAAAAAAAAGACAGACATACATATCACGTGGTTGCAGCCACTGTTTTAGGCGGGAAGTTGGGAAGGAATGTTACAGACGGCAATTTAATGTATATCTGTACGTAACGGTTGACCATCGCTAACGACAAAACCATTCTGAGCGGAGTTCAGTTAATAGTGTTGCTTCGTCAACAATATATATGTTATATTATAGTAAAACAATTAAATAAGCATTGAACATTTTCTTTAATAATATTTGTTTAATATTGTACTTATTTTTCCGGTTTCCCGTTTTTCCTCCTTTTTCCCCTGGTTTTTCTAATGTGTCGAGAAAACTCCCGAGATAAAGATAATGAATACTTAAATTACCTTTGAAGTCGAATATCCTTTCAGAAAAAGTGCTATCGTTGTGAATCGGAGCACAATTGTCGATTGAAAAGTTATTCACAGCAAAAAAAAAAAAAAATAATGATAACAAACATCATTGTAAAATCATAAGCTTCTTCGCTCCACTCTGCAGAATCTAAAGGTAAACGAGTTTTAACGCGTTGAAAGTTAAACGTTTTATCATTGTTAGTTACCCAATAAGTAGCGTGTAAAAATTAAATTAACTCGTTAACTCCAATCGAGTAAATTATTGCTATTTTTGTTAGCGTCAGTAAAAACGCGTAAATATCTACAAATACAAATTGTGATTCGTCGAAAATAAGAACGATCGATGCGTTAACGCACAGTGGCCGGTCTATTCCGGTCATATAAAATAATTATAGGTACCCCCTATACAACTCGGACCACCGCACACATTATTGACGAGTATAATAAAAACAAAATTACTATTCAAATATTGTATCTATTGTACGAATTTAAGGCGAAAATCAATCGTTAAATGTTAAAACTGTAAGTCAATGTCATTATTTATTACACCGTCATGATTATTTAATTACTTAAAATGTCATTTCAATATTGCTACGGAGCAAAAAAATATAAATTATTAAAGTGTATATGTATAATAATGTTGTAAATTCGTTTAAAAGCGTTTAGACATTAAATTAATTACATTTTTTTTTTTTTTTCCTTTTGCGAAACCTAAACAATTCAGAGGTTGGAGAAAACTTATTCGAAACGTTCATCCCGCTTCTCCCGGTCGAAAAAAAAAAAATACTTCTTGTTATTACAACTGCACGTAAACCACAATCTCAAACATATTTAAGTGAATTATAAATTGTTGTTTTTTTTTTTTTTGTTAGTTTCTGTGCACGCGCCTCGGCGTTAAAATACTCGTGTAATAAAGTTGTCGTCGACTGATCGTATTAATTGTTCGGAAAATATTATTTTATTTTTTTAAACTTGATATAATAAATATTTTGATATTTGATGGAAAAAAAAAAAAAAAAATGTACGGACGGATACGAAAACCGTAAAATGTTAATACAAATACTACGAATTTCACGCGTACTTGATATTTTTATAGCACCGTGTAAATTTTAATGATTTATGCGAGTTAAATTAATTGTATTGTTGTACTCAAATCGTCTATTATAAGTCAACGACGGTATTTAAGCATTATTGGCCAGTAATTTTGGAGAGTAACTGAAGTTCGTCTTAGTTAGACGAAATGTAAAATCTATAGTTGATTTTAATTTAGAAAGAGCCATACGAGTTAATGTAATCCACCTTAACCGTTCGACTCCAATGGATATGTTGAAAGATAACAAATCGCCGCAGCCGCATCGCCGAAACATAACAATAAATATTACCTACGTTGTTTTCAAGTAATGTACAAAAGTTTCAATTGACTTAATTTGTAATCAATTATCAATACAGCAGATCGTTAAACCATTATAATGTATAAAAGTTATTACACTTTTCGTTTAAACGTGCGAATGTTTTAGAAAAATACAATTCTTGGCCGAAATATTAAACTGTACGTATGGAAAATATATTATTACATTATTATACGGGAGCGTGATAATTTCTCGTTTTGGTAAATGAACATATAAATAAAAAAACGAAGAAAAATAGTATCCAATTTTTTGAAGGAAATTACTACGGAAAATTGTATTATAGGTATATAACGTTGACTGCACGACAATCGGAAATGTTATGATGTTATAATCTGTTATAATCAACTCGTGACTGGTGCTAGATTCACCATAGCTATCTCTGTTGAACCTTTTTCTCTTTTACCATTTTCACGTCTTCGTTTGTTTGGATTTCGTCAAACCCCCGTAACTATATATAATATACAGTACGTATAATCTCACTTTTGTTTCTCTAGATATCGTATTGGACCTTAAGAATTTCATTAATGCGTAAAACGCTTTTTCGGATTTATTTAATCGAATACTTATCTCCTTTGACCAATCATTTTTAATGCTTATAAAGTTACTCTCAAATATGTTGAAATCGCTACGTTTTTCGTAAATTAAACCTTCCGGCTGTTTGGGATTCTCTTCGCTCTCGACGAGTTCCATACTATCTTCGTTTTATCAGCATTGTTTTCTAAACCTATTATCTAATAGCTTAAGAAAAACAAATTTCTTCTGTGGATCGAATACTTTTTCAAGTCTTCGCGAATATACGAATTATTCTATATAGGACCGCAAGACGACAATACTATGACGGAACTGACTAATAATCGGGATTGTTATAAATTAATATGCCAGAATCAAAATCTAAAAGTCCTAGACAGTGGGAAAATTTGTTAGGGACTGTCCGGTCGTCTAATCAGTCCGTTTAAAAATGTACAAGAACAGGTTTGAATTCAACTGGAAATTGTAGCGGTTAAAACTAGCAAGTTTCGGCCGAGACCGTGTAAAGTTCGATACTGAACCCTATTTAACCAATCCGAATGAAATGTCCATCAAACGTCAGGCATTATTTTAGATTCTGAGTGGAGTGAGGAATGTATTGGTATTACAACGATGTTTATTTTTTTTTCTGCGTCAACTTTTCTACCAGCAATTTTGCTACAATGATAGCACTTTTTCTTAGAGGAAATCGGACTGAGGAGGTACTTTAAGGAGGTCGAATTTCCCAATAAATGGGAAAAATCGGGAAAAACGTTGGAAAAGTGTGGAAAACCGTAGATAAAATGGGAAAATAGGTATAATACTAAACAAAAATATCATTAAAGAAAATATAATATAGGTATAATGCATATTAGTGCTAAGCAACACGTTGACCAATCCGGAATCCGGATTATAATTTCATAATCCAAATTCAGATTCAATCCGTTTAATTCGGATTCTCGGATCGAATCCGTCGCTCCAGATTTCGGATTTCTATACGATACGAATACACGATCTCGGAATCTCGGAATCGCATTGGGTCGATCGCCAATCGACTCAATGTGATACGGTCCCTAACGATATATATGCCAGGGTTTTCGAGTTTTTAACATTACCTCAACTTATAAGAGTCCATATTTTTATAGTCTTTTTATACACGTATGTCCGCCGTAATATACATTTTATTATTTTAGTAGAAATTGGAGAAATGATTACTGGCGCCACCGATCGTTATACCGACTTAAAATAAAAATTATTATAATTTTTTTTTTTTTTTTTTTTCGTTCTAAAACGAGGCGGTATTTCGCGTTCGGCCCGCCGATAAAACAATGCGATAAACAACGGCGTCGAACAACCGCCCGCCCAAAGCATAAATATAGTCGTCAACGTCATAATAGTATGAAATACCTATACGAGAGTCTGCTGTATACCCAATACGTATATGATATTATATTATTATATTTTATACTCCGCGATGGGCTTTCGCCGCTATCCGCCGGTGGGTTTTCAGCGTTTTCGTCCATTGTTGTTGTTGTTGTTGTTGTTGTTGTTATTATTATTATTATTATTATTATTAGCCGACGGGACTCGAATGTGTATTTACCAGACACTTGACGAGCGTCGAGAATGGGAGGGGAGAATGGGGAGGGGACGGGACGGGACGGCCAGGATCTTGATCCGTGTCGAATACTGCGGTGGCAGCAGCGGTGGCGGCGGCGTCGGCGGTTTGAGGGCCGCGAAATCCTTTTCAATTAGGAACCCAAATATACACTCGCGCGCATGTGTGCGCGCACTTATTCGTGTGTATACACATACATATTTATATAAACGCACGCCGGCTGCGCTTTACATTATGTTATTGCTATAACAGCTAAACGTATTTGCGCGCACACTATATCGAGTATATCTGTACGCGTGTACAGGGTGTCCCGCGAAAATATACCCGTCACGCATATACGATTACACACGCGAAACTGCGGGTATGCGTCCGTGCAGGCGCACCAGATACCCCGAGGGCGCGTGTGTGCGAGGTGACGTTTTTAAGGGTTAAAACCCTCCCCCGAAATTTCATGAAAACTACGATGAATGAAAATTAGATTTTTAATAAAGTCACAAACGCGGTTTCTGTCAATGAGGAAGATACATACGATTTCGGTTTTATTTTAATTTTATTCCCAGATAGTTGTGGGTATAATACATTGTAATTGTTGACATTCCTACGTTTTTGTGGCTTTCCTGCTTTTAGAAACTAATAACTGATGTCACGACAATATTGCATAGTCCGCATTATCATAGCATTCATTAATATGAATTACGTTATCGTTTAGGCTATATTCACTAAAAAAAATATTAAATTTGCAATTTAGCATAATAGATACTTTGTTATAAGAACATCAAATACTGAAAGTGTACAATCTTAACCCTCCCCTCCCTCTGAAATATTATTTTGCGAACGCACCTGCAGATACCTATACATACTGTATAAAGTGCAGTTATAATATAATACACGTTCGAACGATTTCCGTTAAGACTGATCGAGTTCTTTTCCCTTCCGCTTTTAATCTAGACCGAAAACGATGCGTTCGAAATGCGCGACAAATGTTTGAACAACAAATGCGAGTGTATTTTCACCATCGTCATCGAGTGTCGCTCGAAACTATTATACTTCAATCGGACGATTTATTTATAGCTACTGCGTCTATATTACGTTGAGGGAATTGAAAACCGACATTTTTTTTGTTTGTCCAACACTCGTACGGCATATAGTAATTGATTTAGACCCGAGATTTTCCGGCATTCGGTTTGTCCGATCGATGTCGCGAAGTGATAATAAAAATGTTTTAAATAGATTTGAATACTCAACGTGAAGTGTTTCATTTGAAATCGCTCATGTCGTTTTTAAATAATTCTGGGCGAAGCGAGGGATATATTGGCTTTACTATGTGATGTGTGCTTTTTTTATTTAATTATTTTACTATACACGATTTTTTTTTCTGTCTGTAAACAATTTTTCTACCGGAAATCAAGCTTAAATAGAAAAAAATTGCAAGACAATAATTTTGTTGCATTTTGGATATACCTATAGTTGATGGATAATTAGGTCTAATTTATATAGTAGGTAGATAAATAAAATTTTCGAAAACAGTAACTAAAGTGCTTGAAAATCTGAAAAGAAGTTTATTATAAGTCGCACTTAATGGTCAAAAATAAAAAAAAATGAGTGTTTTTTTTTTTTTTAAGATATTTAAAATTAAATTTTAAAGAAAATTTAAAATATTACGGCCTTTCGAAATATTTTTAAAAATGAACTTCTCTCTGAATAGTTTTTCATCAGCAATGGTTTATCGTTGATTACAGGTATAAATTAAATACTCAAATTTATGTATGTCATCTTCCTAACTATTTTTTATTATCTTTATTGTAAGTATTTTTTATTATTCCCTGTGTTGTGTTCTAATCTTTTCCTTTTGTTCAATTCGTGTTCACTTAGTTTTGTAAATCTAATACAGTATTTTATTTCGTAATTGGACCTAGGTATTTTTTTATGATAAATACGTAAATAAAACGATTTCAAGTAATGTAAGAAGTGAAAATGTTACTCGTATTGTGGGGTTTGTTTGTTAAACAATAATTCATCTAAGGATTTAATACGATAAGGAATTTGTCGTAAAAAATGTAAAAACACGATTGAGTTTAGAAATCGTTTCCTGATAAATTAAATAAAATCAATAACGTCCGTTGACGTTTATTTTAATACGCTCCAACGGCGTGAAATTGCTGGGACATTATATTCGAAACGATTATAGAATCGAAGAACTGTTTTAATGTAGTATATTGTATATATAAGTAATAAAAATATTGTATGACGGTGTGTAAATAACGGGGGTGAATAGTTTATTATGACGGCGGACCCGATATCGTAATAATATATTATGTGTTTTTTTTAATTAAACTATACGAGTGTTAGGTATTATAATAATGTGGGGTCGATGAAGAATTAAAAAAAAAAAAAAAACGTTACGAATAACGTACCGGACGAAATTTAATTAAACTATACGAGTGTTAGGTATTATAATAATGTGGGGTCGATGAAGAATAAAAAAAAAAAAAAAAACGTATTGCAACGTCCGTGTCGGGAAAGATAACCGATATTTGTTTATCTATAGATAAATGATAACGAATTATTTAAAGGTTTTAGCTAGAACGAACACGAAAGATAATTTTCAAAATTATTTAGATACCGTACAGAGATAACACCTATATCGGTTTCTATATTATATAGTATCTTTTAGATGATTTTATTTGGATATTCCAATCACTGATTCCAGTATGATGGTGATGTGTATATTTTTTAAGTTAAATTTTTTTCTATTTTTAGCATTTCAATGTATTATACGTGTTTTATGTTATATGTGTTATAACGTTAATTCGGTTATACGTGTTTTGAAAGGCCGTAATATTTATGATTTGGAAATAATACATAACGTAGATTGTCCCGCTCTTCCTACGTTTTTCAAAAAAAAAAAAAATGACCTCCTTAAAGTACCGTTTCAGTCATTAGATTTTCTTTTAAGAAAAGTACTTGGAAATCGGATCGAATTTTCTGGTAGAAAAATTGTTCACGGGTGAAAAAAATAAAATAAACGTCATTGTAAAACCGACGCATTTACCGCTCCGCTCAGAATCTAAAACAGCCGAACGAGCAACGAAAAACGTTGCGTGTGCAGCGCCAAGACCCAGTAAAACCGAAAAATAAAAAAAAAAAAACGGAATCGCCTACCGTCATCCGAACCAACCACTGGTTACATTTCGCGTCGCGGTCGTTCGAACGCGCACGGCAGTCGTACGGCCGGGTAAATGGCTCGTCCCGGGTTGTTAAAAAATGTCGCCTCTTTTTTAACGCGTTACACTCGTATACGTATCACGCTCACTACCGTATGCAGTGGACTTCCAAACGTGTACGCGACGGCCAGTTAAACCGTACGCGCGCCGCGCCGCCGCCGAGTATTACGGCCGCGCTGCGCTGCCCGCGTCCGTTTCTCGCCTAGCAGTTTGTCGTACGCGCCGCTGCGTAAGTGCATATTATCTTACGGTACCCCGTCGCCACTGCCGTAATAAGCCGCACGGCGCACGATACCGCGGCGTATCGCGTATTCCCACGGGGCGTTTGCCGCGGGGGCTGATTCAAAGTGGCGTTCGGTCGGACAATAAAAGTCCATTACGCTCGGTTGTTTAGATTGCGAAGAAAAAAAAAAAAAAATAAATAAAAGAGTTGATACCCGGGAACGGGTGCGGCGGCCGCTGTTGTAGGCGGGTAGACGGGGAGACGGGATACACAAAGTCGTTTAATTTATTTGCATATGTATGTTTAGTCCGCGATATGTACAGCTTATTGTGTGTGCATTGTATTGAGTTTTCAAGTTTTTCTCCCAAGCGATAATACGTATAATTTCAATAACACATACCTACCGAATCAACAACACGCATTGTTTTGAACATTCTACCGAAATGCCAATATAAGTGTTTCGTGAAAAACGCGCGTCTCTACGAACGGCTTTCAACCGAATAACAACAAAAATCCCAAATGCGGTACACTTGGCCATAATATTCCCCGTGTTTTTTCCCGGTTTTTGGTAATTATTACGAAAGCTATACGGGAAATCAATCAACGAATCTGTTTATTTACTTACAAACAAGACGAAAATTTCCTTTCAGAAAATGTACGATTCTTGAAATAAGGACAACGATTTCTGGTAGAAAAATGTTGTCTTAACGGTTTTAAATAGTGAAATCGTTGCGCCACAATTTTAAACAAATCATATTTTCGTATTTTTTTTTTTTTTTTGGTTTTTCTTAATTATTATGAAAATTACATTCAATATCAGAAAACGAAATTCCTTGTCAGTGGCTATATATAAAAAAAGGAACAAAACCGGTTTCTTGTAATTTTTCGATTGGGACAATATTTCTGGTAGTTCCTCAATGAACCAACTAGATAAAATTGTCTTCCAGAAAAGGTGCTACACTTTGTACATCAGAGCTTGATTTCTGGTACAAAAGTTGTTCACATACACGCAAAAAATGAATTACAAAATGCAAATCATAGTAAAACCAGTAGATACCTCGCTACGTCCCGAATCTAAAAAAATAATTTTCTTTGTTTCTATCAAATTTGGCTAATTTTTTGAATAGCGGCTCTCGTTCTGGGTCCTCTAATGATCGGAACAAACTAGAAAATAAGAGTTGTTTAGTTGTAGGTGTATTGAAAAGTGATACTGTATCATTAGGACGAGTCTTTTGGGAGGTTTAAACCCTTTTCAGTTCTCTCAACCCTTACCGTTTTTACGATCGAATTTCAGAATTGATTTTCGGAAGTAATCAGTGGATATATTTTCTTTTTTAAATGTATTATAATATAATTATTATAATTTATAGTACGTTCATTATTTTTTTTCGGTATTATATAAACTTGGGTATAAAAATAATATTTTTAAACGAAATTTATTGACATTTTACACTCGCACGGATTCAAACGAAAAGATAATAAGAAATAAATAAAGTTTGTAGCCGGTGCTGTGAACGATGATTTTAATAGAATGTAATATAGTTGTAAAAAAAAAAAAAAAGGAAAAAAGGAAAAAAAAATTGAATATTAATAATCGTAATAAATAATTTTCAACAAACGGACTTCGTTCGATTTGTTTAGGCGAGACGTCTACAGGAAAAAAAAAAAGTTCAAATGGTAGTAAAAAAAAAAATAAAAAAATGCACCTAGGATAATCGTAGGATATTGATTGGCAAAGTCGAGTGGTGCGATGAAAATATGTACGTTAAAGGTTTTTATAATTATAATTATTATTATTATTATTATTATTTTTTTTTTTTTTTTTTTTTTTTTTTTTTTTTTAAACGCCGAGAACTTTTACGTCTTGTTCGATGGAATC